GCCCTATCCCAAGACAGGGCTTCCTTAGGGAGCTGGCACCTGGTGCCCACCGGTATTGCTCTGAGGCCGGCCCTTTCCATGTGGGGTGAAGTGGGGAGTGCTGGACCCTCCCCACTACGGCAGTGGGCCTGGTGTGGCAGGTGGGCACAGGTGTACATGCAGGTGGCACTCACGGCCAGCCCCCACAGGGTGGAATGCAGGCTGACTGCCCTGCTCTGCCTGTCCGGGGATGGCTGTGTCCCCCGGGAAGGACATGTCCCCGTGCCCCAGCAGCCCTGTGGTACTGGAGTTACAGTCTGAGCGGGATAATGAAGCGTGGGGGTAGCAAGGTTTGGAGGGATATTCCCTGAGGGGTGTCTCGAGCCACAGCCTCGACACCCACAGTGGAATGCTGAGGGAGATGACATGGAGGTGGGGACACAGTCCCAGGCCAAGGAGCCCGTGGTCACTAGGAGGCCCTTTTGAGCCACCTGATTAGTGAAACTTTGCTGCTGGGACCACACGAGAGCCAGCCACTCTACACCCAAGTCAGCACACGCTCACGCTTGCCTGCAGGCCGATGTGCACTGTGGCGCCTGGTCCTGCCTGGACAAGTGTCCAGCCCTGGCCACTGATAACCTAGTGTCGAGGCTTGTGACGGTAGAGCCCGAGCCGAGAATCCCCCGGCAGAGGAGCAAGCCCATGCCCCTTGGAGGGGGCACAGTGCCCTTCATCAGCCCAGGTCCAGGAAGGCGCCCACTCCGCGTCTGCCTCCCGCCTGGCTCTTCCTCCGCTCGGGTCACTCTCACAGCGGGCTCCAGCCAGCCTCCCCACCCTCTTCCGGCTGCACAGAGCTCCCGTTCCCGCCCACGCAGGGGCGGGGAGGGCAGGCGCTGCTCCCAGGGCGGCGAGAGGGCCGTCTCCCTCCTGCGGGAACCCGCAGGGCCTCCTCATTGCGGTTGCTGGCCCTCACCTGGCCACTTGGCCAGTCCGTGACGCCTCGCTGTGGACACCTGCGGAGCCGCGCGCGCGCCCTCTCACCTGCGAAGTTCTTGGTGAAGACCAGGGTGACCAGCAGGATGGGCACGAGCACGGTCCCCATGGTGACCACGCGGTCGAACGGCAGCTCTAGCTTCAGCGGCAGCAGCAGCGCGGCCAGCGCGCCCGCCTTGTCGTCCTGCGTGCCCGGCAGGATCAGCTCCCGCAGCTTCTCGCCCGCCAACAGCGCGGTCGCCATGTCCGCCGACTGCTCCAGGAGGTGGTGCATGGGGTGCGCGGGGCGCGGCCCGCGAGCGGCGGGGACCGAGCGGCGGCGGGGGGCGCGGGCGGCGGCGGCGGCGGGGGGCGGCGGCGCGGGGTGCGGGGTGCGGGGTGCGGGGCGGCCGCCTCCGCTGCTGCCCCGGCCCCGCACCGGGCGTCCCTGGAGGCGGGGGCGCGGCCGCTCGGCCCGGGGGGGCTGTTTACCTGCGGCGGCTCCGCGGCGTGGCTCCGCCCCCTCCCGCCACGCAGATGCGGCGCGGGCGATGACTTCGCAAAAAATAAATAAATAAGAAAATAATAAAAATGAGCCGAGCGAAGTGAACGCACGAAGAGCGGCTGCGCTTCTCGCAGGCAATCCGCTCTAGCGCGGCCTGCGGGGCGCGTCCCTGGCGTGCGGGGGTCGTCTCCCCCGAGGCCCTCACGGCCCCTGGGTGTGGCCAGCACGGGCTGGGGGCCCCGCTCGCCCAGCTCTGCCGCAGCTACACCCCCGCATCCCTCGGGCGCGCCTCCTCCCGTAGCCGCCGCCCGGCCCGCTCAGCTCCCGACCCTTGGGCCGCAGTGCGACCGTGCGACGTTGGGCGCGGGGACGAGGACGCGCGGCCCAGCTCTGTGCACCCTCCTGCCCAGGCCTCCGCCTCATCCAGTGTCCCCTTGCATGGCTCAGCACCCACGTAAAGCTGGCGCCCCCTGGAAGACCCCCACCCCACAGGTGACCTGGACGAGGCCACTTTTAGGTCGCAGCGTGATAGTCCCCTCGTGGGGCCGTCCCTAGCTCCGGGAGCAGTCACCTTTGTTGCTGTGTGTTTACATGCCCCTTGGAATAGGGGTGCCCTGTCCTCGTCTCCTCCTGCTTGGTCTGCATGCATTCTACAAGGAAACTGATTCGGAATGGTACCACTTACCTCACCCCTTTTACATCCTGCCTCAGGCTACTCTCCCCAACATAAGCCAGCCCACACTGAGGCCACGGGGTGAGGGCCCAGCTCAACTTCCAGTTCCAGCCTCCTGCCCGAGCCAACCCGGGGAGGCAGGTGACAGCTCAAGCACTTGGCTTCCTGGCCCTCCGCTGGGAGACCAGGATGGCACTCCTGGCCAGGCCCAGCCCACCTGGGCTGTAGTGGGCACTTGGAGAGACCAAGAGTGGAAGCGAAACAGAATGAAACACATGCTGGCATTTCGTGTTCACAGAAGTGGTCTTACGGGTTTCCAGGTCTTTTCGGGACGCACTTTGGCTTCTGTGGCAGCTAGCACTGTGTGGGCCCAGGGTGGCCATGAGCTTGGAACTGCCACCCTCACTTGGCAGCCTCCACCCTGGTGGCCCCGTGTGTCCTCGGGCACCGGAGGTGGGCCAGACCTGTGCAAGACCCCCACGTGGGAGAGGGTGCCACAGTCCCTCAGCTCCCCAAGACCACCATGCTGTGATGCTGGCGCCAGGTCTGAGCAACACATCGCAGTGTCCCACTGGTAGGCAGCCCTTGGATCCTGACCTCAGAACCAGCAGGTGGACCACAGGTGCCAGGCAGTTCTGAGGCTGCGACCTTGCAAGCTCCCCCTCCTACAGTTCCTGTGCAGGAGACCAGGGAGCAGGCTGGAGTGGAGTCGGGCACCCTAGGGTCTGGGCCCCTGCTGCCAGCTGCTCCAGTGCCCAGGACACTCTGCTGTAGGTTCAGCCCCAGGCACAGAGTCTGTGCCTTCAGGGCCTCTTCCTGGGGTGCTGTGAGCATGGCCCAGGAGCTGCCCTCATTCAGGTCTGGAGGTCCCCAGCAGCTCATGCCAGGCCATGCAATGCTGGGCACCCAGCAGTCTGTGGAGCTGGCACGCAGCTGCTGCCAAGGCAGAGCCACAGGGAAGGCATCAATGTGGGCACCATGGAACTGTCCCTCTTTGGCCACCTGTTCCCTTTTCTCCATCCTCTCGTCCTCTGCTAGATCAACTGCAACTTCAGGGCCTGGCAGTGAGGAAGAGATGGTGGGGGGGGCACTGAAGTGAGGGTAAGGCCAGGACTGGACATCTTGGGGAAGCTTCTGGAAGGCCTGAGACTGACGTGGCTGCCGACAGGCACACTGCCCCAGGGAGCCTCCACAGCATAGTGTTTCTGAGGTCTGGGCAGCTGCCGAGGCGGAGGGAACTTCCTGTTTCCTTAAGCACGCTCTGGGCTCCACCAGGCATGACCAGCACATGTGTGCCAGCGAGGACACCCGCTCAGGGCCAGGCACAAGAATAACACACAGGGGCCCAGCGTGGTGGCGCAGTGGTTAAGGTCCTCGCCTTGCACGCCTGGGATCCCATATGGGCACCGGTTCTAATCCCGGCAGCCCCGCTTCCCTTCCAGCTCCCTGCCTGTGGCCCGGGAAGGCAGTCAAGGACGGCCCAAAGCTTTGGGACCCTGCACCCGCGTGGGAGACCCGGAAGAGGCTCCTGGCTTCGGATCGGCATAGAATCGGCCGTTGCGGCTCACTTGGGGAGTGAATCATCGGATGGAAGATCTTCCTCTCTGTATATCCACCTTTCCAATAAAAAAATAATAAAAATAAATCTTTAAAAAAAAATAATAACACACAGGGCACCTCGTGTAAAACAGGTTGCCCCTGCTGGGGTGGGGGCAGCCACTGCTGGAAAAGAGCCAGCCAGAAGTCCCCAGCAGGGGCGGGGGGTGACCTGGCAGGGCCAGTGCAGTCTGAGGCAGAGGCAGGCGTGGACAAGCCTGCCGCAGCTGTCTGTGCAGTATGCACATGCACTGTACACAGCAGTCACTCACAGCCATCCTGACCAAAGCTCTTGTCCTGGCTGATCCAGGTGGGTGCCAGTGGGCACCATGGCCTCTGGGCATCATGGAAGAACAGGGCCCCATGCAGGCCAGGAAGCACTGGGCCTTGCAGCACCACTTGTGGTAGCCACACTCTTGCCAGCTGTCCAGTGATTTGGGCCCAGCCCTTCCTGATGCACCAGGGCATGGCAGGAGTGCCCAGGCCAGCTCCTCACGTACACTGGGCAGGACAGCTTTTCACATACAGCTGGGCTCGCATGCGTTCCTCGGCTGGCAACCCTGGCTGCTGTCCTGGGGGACAGGGCACTTTCACGGGGGTGCTGCCTGCAGGACCTCGCTTCCTTCTCACTCATGCTCCTTGGAGGTTGGCCCGAGGCACCCTCAAGCTTTCTCCTCCTGGAAGTGAGTCTGGGAGAGGGTGCACCCCAGCTCTCTAAGGAACCTGACTGGCCACTGCACAGTGGGATAACGGGCAGCACTGAGCTGCAGCCCTTTGCCCAGTCTCCCTCAGCCCAGCAGTGGCACTGCCTCCTATCCGATCCAGCCCCAAGATGAGGGGGACTTGTCCCCAGGCCTCCTCCGCTGTGTGACCTGTGGCTGATGTTGCTGTAGCACTGGAGCTGCTCGGCCCAAGGACGGGACATTTGCTGCCCTGGGGCATGGCATCCTGAGAAGCCCCACTCCCCCTCAGAGCTCAGGACTCTGTCCACATGGGCATGGATGGGTCTGCTCTGGGACCTGGTGAGCAACACAGGACAGGGAGGACAGTGGAGTTGTCTCCAGAGCAGTGGTCAGCAAGGGTCAGAGGCCACGACACAGCACACTCCCCGTCTCAGGTGAAGGGTAGCTGGATCCTGGAGGGTTTATTCTAGCAGAGGAGGGGGTGGCAGTGACTGTCCAGTGGCAGGAGCAGGCTCGAATGAGTCAGTGGTGGGCAGATCTGGGCCCTGCAAAGGGCCAGGACCTCAGTGAAGTCCAGGGTCCCCGTGTCAGGCGCACATCTCCAATCGTCAGACACTGAGCAGAAGTCCGGCTTCTGCCCAGCTGGTCCATGGCTCCAGGTGCTGCTGGCCGGCCATCAGCTGCAGGAAGAGAATAGAGTGGCACTGAGGCGGGCTCCCTGCGAGTGTCCCCACAGGAAAAGGAGGCCCACACCCTCCCGAGGGACAAGTGGACCTGCAGGGGAGGGGGACAGTCCCTGTACTCACGTTTGCAGAGCCTGCAGCTCGGGAGGAAGGTTGCACCCAGTGTACACGCCGTTGGTGATGCTGTACTCCAGCAAGGCACCAAAGCAGGGGTCCTAGGGAGGGCCACACGGGCCAGGCATTCAGTCAGGGACACGCTGCAGCTCCCGGAGCCAGGCCTGGCATTCAGTCAGGGACACGCTGCAGCTCCTGGAGCCAGGCCTGGCGCTGCAGACAGGGCGCAGTGCTCAGTTCTCGGGGACCTGGACCGCCCCCCCGCGGGCCGTGCCACGCACAGTGAACTCACTCTGACAAGCACGTGAGGGTTCCCTAAAACAATCAGCAAAGCTTTGGGTCTGGTGATGGCCACGTTGAACCTCTTTGAGTTGGACAGGAAGCCCAAGAAGTAGCGGTCATCCTCGAACCTGTCTTCACTCGAGCGGACCTGAGAACCATACATGAGTGTAGGCGGCATGCAGCTGTCCTGGCATGGACACAGCAGCAGGGCCACACCGGCCAGCAAGAACCAAGGCCTTGTGTTCTAGCATGTTCTAAATCATCTGCACTGTTCCACCATCCAAGACCAAGAAGACAAGGATAAGTGTGGGGTCCTCCCCGGCTGTGGGAGCCTCGGGGACCTCGACACCGGAGACCACCTTCCGGCATGTTCATCTCTTCCTCTTGACCCCCTTCCTGTCTCCTCATCTCTCCTCCTACGGCTCCCTCTCACGGTGGCTTCTAGGAGCCACGGCCCACTCATCCGCCCAGAGCCCGAGTTCAGGACACAAGGGCTGCCTGAGCAGGCCAGCTGGGTCCCCACCGTGGAAATGACGATGACCAGGAACTCCTGCCCCTGGAACTCTTCCACTGACCCCACCTTTACGTCCGCCAAATCCACATTCCGCAACAGGATTTTGATTTTCTCCACCTTCAGAACAGAAAAATAAAGATTAGAGATTGCATGGTACAAATCTGGTCCTGAGATCAAGTACCAATTGACGCACGGGGCTGGGTGCGGTGGTGTAATAGGCTAAGGTCCCGCCTACACCTCTGGCATCCACATGGGCACTGGCTCCTGTCCTAACTGCTCCACTGCTGATCCAGGCCCCCATTTGTGGCTGGCACAGTAGCACAAGATGGCCCAAAGCCTTGGGCCCCTGCACCCATGTGGAAGACCCAGAAGCAGCTCCTGGCTCCCGGCTTTGGACTGGGTCAGCTCCGGCTGTTGCTGCCATTTGTGGAGTGAACCAGTGGATGAAGATCTCTGTCTCTCCTTCTAATTCTGCCTTTTAACTAAATAAATAAGTAAACAAACAAAAAACCCTGCCATGTACAAGGACTGTACGCATGCTCACAGCACTCACGGGAGTTGGCCAACTCATGGGCGGTTATGTGGCCAGCACACACGTCCAGCAGGTGCGTTTAGAACCCAGGCATCCTGCAGTGCTGGACAGCCTCTGCGCAGCCACATGCACCTTCTACTTAGGACACTTCGGTCCACACTGGGCTTATCTGGATGGTAGCCCTCCCCCACGAGGAGCATCTGTCACTGGACAGAAAACCCGTGAAGAGCTTCAGCAGACCTGACACAGTGAGGGGGGGGGCAGCTGTGGTGCCGCAGGGGAATGGCTTCCCACACCAGACTATCACTTCCAGTTTCCACTGCTTCGCTCCCCGACCAGCTCCTGCTGACACACCTGGGAAGGCAGCGGACGGCCTGATGGCTTAGGTGTCTGCCAGTTCCAGGCTTCCACCTGGTCCAGCTGGCAAGCGATTCAGTGGATGGAAGAGCCCTCCCTTTCCATTTCTTGGTTGCTTTTTCAAGTAAATAAATAGTTTTTTAAATTTTATTTTTGGGGCCTGGTGCCATGGCCTAGTGGCTTAAGTCCTTGCTTTAAATGAGCCAGGATCCCACATGGGCACCAGTTCTAATCCCAGAAGCTCCACTTTCCATCCAGTTCCCTGCCTGTGGCCTGGGAAAGCAATCGAGGATGGCCCAAAGCCTTGGGATCCTGCACCTGTGTCGGAGACCCAGAAGAAGCTCCTGGCTCCTGGCTTTGGATCGGCACAGCACTGGTCATTGTGGTCACTTGGGGAGTGAATCATTGGATGAAGATCTTCCTCTCTGTCTCTCCTCCTCTCTGTATATCTGACTTTGTAATTAAAATAAAAGGAATCTTTTTAAAAATTTTGTTTTTGGATGATTTTTACATAGTTGGTTAGGGCGCAAAGAGTCAAGGGCTAAGTGGGCAAGACCATTGTTTCCACATTCTGTTTTCCTGCCTGTATCTGGGGGAAGGGGAAAGACAAAAGGAGAAGCCATACCCAGCCTCCCACCCATCCCAGGGTCCCCGCTGTGGGGAATGTTCTGAAGGCATTGTTAAATGGTTTCAATAGCACCAGTTCTGAATTGCTGGTAATCCCGTCCCTCTAATCATGATGAAATATCTCATGAATCCACTGGCTGACACAGTCCACCTTCGAGTCTCCGCGTGTCCATTCACTGCCAATGCTTGGCTGGGGTAGTTGATTGATTTGTTCTATCCTCTGTCCTCTGTTGTGGTACCAGGTGTCCCCTGCAGGTTCCAGTGGACTGCCATATCCTCCATGTGCACCTGGACATGCTGTCCACTGCTCTAAGCCACTGAGGAGGCCCGGCTCTGACACATGTACTGCAGTCAGCCCATGGAATGTCACCTAAATCAGCCTACACACACACTGGTAGCTGTAATTGCTGGGCCAGTTCTGTCTCCAGCCCCGTGTTTTATGAAATTCAATGGATGTTGGAGCCCAGCCCGATCCTGCCCACCACGTACTCGGCCTTCACACAAACCAGTGGGCGCTGCAGAGCAACCCACAATACCCCCACCAGGCCCACCCCCTGCCCTGGTTCCTGGGCCTGCCAGTATGTACGCAAACTGGTCCAGTGTGCCCCACATCCCACTCAGTTCTCACACGTGTCAATGGGTGCTGAAGCCTAGTTCATCCCAATAAGCCCCGTTTTTCCAGTCCACACTGGTGCTGGTGCATGCCACCATCCCTGCCTGCCCCACTCCTGGTTCTCATGTTCACAAGAGGGAAGTCCCCAATGGGCTCACTCCCACTCCCGGGTCTTGTACTCTCCAGGTGGTTCTGCTCTTTAGCATGGCAAAATCTGCCCCCAGTGCCAGCATCTGCCAGCTGATGCTGCGGCAAAGCCCAGCCAACCCACACCCACTCTGGTTTATGCAAGCACCAGCAGGAACAGTCACCCGAGCCTGGCTTTCCCCTGATCCAGCCCACATGTAGGCCGACAGGTGTCGTAGCCCTGCCCGGTCTGGTCTGCCCCCGACCCTAGCTCTCACACTCACCCATGGGAGTAGTGGCCCAGTAGGGGAGTCTCTGCAGCCCCACTACTGGGTTCACACCCCGCTCCCTTAATCCTGGGTCTCATGTGTGCTGTTTGGGCACTGTGGTCCAATCTAGCATGGCCTGTGTCACCTTGGTGACACACTGTAGCCTGGCTGGGCCAGCCTGCCCCGAATTCCAGTTCTTAAAGAAAAAATGAAAATCAGAATGAGGTGGTGTTTGGCTGGGTGCTTCAGAGAGTGGTTAGGACACCAGCATGATTTTAAAAAAAGATAGCAGGAGGAAACTATTCAGGTTCAATAAAAAGTGAATAAAAGGCTTTAAGAAAAGCTGTCAGAATCACAGAGATCTGGGGGAAGTGTGTGGTAAGTGACTCTGGGGTGGGGGAGGACTTGGAAGGACAGGACAGATGGGGCATTACATATGTGGCACAAGCAGGTGCCAGCATCCCATAGGGGCACTTTGAATCCTGGCTGCTCCACTTCCTGGGAAAACACTGGCCGACGCCCCAAGGGCTTGTCCCCTGCACTCACATGGGGCACTACCAGAAGGACCCTGGCCAGGCCTGGGCCTAATCAGTGAATCATGTGCTCACTCAGGGAGTGAGTCAGCAGATGGAAGATTTTCTCTCTCCTGCTTTTCAAATATTGAAAAAAACAGATAATTTATTTTAGAAAGTGTAAGAGAATCAACTGACAGCCCTGCTGGGCTAGCTGCAGTTCCCACTGGTGAGTGTAAGAGCCAGGAATGGGGATGGACCTTGCTGAACATAGCTGCACCATCCCTTGACGTGTGTGGGCTGGCTCTGGGAGTATGCCAGACTGGCCTAGGGTCTAGCATCCACTGGTGCTCGCGAGAGCCAGAGTGGGTATGGAATGAGCTGATCTAGGTCACAGCACCTGCTGATCCACATGAGAGCCGGGTCTGGGGGTGAGGCAGGCAGGACTTGGCTGCAGTATCCACTGGAGAGAGCCAGAACAGGTGTGGACTGGTCTGTCAAGGCCACAGTGCCTGCTGGTGAAGGTCGGGACTGGAGGTGGGCCAAGTCAGGCTGAGCCAAACACCCACTGGTGTGTGTGTGAGATCCACAGCTGGGAGCTGGTCTGACAGAGATTGGAGAACTCCCCTGTTAAGACACAGCCTTGGCTGGTAAGAGTGAGAACCGAGGCTGGAGCAGTCCAGGCCAGGCCGGGCTATAGTATCTATATGACACATGTGGGTCAGGTCTGGGGGTGGCCCAGGTTGTGTCAGTCTGCAACACTCACAGGCAGGTGTGAGTCAGGATGGGGTGCAGGCCAGGATTGAGGGCTGGCTAGGCTGGGTTAAGCTGCAACATCTGCCAGGGAATGCTGAGGTGAGATGGGTCATGCCAGACTGACCCATCAGTGCACACAGACCCATGGTTGGGAAAACATCAGGTAGAGGGGCTGCAAAGAATCCCCTGCTGAGCCACTGCCCCACTAGTAAGAGTAACAACTGGGATTGGGGGTGGACCTGACTGGGCAGGGCTGCAGCAACTGTTGGCCTATATGTGAGCTGGGTTTGGGGGAGGGCTGGGCTAGGCCAGGCCACTGCGCCCACTGACACATGAAAGGGCCAGGATAAGTGCCCACTTGCAGGCTTTGCCACAGCATCCACTAGAAAGTGCTGGAACGTGATGCAAGTCATGCCAGACTGGCTCACACTACCCCCTGGAAAGTGTAAGATCTGGGACGGTGGGAGTGGACCTTGTGGGGAAACTGTGGGCACTCCTCTGCTGGGATGCATGATAGCCAGGGCTAGAGGTAGACCAAGCTGGACAAGGTGACAGCCCCTATCTGCATACATGTAGACAGGATCGTGGGGTGGGATGGGCTGAGCTAGGCTGCAGGTCCCATAGAGGTGTGTGAGAGCCTGATTGGGATGCAGCACAGACCAGCCTAGTCTGCTGAATGCACTAATGTGTACAAGAACTGGGACTGAGGGTGGGCTTGGTAGGAGTTATTGGGGCTCATCCCACCTAGGCTGCAGTTCTGCTGATGTGCACAGGGCCAGGTTTATGGCATGCTGGGTGGGACTGGCCCACAGCACTCATCAGTTTGCATGGGCCAAGGGGCTGGGGACTACCTTACCAGTCACCCATGTGTGCATAGGCTGATATGGGGGATGGACTGAACCAGACCTTGTACTGGCTGGCATATATGAGCCAGGTCTGAGTCACTACAGGTGAGGTTTAGTAGGGTCCCCAACTGGACCACTAGATTCAAAGCTGTGTCCACAGGGAGAAGCACAGGATTTGTGGTCTAATCTTTGAATCGGGACTGGACTTCTATTGCTGATGCCTATGCAGTGGACAACATGCCCAGGCACTTACGGGACAAGATGGTGCTAACCCATTTGGGCTTGCAGAGGACGGCAGCGTCATGTCAGAAGATGGGGAGCAGAACAGGTTGGACAACTCTCCTGGCTGAGCTTTGGCAGCATGTGTCTGGGTGAGTAGATGTGCTGGGGTGGGCTCTGTCAGCCAGTGGACATAGGAAGGATTTTCTCAACTTGGAGCAGTGAAACCAGCAGTGTCTCAAAACGACCCAAATCAAGCAATACCTCTGAAACATTCTTCTCTACATGGGGTTTCTAAGATGACATCAAGTGGCCATCCCCACCTCTGGGTGCTGATGTCGTCTGGCAGTAGGGGCGGCCCCCTCCCCTTCCCTTCTTTCCTACCCCTGCACCAGATACAGGAGAAAAGGAAAACGGAAGCATTTGTGCCCCTCACCTTCCCCCAGGCCTTGACCATCCCCACCTTCATGTTCCTCAAGGACATGTATCCTTCTCTATGATGTAAAAAGTATCAAAAATTAAACAATCAGAAAAAGTACCCACTGAGGTGGTAAGGTCAGTCCCCTGGTCGGGGAAGTGGACAATATGAGAAGATAATTTAAGAGTTAGCAGCCGACCTCGTGTCCGCATGCCCAGGGTGTGCAGCCAATGGCTCCCACGCCTCCAGTCAAGGTGGCCAGGCGTGTGTTCCTCGGGCATCGGCTGTTACCACAGGGAGCTACACCACTTTCTCTTGAGGTCAACCTTCACCAACAGGGAAACTGGTTCTGCTTTTCAGCAAGGGGGCACTGCCATGATGAATACCTGCACCATCCAACTGCAACTGTGCTGTGGGGGCTTCTTTCTGGGGTGCATTCATGTAAGCTCCTCGACCCCACTGCCCCATACCAGTATTCGGAGAACTTTCCTGGAACAGTGCCTGCACCAGGTGCACTGCCCTCACATACCAAGTGGCTCCTTGGGACAGGGTGCTGTGCTCTGCGCACAGGCCTTTGCCACAGCTGCTCCAACAGGCCGTGGGCTGCAGTGGGTGACCTCTCACGCACAGAGTCCCTCCAATGCAGCCTTCATCTTGGCCCCATACCTGTTTGCGGTAGGGCGTGATGACACCGATGTCGCTGGCTGACACGGGGCTTGTGACACTACGGGCCAGGAGGAGGCAGTAGCGCATGACCTGGACAGCCTCAGCCGGGTTGAACCACGAGGGGCTTCGTCCTTCACGTGCCTCACTGCCCTGGTCAGTCAGGAGAGAAAGCCTTGTTTATTCACCGATGCTCAGCAGGGCCTCTGCAGACCCAGGGCAGCTATCATGGCAGCTGTACCCACGTTGGGGAAGGTATACCACACAGAGGCTGGCTGGCAGCATCGGCATGGTCAGAGCCTGGGGGCCTGCTGAGAGCCAGCTGCAATAATCCATGTCCAGGGGCCGCACAAGGCCCTGTTGAGGGCTGGGGGTCCCCACCTTTCCCCCAGGTCCCCATCCGCTCCCCTCCAGCCATGGGCCTTCTCTGAGCTGCCTTGTGGCCGCATCTCAAGTAACTGCATCCTCCTGGGAACAGGTGACTTTCCAGCACTAAGAGACACAGAGAAGGGAGGGAAGGATCAGAGCAAGCCATGTAGCCTTGCGTGCTACCTCCTTCCTCCGGTGCCCTCTGGGCTCCCACACGGCAGGCAGGAACCCATCACTGAAACCATCACCACTACCTCTTAGGGTCTATGCTGCCAAGAAGCTGTAGTCATGAATCGAATCTGGGAATCAAACCCAGAGATCTGGTGTTGGTGTAGGCGTCCTGACCCAAGGCCTTGTGTCCATCCGAAGAGCATTTCCAACCTGGACCCAGCCCTCCCACAGACTGCACTGGAGTACACTGGGGAGAGCCAAGATGGAGCCCACACACGGAGCCCAGGAGAGAGTGAGGACGGTCTGCAGCTGAGCACACAGGGAGCCACAAGCACACGAAGCTGGGGCAGGTGCTGTACTGTGGCATGCAGCGGGCCATGCTGCTGGCTGGGACACCCACACCCCTATCCCAGTGCAGCAGTGAGTCCATGCACCCTGCAGGCCACGGGCAGCCGCTGAAGAACCTGGGACTCAGACCCCATGGAGCAGCCCTGGGTGGAGCTGCACCTGGCCCAGCCCTAAAAGCTGACAGGTGTTTGCTGAGCAGATGGAGTGACCTGCCCCTGATGCACTTTCAAGTCAATGAAAATAAACATTTTAAAATGAAGCTAAACAAAAACAAATACACAAACAAAAAACAACTTTGAAGGGATAAACAAAACTGTTAGCAAGGACATGGGGGAATTAATTTTGGGGGATATAATGCTAAAAACACAAGCAAAAACTAAATAGATAAATTAGATCAAATTAAAACTTGATGTGTTACAATGGGGCTCAGGCTTAGCAGCTAAGACACCAGTAACTCCCACGTCCCCGTCACAGCACCTGGTTTACGTCCACAGTCTGAACAGTCAGAACAGCCCACTGCTCCACACCAGCAGAGTCAGAACAGTCAGAACAGCCCACTTGCTCCACGCCAGCACACAGTCAGAACAGCCCACTGCTCCACGCCAGCACACAGAACAGAACAGTCAGAACAGCCCACTGCTCCACACCAGCACACAGTCAGAACAGAACAGTCAGAACAGCCCACTGCTCCATACCAGCACAGTCAGCACAGTCAGAACAGCCCACTGCTCCACACCAGCACAGTCAGCACAGTCAGAACAGCCCACTGCTCCACACCAGCACAGTCAGAACAGCCCACTGCTCCACGCCAGCACACAGAACAGAACAGTCAGAACAGCCCACTGTTCCACACCAGCACACAGTCAGAACAGAACAGTCAGAACAGCCCACTGCTCCATACCAGCAGAGTCAGAACAGTCAGAACAGCCCACTGCTCCACACCAGCACAGTCAGCACAGTCAGAACAGCCCATTGCTCCACACCAGTACAGTCAGAACAGCCCACTGCTCCACACCAGCACACAGAACAGAACAGTCAGAACAGCCCACTGCTCCACACCAGCACAGTCAGAACAGTCAGAACAGCCCACTGCTCCACACCAGCACAGTCAGAACAGTCAGAACAGCCCACTTGCTCCACGCCAGCATACAGTCAGAACAGTCAGAACAGCCCACTGCTCCACACCAGCACAGTCAGAACAGTCAGAACAGCCCACTTGCTCCACACCAGCACACAGTCAGAACAGTCAGAACAGCCCACTGCTCCACACCAGCACAGTCAGAACAGCCCACTGCTCCACACCAGCACACAGAACAGAACAGTCAGAACAGCCCACTGCTCCACACCAGCACACAGAACAGAACAGTCAGAACAGCCCACTGCTCCACGCCAGCACAGTCAGAACAGCCCACTGCTCCACACCAGCACACAGAACAGAACAGTCAGAACAGCCCACTGCTCCACACCAGCACACAGAACAGAACAGTCAGAACAGCCCACTGCTCCACGCCAGCACACAGTCAGAACAGTCAGAACAGCCCACTGCCCCACGCCAGCACACAGTCAGAACAGCCCACTGCTCCACACCAGCACACAGTCAGAAGAACTAATGTCTGCAATCTGAGTGCCCACAGCAAAAATGTGCACCCACACAGTGGGGTAACAAGCTAGCAAATTCAATTCAATTCAGTATTTTTATCTGAAACGCAGATTTAACACAAAAAGGAGAGATGTGGGGAGTTCTATTTGCTGGCTCATTCCCCAAATGACTGCAGTGGCCAGAACTGAGCCAATCCAATACCAAGAGCCAGGAGCTTCTTCTGGCTTCCCAAATGGGTATAGGGGCCAAGGACAAGTGGAGCAGCCAGGACTTGAACTGGCACCCCTATGGGATGGGATGCCAATGCCACAGGTATAGGATTAGCCTGCTATGCCACTGTGCCGGCTCTAAGAGTTTTCCATTTTGTTTGAAAGGTAGAGAGAGACAGCAGAGAAGTATCCTCCAAGTGTTGACTGTCCCACCAGCAGGGAGCCGGGCAGAGACAGAGCAGCCCGGTCTGCGAGGGGAGCGCCGATGGCTTGATGCTGCCACTGCAGTTCAGAGAAACACGAAGAGGAGAAGAGACTGGGCGCTGCTAAGAGCCTGACAAGATGGCAAGGTTTTGGAGCTAGGTTTCAACTGATGAGTACACTTAACGTACTAGCTCCACAGCTAAAAATGCATCCCAGGAAGACCTCCATTCTGCCACAACAAAAGTGGCTATTCCGGAATTGACTGATTTTCAGGATTTTTTTTTTTCTAAAATGCTAAACCATCTATAATTGATCATTTTAGATTTATAGTAAATGACTTAAGCAACTTTAAAAACAATGGGTTGAAAAAATTTTTTGAGACTTATTTGTTTTTATTGGAAAAACAGATAGGCAGATCTTCCATTTGCTGATTCACTCCCCACGTGGTCGCAACAACCAAAGCTGAGTTGATCCGAAGGTAGGAGCCAGGAGCCTCTTCCGGGTCTCCCATGTGGGTGCAGGGTCTCAAGGCTCTGGGCTGTCCTCTTCTGCTTTCCCAGGCCACAGGCAGGGAGCTGGATGGGAAGTGGAGCAGCCAGGGTATGAACTGGCACTCACATGCAGTTCCAGTGCTTGCAAGACGGGGACTTTAGCCACTAGGTTATGCACCGGCCCAGGATGGAAATTTCTAGCAGGAGATATCTAACCAGATAAAAGAGCATCAGGTGAGTGACAAACACTCCAGCAGCAGCACAGCAGGAAGAGCTGGCGGGCAGGGCTGGGTTCGCTCTCCAACTGCTCTCCGTGTGAGACCTGGCTGCTTGTTCTGGGACAAGAGGCAGGGAAGCACCAGCCCAGGAACAGTGAGGTGGCAGCAGTGACGTCACAGATCAGCCTTTAAGGCTGATGCCATCCAAGGGCCTTGGCACACACAGCAGAGCAGCTGTGTAAGACAGCCTAATTAGAGACAAGTTTTGTATTTGTGCTGTGATACAGTGGGACATGACAGCAGCATGTGTGGACACTGGTTCAAGTCCCAGCTCTCCCTGCTCAAGTCCTGGGAGAGCAGTGAGGATGGCCCAAAGCTTGGTCCTGCCTTCCAGGGGAGATACTGCACAGGACTCCAGCTCCTTGCTCGCGGCTGGCTCTGCTCTGGCTGCAGCCTTTTAGGGAGATTCAATGCATATCGGATGCAAGGCTTTCTCTCTCTAACCATTTTTCAAACAAATTCTCTTTTAAGCACAGTTTTGAGGTGAGGCTTGCATTTTTCTCACTGGGTTCCCCTGAGGCTCACCCTGCATGGACCACACAGAACAAAGCCTGCCGGGCTCAGGAGCCTCCCCAGATTGTGTCCCACAGGCAGGCCTGCCCTCGAGCTCCCATCCTGCGTCACACACTCACTATGTCCATGAATCCCCTCATGGCTCACTGGGCTGATTTCTAACCCAGTCAAGGGACTCTCTCCACCACAACTTCTAGTTTCTCCTTAAAATGATACAAGTTTCAGGCACAGAGCTGCATCCAAGTGTTCAGAGGACACCACAATTCAGACAGGCAGAGTGGGACAACAGGTGCCAACAGCAGGGTTCAGCCTTTAGGTACCATAACAGCCGGGGCTGGGCCACAGCCCAGAGCAGGACTGCACTGCAATCTGGTCTCCCTGGGGGCGGCAGGAACCCCCTGTGCTGTGCCCCAAGGTCTGCACTGCAACAGGGACCTATACCCAGGCACCTCTGATGTGGAATGCCCACCAACCTTGCTTTTCTGACACTCATGGAAGCATCCAAGGAGGGATGAAGCCGGCAAGACAGTGGGTGGAAACTGAGGACCGCTCTGCCTGCTCCTCAGAAGCCCCTCACCCCCAAGGCTGGGGGTGAGTCCATCCACTGCCAAAGACCCCGGCAGGTTTTCCTGAGGGGCTCAATGAGAAGCAACCAGGACAGGCTTGTAGGTGGAGCTCTATCATCTGGGGGCGGTGCCCCGACACAGCTTCTCCTGCACCGTAGGCGCAGCCTTCATTCTTTCAGGGGTTGATGCAAAATTTGACCTTTAGCTGTAGCAACGTAATTCTCAACCAAGCGCCTGAGTCCCGGGCTGCTGAGTCCCCTCACCTCCCGGATCCAGGCTCAGGCCAGCGGCTGCACTGCCACTCCTGGGGCTTCCCCTTGCCTGCTGAGTCCTGTCCGCTCCTCTGGCCTTGCCCAGGCCCTGGACGCTCCAAGCTCTCGCAGCCTGGGCGCACACAGCGTCTGTCTCATACCCTGGGGCATACTCAGGTCAGTGCAGGGACTCCAGCGGCAAAGACCCTTCCTCACTGCCTTCCCTTTCTTTGCCCGTCAAAGCCTAGCGCCAGGCCTGTGCCATCCCAGGCTCATGGACAAAGCCCGCCAAGTGCCCATGCCCAGCAGCTCGTGCGTCCCAAGTAGCTGTGCCCACACTTACCCTCACCCCGTGGAAGACAAGTGGGAAACCTTTTTTAGGCAGCTTCTCCCAGCCCAGCAAAGAGGTCACGACCTTGGGGTCTGCACAGACCTCGAGCTCCTTGTGGTAGAAGAGCCGGGAGGGCAGGGCCAGCAGGGCCGAGTGGGACCTGTAGTTCTTCACCAGCTTTGTCACCTGGAGAGAGGGGACGAGGGCAGTCACAAAACAGGGCCTCTGCAAGGGGTGGGGGTGTGGGGTCTGCCTCCCCATCATCGCAGCCAGTACCCTGGTGCCTCCACCTTCACAAACAGGAAAGGCCTTCCCGCCCCTGGCCTGGGCCTCTGAGAAGGTAGGCAAGAGGCAGGCACGGCACCCACTGTGGATCCCAGGCTTGCAGCTGCAGCCTCCGCACAAGGCTGAGGACCCTGCCAGGCTGGTGGTCATGATGACCGCACAGGGCTGGGCCACAGCTGGGACACTCACTCTGCAGTTCTTCCTGAGCTGCTCCTGGCCTAGGACTTCTTCATTAAAGTATTAACTTATTTACTTGCAAGTCAGTTACCCAGAGAGCAGAGACACAGATCCGATGGTTCTCCCGTTAGGGCTGTGTAAGGAGCTCACTGGGGTCTCACGTGTAAGGTTGGGGCCTGACACATGGGCCATCTTCTGGGGCTTTTCCCAGGTCATCAACAGGCTCCCGGCTAGGACACGGCCAGTCTCACAAAGAAGGCCTGGTTACAGGTGGCAGCTGTGCTTGTATGTCACAAGGCTGCCTCCTGGCCCCATGGCTTCAACTCAGGATACAAGCTTTAGTTCACCAGTCAGAACATGCTCAGCCTGAGATGTCAGTCAAAGCCCTGAGCCTGCCTTGCATCACGAGTCAGCCTCACTGGGGTGGGTGCAGGCCTGCTATGCTGCAGGGGAAGGGCACAGGCCATCAGAGCAGTCAGCTGTCCTTCCCAGCTGCTCGAAGAGTTCTCAGGCTCCTCAAGCCCACCCTCGGACCGTGCAGCTCCTTTCTGGGGGTGGCCCTCCTCACCAGCAGACCATCACCCCTCCACACTGACCTGACTCCACTCCCCTTCCCTTGGTCCTTCAGAGGAGTGAAGGTTCAACTGTCCCAGCAGAGGACCTGTTCATCACCAGTCCCAGCCCCACGCTGTCTCCAGCTACACCGACCAGCAGGTGCTACAGATTGAGCTCAGGCGTGCGGCCACGTGGCTCTGTCTCCACATAGCCATGTTGCTGTGGGCAGTGTCTCATCTCAGGATGAGACCTCACACAACCAACAAGACCATGGGGAGATGCTCTGCCAGCCTCTCTGGCAACTTTCTCTTCTTCTTTCAATGTTAATATTTGTTTGAAGGAGTTACAAAGAGGGAGAGACAGATCTTGCACTTGCTGGCTCAGTGGCAGGGGTTGGGCCAGGCTCCCATGCCAGTGCGAGGCCCAAGGACTCGGGTCATTTGCTACTGCTTTCCCAGGTGCACTGGGAGGAGGCTGGTCAGAAGCAAAGTGGCCGGCACAGTGGTATGCAGGTGAGTCCTCTGCCTGCCAGTGCCAGCATCTCATATGGCCACCTGTTTACATCACAGCTGGTTTACTTCCCACCCAGCTTCCCATTAATGCAGACGAATGCAGCAGAGGACGGTCCAAGCCCCTGGATCCCTGCATCTACATGCAAGACCAGAAGCTCCTGGCTCCTGGCTCTGGATCGGCTCAGCTCTGGCTGTTGTGGCATTTGGAGAGTAAACCAGCAGATGCAATACTTCTGTTTCTGTCTCTCATACATAAAATCTGCCTTTTAAATAAAAATCTATTTATTGAAGAGTAGCAGCTGAGACTAGAACTGGTGCCCATATGGGATGCTGGCACTGCAGATAATCTGACCCACTGTACCACACCACTGGCCTTGGCTTTCTCTTGAGAACACACGGAGGTGACCTGCTGCATTCCCACATGGACACAGTGATCCAGCGAACTCTCAGACAGCTGGAGCTTGACTGCCAGCAGCCCGAGCAGGTTCCTGGCTGCCGTCAGCAGGGCCAGCTGCAGATTCCCCAAGGGCTCTCACACAGACCGAGTGCCCCAGGGCTGCATCGGAAGGGGACACTGTTGCCCCTACCAGGAGACTCCTGCCCCAGCTTCTCTGGGCAACAGAGCCCATGCCCAGGGACACAGCCAGGAGACGAGGGAAAGAGGCGTTCCTCGTGGCTGCCAGCCATGTGTGCAGCACTTACCAACAGGGGGTTGTAGGCACCACAAGCACCAAAGGCGTTCTCATCCCTCAGGTATGCTGGCCGTGCCATCAGCCTCTCCAACATGGACACGTTCAGCCCGTAGGCCATGGCCAGCCGCGACTTGATGACTGGGCCAAGCTGCATGGGATCCCCGGCAAGCACAATCTGCACACACAAGGACACCCCAGAACTGAAGGACATAGTGACACACACACACCATGGGAGGGGAGTGTGCTGCAGGCAGACACACACATATCATGGAAGAGGAATATGCACTAGGCTTCTAGCAGTTCAGGGTCAGGGTCCTGTGGTCACTCCGGCTGATGGAGTGAGAAGAGGCTGGGATCACAGAGAACTGGTGCTGGAACTGTGCGGCCAAAGGATGGTCCGCTGGCAGAGGCCTTGGGGATGCAGGAAGAACCACATGGTGCTAAGACACAAGCTCCTTCCCAGAGCACACTTCACACGCTTCCCTATGCACCCCCCACCTGTCTCGGTCCACAGCCTGGCTTTCTCTTCCCAACCTTTTTAAGCTAGCAGAGCCCCAACCATATGTCCTGCCTTCTGGAAATTCCTATCACGCCTGGCTCTTGTAGAGGCTCCCCTGGCCTTTCTCCCCCTCTCCTGTTCAGGGGGAGGCCACAGAGCAGCCAAGATGACCGACTGTCTCCACAGCTACAGGCGCCAAAGGAACTGCCTCTATCCGCTCCCCTGACCTCTGTGCTCACAGGACACACTGACCCGGGGGGCTGGCAGCCTCACAGACTGTGGCCACCCACCAACAGCGCCTGTCACCGTCAGAGACCACAGGGGGGCAGCAGGGGCTTGGGAACCAGCTGAGGGAGAGAAAGTCTGGCCTTTGTGCTGTCCTATCTACCCCCGGGGACATGTGGGAGCTTGCAGAGCATGGGACCCCCAGCTGGTGACTACACCGCTGTAACCCACTGCCCAATATCTCTGTGTCCAGCCAGCGAGTCCCAAAAAGGTGTCTGTGTCCTCCTGGTCCCTGGCTGGGAGACAGCACTGCCCCTCCTACCGCATCTGAACACTGAGAGGCTGCGGCTGCAATGCAGGCAAGCAGGGTCAGGCGCAGACAGCTCACACATGGGCCTCACCTGGCCACTGACGTCGGAGACCAGCCCCAAGGGGATGAGGCATTCTGGCTCACTGGCCTGTCCGGCTTCGTCCACAAAGACGTGGGTGAAATGTCCAATTCTAGGGGAGAGATGACTCAGGTGGAGGCTCTGTCAGATTCTCACAGTCCTGCAGAGCCGATCGGCTCAGCACTGGGGCTCAGCAGGGCTGCTGTGTACAGATGTTCCACAACACGACTCCCCGTGAGTTTTGAAGAGCCTACGGGTGTGCACGTTTAATTACATTTTCTGCACACTTCACTAAGCAGTTCTGTATGTGTGTGCGCGGCCCTGGCATTCACGTCCTACACTGTGGTGGCCCGTGGACACCGGCTCTGGCTCCTGACGCCAGCTTCTTGCCATGTGGAGTCTGGGAGCCAGTGGTGACACTCAGCTGGCTGCACTGGTGCCACTCTCGGGGAGAGCTGGACTGGCTCCCTGGCCCCCAGCTCCAGCTGTCCTGGCCACGGCAGGCATTCAGTGAGTTGGCAGACAGGAGCGCTCACTCTCAAAGACTTTAAAAATTCTTCCCTTAAAAACAGTTTGGAGACAACAGGGTGAGGATGGTCCGGGCACTGCACTGGGGGTCCATGTGCAGCCCCACGTGGCAGTGCACTGCCCAGTGTGTGACCACTGGCACAGGCCGGGCTGGGCCACGGATGGAGACTGTTCTCCATCTGCTCCCTTCCTCCTCACCACCTGTTCTATTGGGACATTGCCTGGCCTGCCAAGGCCCCGAGAGCAACAGACAGTATGGGGCCAACGCCTCCCTGGAGGTCCAAGGAAACCACCTAGGGGGAGATAGTAAGTCCACGGCTCCCAGGCTGTGCAGGCAGGACATGCCCTGGGCCCCTGCCTGCCTGCCCAGCTCTCCTCTCCTAGAGAAGACGAACTCTACCCCCTGGGCCCCATGGGCTGGACAGGTGTGCTTGGGCTGCTCCCATGGAGAAGCACCATGGCTCGGGTCAGGACCGCCGATCTTGCTGAAATGCCAGGGTCCTCAGCAGCTCTCTCACGACAAACATGTGTCAGGGTCGCAGCAGCTCTGACGACAAACATGCGTCAGGGTCCTCAGCAGCTCTGACGACAAACATGCGTCAGGGTCGCAGCAGCTCTCTCACGACAAACATGTGTCAGGGTCGCAGCAGCTGACGACAAACATGCGTCAGGGCCGCAGCAGCTCAGACGACAAACATGCGTCAGGGTCGCAGCAGCTCAGACGACAAACATGCGTCAGGCGGTGCAACAGCAATGATTTCTTGAAGCTGCGCAACAAGATGCTCTGTATTCTGGGGGACCTCATTGCACACTGGTGAAGCCCCGAGTGACTCAGCCTCTCTGTGCGGGCAGGGGGGCAGCTGGAGTCTCCAACACAGTCCACAGGCCCCAGCGAGAGAGGGCCTTATACAGTCCTGTTTGTTTCTGGTCACCATCCTGGGCTTGTATCTTGAGCTCCAGCCCCAATGCCACTTCGTCTTAGCTCAAACAGCCTGCGCGACAAGCCACCCCACCCTCTCAGCAATGGCCTTGTGTTTACTCCATGCGAACTCTCTCCACCATGGGACCCCGTTCCCATCTGCTCGAGCTGCCCCAGGACTCCCCTACTGGGCTGCTCCAGTCTGGGACACTTGAGGCTGGCCAGCTCTTGTGAAAGCCATTGTGGACAGGGCTGACCTGGCAGAGTGGGCAGCACGGCACTCCGAGAAGCTCCCCCGTGCTCTGGGCCCGTGGTGGAGCCAGGCCTGCACATGCTCACCTCACGCCGATCTGGTAGAAGAGGCCAGCGCTGCTGCAGGTGGTGATGATGATACGGAAGCGTGAGGCCTTCCAGATGTCCTCGCCGTCCTTGCAGTACGGTCTGATGGCGTCGATGACGGTCTGCGGCAGGAGGAGGGTCACTTTACCTCTCCAAGCAGTACGCATGGACTCCAGCTGGACAGAATCGACACGCTGCTGCCCCGCTGCCGCTGCTCAGCTGGGACTCAGTGCCAACCGAGGGCTGTTCCCTCAAATGACAACCCTGCACCTTCTCATGAACCTCCAGCCTGTGCCCACGAGCACACCCTGCGCAGCCTGCCCCCTAAACAACTTGACGTGTTTTCTGGGTTTCATTTATTTTTTCCCAGTGATTTTCAACCTAAAACAGATCAAAAACTTTTAACTTTCTTATCAGGATACTTAAAATCAAATTAGTAAATGAAACCAAAAAGGAACCACACATCTGGATGGCAATAAAAGAGGATCATAACAATTTAATAAGGCACAAGTGCTCACAACAGAACTAACAGCTCATGGGACTAGAAGATAACAAAATACTCAAGAATAAAATCCTGCCATTAGGGCTGTTGAGTGGCTCAGCAGGGAAGACGCGGCTCAGGATACTGGAATGTCTGCTCCCGACTCTAGCCTCCCTCTGACACAGGCCCAGGGCAGCAGGCACCTTGCCTCAAGTACTCCTGGTGCCCTCTGGGGAGACCCAGGCTGAGTTCTGGGCTCCTGGCTTCAGCCTGGGCCAAACCAGACTGTTTGGACCTGCAGAGTGAGTAAGACTCTCTCTCTTTGCTATCAATAAATAACAAACTCTAAAACACTGCACAGTGAGTTAACAGACAGCACTGGGCAGACATGACCCCACGTGACCTTACCTTGCCCCCACTCACCTCCTCAAACCTGCAGGTGGCGTTCACCCTGACCATGGCCGCCGGCCGCAGTACCTTGCTCTCATGCAAGCGCAAGCACACCAAGTCAGCGGCACTGTTGGAGGGGGCGCACACCAGAATCCGACTGTCCGCCAAGGCATGATGGACCTTCGTCAGGGACACAAGAGACACCGAGTCACAGCTGCAAGGTCTGAGGCCACAGCCCACTCAGGACACAGGCAGGTGCTCACAGCTCAGTGTGGCTCCTGCCTCCTCAGGCACAGGAGGTGGAAGCAAAGTTCCAGAAATGTTAGCAGAACGGGGCTCTGACTTCTCTAAGGCAAGTTCAGTGCAGCAAAATTTCCCTGTGACTGGAACTTAAGACTGTGGGCTGCAAACTGTTGTGTAAATGAACCATTCGCTTCTAAACTCGCGAGCTTTTAGCTACACCTCCCCCGCCCGGCATCCTGCCTATGTTCCCAAGCACTCTGCTTTCTCATCCAGTGTGCCCCACCCGTGAGGACCGGGCACAGCACAGCAGTGGGCACCATCCTCACCTGCAACACAGCCTCGATGATCGTCACCGTCTTCCCAGTGCCAGGGGGTCCAAAAAGAATATATGGCAGTGGGCGGCAGTCCCCACTCAGAATTCTTCGAACCGCCAACTTCTGATTCTCGTTGAGCACTGGGTTAAAAAACTCCTTGTCTTTTGCTTTGGGACTCTCGGTTTCGCTGACTGTATTTAAAGCAGATTCAGAGGGAGGCCAGGAAGCCCGCCTCAGGCTGGGCCAGGACCAGCTCTGCAGGCCACCACCCACACACAGAGCCACACATGCCTCAGGCTGGGCCAGGACCAGCTCTGCAGGCCACCACCCACACACAGAGCCACACATGCCCCTTAGTGTCCCGGTCCCTTGCACAGAGCCCACGCTCCAAAGCCTCTCTCAAGCACCCACAGGAAAGCCCGGCCCCGCCCTTCAGCGTCCTGTCCCCTTTCCTGTAGGCCCCAGGCCCCAGGCCCCGCCACCCTCCTGGGCACGTACCCCCACTGTCCGTCTCGGCAGCCCCCGGCTGCTCCGCGGCACCGACAGTCCTCTCTGTTGCAGCGGCTTTGGTTTGGTCCGTCACAGAGTTTCTGTTCTGGAAATCATCGTGCAGAACATGGTTAAAACCAGGAGTCCTGCGCTTCCACTGGTCTGTTTACAATCAGAGAGCACACACACTTGGACACACAAGCCTGACAGAAAGCCACAGAGAAAGTCCATGCTTCCTGCCTAATTCCCTTTCAAAAACTCCAGCTCAGGGCCCAGCGTAGTAGCCTAGTGGCTAAAGTCCTCACCTTGCACATGCCAGAATCTCATATGGGCACACGTTCTGATCCCAGAAGCCCCACTTCCCATCCAGCTCCCTGTTTGTGGCCTGGGAAAGCAACAGAGGATGGCCCAAAGCCTTGGGACCCTGCACCCAACACAGGAGACCCGGAAGAAGCTCCTGACTCCTGGCTTTGGGTCGGCTCAGCTCCGGCCTTTGCAGCTGCTTGGGGAGTGAATCAGATGGAAGATCTTCCTCTCTGTCTCTCCTCTTCTCTATGTATCTGACTTTCTAACAAAAAACTCCAATAAATTAAAAAAACAACACCCAAGTAGGGTTAGGTGACACTATAGGTTCTTGTGGCCCCTGGCCAGGCACTGCCCTGTCCACTCTCCTGAGGGCATGGGGAGCCCTGTCCTCACAGACTGCTGCCCACAGGGGACAGAGAGGCCTTGAGGTCCTGCAGGCCTGCTTCTGTCATGTTTCAACAGTTCATCCTGGACCAACCAGATGATTCTATTATAAACAAGTGTCGTTCACGACTCTGAATGTACATTTCAAGTCCAACAGTTTGTGGAAAGTGGAATTAAAATTTGATTTGGTGCAAAAAAAATTGAAATCCATTCCTAAAAGAGGGTCTGGGAAATACATATTATGGAACCATCCGGAGACAGATGTCAACTTTCTTGTACCAGACACACTTTTTCAAATCCCTGGCTGCTGCATGCTGATGGGAGTCTCCTTCCTTCCTTTACCTTACAGCCAGCCCCCTTCCACCTGCTGGTTCACTCCCCATGTTCACAATGTCAGGAGCTAAGCTCTTCTGAAGTGAGGAGCCAGAGGCCTCTTCCGGGTCTCCTGTGTTGGGTGTAGGGCCCAAAGCTTTGGCCCATCCTCTATTGCTTTCCCAGGTTATAAGCCGGGAACTAGACGGGAAGTGGGGAAGCTGAGACACGAACTGGTGCCCATATGGAATGGAAGGGGAAGATTCGCCTACTGAGCCACTGCCATGGGCCTGACTTATTTCCTAATTCCATTTCCCTCCCAAACAAATGGATTCAGCGAAAGCCATCAGGTCGCCGCCCAGACATGCAGCAGTGGCTCATGTGAGTCCAGACGTCTGTGCTTTCGATCCACTCCCTAGTCCGGGACACTCTGGGAGACAGCTGAAACCCCCGGGGCAGGCCTGCCTGGCAGGGCTCAACCACAGTACCTGCCGTGTCAGGGCAGGATGGACGTCAGGCTGGGCTGACACTAAGCAGCATGTGAGAAGTGGGTCTGGAGACATTCTGTGGGTTCACTCCATGGGACTGCCATCCCAGCTGGTTTGCTAGAGGGCTGGGAGTGGTGACACACTGAGCTAGGCATAATCATGGAACTCACCAACACTCACGGGTACTGGGGTTGGGAACAGGCTGGGCTGGGTCCAGGCTGTAACACCCACAGGTGCACCCAACAATTGGGTTTGGGATGGACCAGGTCGCAACATCAACCAGCACCAAGACTGACACTGGGTGGCAGACTGCCAGGGAAGAACCTAACAGCCGCTGGTACCTGTTTGATCTGTGTCTAGGAGTGTGCCTGGTGGGGGAACTTGGGGAATTCCCCTGGTGGGCTGTTGCTCCCCCTGGTGAGACCATGAGTCAGGGCTGGGTGTTGGTCAGGCCAGGCAGGGCTGCTTTATCTGTCAGCAAACATGTGGGCTGGCTCTGGGGGAGCAGGCCGGGCAGGTGGGCTGGCTCTGGGGGAGCAGACCAGCATGTGCAGCAGCCAGGGTGGGGTGTGGGCCATGCTGGGCAGGTCTAGCCTGCAGCACCCACCACCAAAACGTGGGACTGGGGGTGGGCCAGGTCAGGCCAGGCCGCAGCATCAAGTGGCAGAGGCCAAGTGGGGTGATGGGTTATGATGGGCTGGGTCAGAGCAACCACTGGCATATGCAAGATCTGTGACTGGGAGCAAGCCTAGTAGGGGAGCTAGGGGGACGTCCCGGCTGGGTTGCAGTTCCCACTATTGAGTGTGAGGTGGAATGGGGCAGCTAACTGGGCTAGACATGACTGCAGCATCCCTTGGCATGGGTGTGAACTGGGTCTGGAGTGCGCCAGACTGGGTGAGGCTCCAGCACCTGAAAGTGCTCACAAGAGAAAGATTTGGTGCAGGACAGGCTGAGCTAGGTCTTGGCACCTGCTGACCACACAAATGTTGGATCTGGGAGTATGCCAGGCAGGGCTGGGCTGTAGCACAGCCAGAATGGGTGTGGGCTGGTCAGACAACTCTGTTGTACCTGCCAGGACAGGAGGTGGGGCGAGTCAGGCTAGGCCAAGAACCCACCAATATACCTGAAAACTGTGACTGGGAGGTGACTTATTTGAGGAGCTTGGGGCTCCTCTGTCAGGACGCAGTTCCTGTAGGTGAGCACAAGAACCAGGCTGGGAGCAGCCCAGACCAGGCGAGGTTACAATCTCAGCCAGCATACATGTGGCTCAGGTCTGGAGGCAGGCCAAGCTGGGCCAGTTCGTAACATCCACTGGTAGATGTGAGAACCAGGATGGGGTGCGGCCAGTTCACACTAGGGCCAGGACTGGGGGCTGGCCAGGGCTATAAACCTGCATGTGAGCTGCTTGGGGGGGTGGGCAGGTTGGGTTAAGTGACCGTATCCATTGGTACATCCACAAGCTAGAGTAAGAGCAGGCTGGTTGGGCTTTGCTAGGTTGGTCCTAGGACTGAGACAAATCCTGTCAGGTGAGACCACAGAACAACCTGGAAAGTGCAAGATCCAGGCCTGAGAGAGGGCCTAGTAGAGATAGTGTGGGTGCCCCTCAGAAGGCTGCAGCTCCCACTGGTGAGCATGAGAGCCAGAGCTGTGGGTGGGCCTGGCTGGACAGACAGTGGTACTGCTCGCATGCATGTAGCTGGATAGGGGGTTGGTCAGGCTAAGCTAGGCTGCTATGCCCTCTGATGTGTAAGAGAGCTGAATGGGATGCAGGAGAGATTGGACCAGTCTGCTGCAAACATGAGCATACACAGAAACCAGGTCTGGGGACAAGCCTGGTAGGGGTTCCTGAGGGCTGCTCTGATGAGGCTGCAGTTCCTGCTGGGGTATGTGAGGACCAAGTATATAGTGGGAGGGTTAGGCTGGGACAGAGCATCCACTGGTTTGCGTATGATGGGGCTGGGGACAGAACTGACCAGGTGACTACAGCCACCAGAGTGTGTGTAGGCTGATGTGGGTGATGGAATGAGCCGGACCCCGCACTGGCTGGCACATACCTGAGTCAGGTCCGGGGTTATCTCTGGTGAGGTTTCTTTGGGGACTCCCTCCCAACTGGACCACTGGACTCAGAACTCCTACCAAGGGGAAAACCACAGGACCTGAGGTCTGACTGTGGAGTGCATGTGTCAGAACTGGGTCTCCTTGGTTGCTGAAGTCTGTGAAGTGACAGCACAGCCAGAATCGCATGGGCGACATGACAGTTCATGGAGGCCTGCAGATGGACTGTCAGCCTGTGGACCTTGGAATCGTTTCCTCAACACTGGAGCAACAAAACCAATATCACAGAACTATGGAAACCACTTAAGGAGTGCCCTTGGGATATACTCCACATCGGGAGTCCTAGGATGACATCGGGTGGCTGTCCCTCGTCCCTGATGTGGCTAGGTTCTGGGAGCAGTCCTCTCCCCTTCTCTCTCCCCCCCCCCCCGATACCAGAAGAAAGAAAATTGGAAGCAATTGTCTCATCTACTTTCCCCAGACCTTGACACTCCCACACTGATCAGTGTGGGCATACAAAACCAACTATGTAAACATCATCAAAAAGAAAATACATTTATTATACAAATACCCCGCAACACTCACCAAGACCGCAAATGTAGCAGTCTGTGTTACGCTCCTTCCACACTTTCTCTTGCATGCACCAGCACGTGAACCTGTCTGGGTTTCAGGAGTATCTCGCTGTGCTCCACTTAAGACACAGCAGTCATGTCGAGCTCCCACACAACTGCCTGCCCAGGCCCCTGTGGTTACTTGTGCATCAGAGTCCTCATTACAGACCCGTCAGCTGGCACGAAGCAGTCTAGATATTCACTCACTGCCACCTGCTCACACGTCAGAGGCCACGGCAGCAAAGCCTTACCTTGGAGGCAGACTCTCCGTCGTTTCGGGCATCTTGTGTGAGGTTCCAACTCACTGTCACTTGGGGAGACTGTAAAATGACTTCTTCTGGAAACAAAACTTGGAAAGCAAGCAGAGGGCAAGGGCAGATGTTAGTGCAGAACTCAGGCCAGCGTGGCCCCTGCTGCACCTCCCCTAGCGTCCTCCAGCGTGTGCCTCCTGGGACCCCCTCACAGTGCTGCCACAGCTCCACTGCACTGTCTCCAGCCATGTGGAAGGCAGAGCAACTCAGCTCTCAAATACTCATGTGTGATGCTCTACAGAGTTGAACAAGTAAGAAAACATGAACATTCTTTAGGAGAAAATAAATGGGCTGGCACGAGTTAGGCTATTGCCTGCAACACAAGCACCCCACGAGGGTCCTGGTTTGAGTCCCAGCTGCTCCACTTCTGATCTGGCTTCCTGCCAACGCATCTGGGAAGCAACAGACGGAGCACAAGCGCCTGGGCCCAAGCACCCGCTGGGAGACCCAGCCCACCTCCAGTCATCAATAGCCATCTGGGAAGCAAACCAGAAGACGGAAGATCTTTCTTACTCTGGTTTTAAAACAAAAACATGTTAAGAGATGGAAGCTTCATTTAAAAACATGTGGCTATCACACGGTTTCCCTCTAACACGTGACAGGAGACTATTTGAACACCATGCACCCCACTGGCCCCCGAGGTTACAGTCACTCTGCAGGAAGACTCACAAACAGTACCTTTGACACCCAAGTGGATGACTTGCTCCAGTGCAAAATGACATCGTCTGCTCGTGGTCCTACCGGACAGACAAGGAGAAACACCATGAGTTAGAATCATGACGGCCGACAGGAGCAACACAAACTTGTGTATCCAGATGCTACAGCCTGAGTTTCACTGCCATGTCATCCTGGGAGGTACCATGGTGACCTGGCCATCAGGGGACGGGCCCCATGATGACAGATGAAGGCCAGTGGCTGGTGACAGTGCAGGGCTTTTCTGTGCCACGTGCTACAGTGAGCAGCAAGACACTGCCCTATTGCCACTGCTTGGGCAGCAGACTCCTCCAGCTTGCAGACAGACCATGTGGAGGTCTGGAAACATGTTTGCCAAGGCACGTGAACTACACGTCTCTACAGAACACGGGGGATCCAGGAGTGCTCCCAACTCTTCAGAAGGAACACCCTTGGTGTCAGAATATTTCCAACAGCATGTAGCTGGGACAGCGGAGGCCTGTGGGATCCTGTTGAGAAGAGGCTCCAGGAACGCGGGGGAGGGCCTGTCCCCACAGTGCACTCCTGCCCCGAGTGGGTCCTTGGGTGGGCTCTCATGCTCTCCTTGATGACAAGCAGGCATCTGTGCTCTGGTCACCAAGGACAGACCGTACTTCTCATCTATTCCTTATTTCAATAATGCTTTGACCAGGTCGTCTTGGCAGCCTCCTTGAACTCTCTGTTCCCAGACATGACCTAATTCTGAGTTGTGTCTGAACTATTGTTTTACTAAGTGTATGAGAACTAACCCTGGAAATAAACTTTGTCAGTTGCCCCGGAGAGTACTGTCCCCCCATTGCTCCCCAGGAACCCACAAGGAGAACTTGTATTTGGCATGAGGACAACACGGACTCTGCTGGGAACACTGCTACTCCAATGGCCAAGGGAACAAGCGGGAAGGTCACTGGACTGGTGAGGGTCTTTTTAGAAACTGACCACAGAGAGCTGAGCCGGGGGCAGCGTAAGTCCACCTCTAAGGAAACAAGACCCCTGAAGAGGAGGACCTGGGCTGCAGCGTGACAGGGCACAGAGGCGATCCCCAGGGGCCTCCTGGGGCTGGAGCCATGGCGCATGCTCCGGGGTTGCCCCAGGACCTACTGCCCACTTGCAGGCAGAATCCCAGTGTGTGCACAAGACTTCCTGGAGGCCTCTCGCGGGCCTCCCCATGCCGGTCCAGCCCTGAGGGGCTGCCAGACATGCAGGCTCTGGGCTACTCTCGCTTCTCTCCGCTCGCTGCCATTTCCCACAGTCACCTGGGGTACAGTGAAAGAACCTCCCTACCAAGAACAAGGCAGCTTAATGCAAACCAGTTAGAGAGGAAAAGCCCTGAGAGCGGACTCGCGGCTGTCCTACAGACTTTACACCCTGGCGGAATGGCTGCTGGACCGTCTCCAGGTTCTCCAAGGCAGAAGGAGGACGAAAGCTCTATGACAGTGACTCCAGAATGGGGCCGAGACACAACCACGCACAATGCAGGCACAGACCACCTCCCAACAGCCACCAAGTAGCACAAGACAGTATGAGCCAGAACATTCCAGAAACATTTTTAGGTAGTAAGCCACTGAACCACAAACAATGTATTCACGTCAGGTACAAGAGGGGTTGCTACAAAGTCAAAGTCATCCAGATAAAATTCATCAAATCAGTGGGTTGAAGGATAAAATGATGACCTCCAGCAATGCTGCAAAGTTAGTGGATAAATATTTAGTAGTGACATCTTACAAGAGAACCTGAACAGCCCAGAACAGGGCTAACAGGAAACACTGAGATTGACAAAGGTACCACCCCAAAGCCATTTCAATTAAAACACAAAGACGCAAAGGGAAACCCCTTGAGAACAAGGCAGAGCAGGTGGGAGGGGAGGGTCCTCAGCCACAGCACTGAGCCTGGGGCAGGCGGAGGACCTGCATCCTCCCTGGGAGAAGAGATGCCCCCTCCGACCCAGGCACACTGTGCCTTCTGGTCACTGTGCCAGGGCACGCCTCTCCGGCACTAGAGGGACACTTCCTTTAACAGCGAGTCACCCAGCACCCAGCAGCTCAGGTAGAAACTCAGCAGGACAGAGCTGAAACTGAAGCAGAAAAGCACTAGCAAGCTCCAAGCAGGGTGAAGTCAAGCAGGTGCCCAGCCGGCTGAGGGAAGGGAGACATGAGTGCGTTATCAGAAACAGGAAGCACGTGTCGCCACGGCTGACCAAGGCAATGTTGTCAGGAACAGAACACAGGAAGACAACCTGGATGAAATGCAAAGTCCCAGGCCTGGTGGCGTGGCCTAGTGGTTAAAGTCCTCGCCTCGAACGCACAGGGATCCCATATGGGTGCCAGTTCTAATCCCAGCAGCTCCACTTCCCATCCAGCTCCCTGTCTGTGACCTGGGAAGGCAGTCGAGGATGGCCCAATGCTTTGGGACCCTGCACCCATGTGGGAGACCCGGACAAGGTTCCTGGTTCCCGGCTTTGGATTGGCACAGCACTGGCTGTTGCACTTGCTTGGGAAGTGAATCATCGGACGGAAGATCTTCCTTTCTGTCTCTCCTCCTCTCTGTATATATGACTTCGTAATAAAAATAAATTAATTAAAAAAAAAGAAAGAGATGCACAGACCCCTTTAAGAACAGCACTGAAGCTTACTGAGGACACCAGTAACCTGAGGGGTGTCAGATCTGGTCAACAAATGGCATCTTTTTTTTTTCCCACAATTTTTCCAAAAGAAAACTTGGGAGCCAAGGACGTCAGGGTTGAGTCTCACCAAACATGCAAGGAAGAGAACATTGGATCCACACCCGCTCCCCTAGACACTGGAGAGGAGGGGACACTCAGCATCTGCCGTGAGTGTGTGCACTCAGAGTAACATCATCGCAGCAAATCAGCCGGGCAGCTCACTGCAGGCACGCAAGGCTGCTTTACATGCTGAAGCCAGAAAGGCTGCACAGGATGGCCAAGAGCTTGGGAGGCTCGACGAGGCTCCTGGCTCGGACTCCAGCCCGGCCCCACTGCAGTCATTTGGGGAGCAAACCAGCGGATAAAGTACCTTTCTTTGTCTCCTTTTCTTTAAAAACTCCATTCCTTTAATAAAATTAATGAATCTTCAGGCCCAGCACGATGGCTCAGTGGCTAAATCTACACCGGAACCAACTTCCAGAAGGTCCTTCTCTAAGAGGGTTGGTTGTGAAAGCCAGGCTGAACATCGCCGCCTCCTCTGGCTCCTGGGCACCACAAGCCACCCTCTGGTCTCCCTGGATGTCCAACTCACCTTGGCCAGAGGCCTCCTGAACATACACCAACATAAACCCATGCACTGACTGAAAACAAACCTACCCACCTACACACATAACTCCCGCTAAGCGCACGCGCGCTCACACACACACACTTTCTCCCTCTCTCTCCATCTGGCGGCCTCCCACCTGGCACTCAGAGCTTCTCACCAGCGTCTGCTCTAGCTCTGGCACATCTTAAACAACACGGCCCCCTCAGCAGCCTCAGGGGCTCTGCACCCTGCCCTCCACTCTCTCACAGCTGCTTTAACAGCTCTCGTCAAACCACGTGCCCATCATATTTCCCAAAACATCATCATCTTTTACAAAAGACATGAAAATCACAAACATAAACAAAACACATATGACCACATGAAAAACTAACTAACTCTTTGTTAAGAAATATTTTAGAGAAAGCTATAAAACAAGTAACCAACCTGGAAAAGATGCACATCAAAGAACAGGCTAGCGAGTACAGCCACGGCTGCACTTCATAAACATGGTTCAATCAAAGAGGGTGGAAGGCGCACACGCACAGATGAGACCTCCATAGCTAAGCGACATGGACACTGTCACTTTCCTTGTGACCAGAGAAATCAAACCCATACCACACGTTCTCCACCACACAGCTTCCAGACTGCCACAAACCAAGGAATTCCCAGCAGTGGGTTCCTGGGGGGCACAAGCCAATGGGCTCTCACACAGAAACAGCTACCTGCAAGGCTGCTTACTCCTGACAGCAAACCACAGCACAGGAGAACAGGAGACGCGGGACGCTGTCGCACGAGAGCCAGTGATGCAGAATAAAGGAATGAGCCAGTTATAGAGCGTCCTGGAGAAATCCGGTGACAGGTGGAGTGGAAAAGGAAACCCCCACACACAGCAAAACTGCTTTTATAAAGTTCAAAAGAATTAAAACTAAAGAATATGTTGTGTCTGTATGAGTACACACAAACTGCTTTTTAAAGAAAAATATGGGCCTGGCACAATAGCCTAGTGGCTCAAGTTCTTGTCTTGCAAATGCCGGATCCCATATGTGCACCAGTTCTAATCCCGGCAGCTCCACTTCCCATCCAGCTGGGAAAGCAGTCAAGGACAGCCCAAAGCCTTGGGACCCTGCACTCCTGTGGGAGACCTGGAAGAAGTTCCTGGTTCCTGGCTCCTGACTTTGGATTGGCTCAGCTCTGGCCATTGCAGCCACTTGGGGAGTGAATCATTGGACGGAAGATCTTCCTTTCTGTTTCTTCTCCTCTCTGTATATCTGACTTTTCAATAAAAGTAAATCAATCTTTAAAAAAAAAAAGAAAAAAAAGAAAAGTATGGGGCCAGTGCAATGGCTCAATTGGCTAATCTTCCCCTTCGAAGCACTGGGATCCCATATGGGTGCTGGTTCATGTCCTGGCTGCTCCACTTCCAATCCAGCTGCCTAATGGTCTAGAAAAGAGAGAGAAAAGTACTTGGTTCTTGCACCCATGTGGAGGACCTGAGTCAAGCTCCTGGATCTGGCCACTGCAGCCACCTGGGGAGTGAACCAGTACATAGAGGTCTCTCTCTAGCTGGGGTCCATGCAGAGGGGAAGGGACAGCTGAGCTGCAGCACTGGCTGTGCAGGTGAACGGGCAGGCGGGTGACAAGTGGGGACGCTGGTGCTGACCACGGCTTGGTGCAGAGAGCCCAGAGTGCAGCCATGCACAGCGTGTACCTGCGCACACACAGCACAAGTCAACGCACCCCAGGTGTGTCCGGGGACAGAGAGGGGTGTGCAATTACCTGTTATACGTGAATTCCACATCCATGGGTTCAGAGTTATAGCTCTGTTCAAACTCTGGGTTAAGTTTAAGAGTAACATCTTCTTCATGAATCTAAGAGAGAAATACACAGGTTGATTTCCAGATATATTGCCTCACGTCCTAGATTAAGTGTGTTTATCTAGCAAAAAATTATGAGAAACTCACTTTACAGATTTGAGCCTGAATTTGCTTAAATGTCTTTAAAATTAACTGAGGAGGAAGAAGTCACTATGCTGCATATCACACAGGAGGGATTCTCAGCAGCAGGCCCGCCTCACTGTCCGCGAGATGAGGGCTGGGTGTGCAGGCCAGCTACGGCAGCAGGCCCACCTCACTGTCCGCGAGATGAGGGCTGGGTGTGCAGGCCAGCTACGGCAGCAGGCCCGCCTCACTGTCCGCGAGATGAGGGCTGGGTGGCAGGGCAGCTACGGCTTCTCAGAAAGCTTGCTCTAGAACCTCCCCTAGTGGCAGCACAGGGAACAACAGACTCTGGGAAGCCTCCTCCCTCACTCTAGATTCTGTACATTCTTTCCTGGATAAACAAACAACAAGAACAATTCTGAAGAAACACAGGAGGGAAGACAGGAGGCACAAGCCTGAGCTGAAGTGTATCAGCGTGAGAGGTGCGCAGGCAGGTGGGGCTTCCTGAAGGCCCGGAGGTGTGAAGTCTGCGGCCTGACCAAGCGCTTGTGCTGTGCGGCAGAGCTGCTGCTCTCGGCAGACCCGGTGTCACAATCCCGACTACAGACACCGCTCAGCGGAGGTGTCTGGGTTCCCCAGAAGGAAGAGGAAGGAAAATCAATCTGTCATCAAAGGGCCTAAGCCCAGGGAAGCAAGCTCCCCACAACAGCTGGCAGTGGCAACCTCACCCACAGGAATCCCAACACTTCACTATGAAGTAAACACACATGGATACCAGGAACATACCAGGGGGCTTGGAAGGGGCACACCATGCTGCATCCCAGCAGACGGCCACCAGCACAGCCTTCCCTCCACAGGGATTCCAGGACTGCCAGTGGTCCACAGCGGCCACCTGGATGGCTCCTGCTGCCCATGCTGTCTGTGGCTAGAGGCGGCAGTACAGCAGCAGCAAGGCAGCGGTAGCATCTGCAGCTTTGCGGATACATACCGCTGCTCTGGCCAGCATTCAGCTGCAGGAAGCCAGCAAGGAACTAGCCAACTTCACCATGAACTGCATCCCTCTGAGTAGCTGACCTTGTGGCACAGAACTTTATGCCCTGAGGCCATGTGCTTGCACTAGAAACTGAATGAGCAGGCTGTGTGCAGCCACCGATGGGTCAGGGGCCAGAGAGGGCCACTCAGCTGCACCTCACCCCGATTGTCTGCCCTGTTTCTTGAGTGGCTATGGGGCCTAGTATTGCCTCTAGCACCACTGGACCATGGGGAGTCTGCAGCGGCCACTTGGCTATCACATGATAAGCACTGTCACATGATAAAACCTGCCATGTTGCCACACCGATAGGGCTCATCTTTCACTCACAGGTTCCCTCCCCGTGCCCTCCACAGCCAGGCTGGTCTGGACCCAGGCGCTCTGAAAGGACACGTGGGAGCTGCAGGGATGGACTTGCATCTTCTTTGCTTCCCTAGTTAGAAGTTTCTATCTGAAATGGACCATTCCCGTCCTCTTCTCCAACACTTCTCTGGTCACCCACACACAGGCTAGCAGCACCCACTGTCCTGCACTCTGCCCACACACAGGCTAGCAGCACCTTTGAGTCCTGCACTCTGCCCACACACAGGCTAGCAGCACCCACTGTCCTGGACTCTGCCCACCCACAGGCTAGCAGCACCTTTGGGTCCTGTGGACACTGCAGCCCAGGAATCAGTACCATTACCTTACAGGACAGGGGAGAACACTCAGGCACAACAGATGTCTTTTGTTTTAGTGGCTCAGATTTGAAACTGTCTTGGAGTCTGGGGACAAGGGCCCCCATGCATCTTGGCCTCTCATGGCAGAAGCAGGCAGCACCCAGTGCCTGCCCTCCATGCTGGGGCTCAGGATAGAGCACAGCCAGGCAGGTACGATGGACTCTTGGTCAGTGCCTCGTGGCCCTGGGGCACAAAGACAGGACTCTACCTGAGTTATGGCACCAGAATCCACCCCCCGGACTTGCTGCAGGTTCCCAGGAACATTGCTGACAGCACCTCCTCCAGACCAGCAGCCCCAGTCTACACACATTTCATCTGCTGGGCCATGAAACACTGAGAGCAGACTTGGGGTGCGTGTCATCACCCCTGCTGTTTCCAGCAACACCCCCCACCCCGGGGGGAGGTCCCTCCACAGGGCTGGGCTTCAGGGATGTCCAGTGGCTCTTATCGTTGCTACGCTGCTACGTCAGGCCTTGCTGGTTTGCTGTCTACCCACTACCACAGCTTGGAAGATGGGCATCTGCAGTGGCCCTAGTGTTAAGCCTTGATTGAGGGGGTGCAGTGAGAGGTGGGGCCCTGTAGGGGCTGGGTGTTAAGTCACCACCTGGAAGGCAGAGCCCTCGTAAGGGAGTGGCTGTAGAGGTCTAAGCTGGGCCTCACCAGCTCTGCTTCCTACTTCCATGATTCTTATCTGTATGCCTCCTCCATCCTGAAAGGCCACAACAGCAGAGGACAGAGCAGCAGAGCCAGAAGCCAGGAAATTCAGCTGGGAATGCCCCGAGGCTGCAGGGACTCAGGCACTGGCACCGTTAGCCACTGCTTCCTGGAAACCCTGGCAAGGGACAGCATCAGAAGCCGGATGTCCTGAGACAGGGTGCCAGGGCACACGTGCCTGCTTCACCTGCGGTGCCAGCCTGCCTTCTGGGGTGCCAACACACCCTTCGTGGCCCCTCTTCTTCCAGGTACACGAACAAGGTCTCCTGTGACAGGGATCTGTGTCAGTGTCCACCTCCTCTCAGCACCAAGCCAGACCAAGGCAGCATCTCCACGCGCACATGCTGCACCGGCCACGGACAGCACGGCCACGGCTGCGTCCAGGGACAGGAGCAGCATGGCAAAGGCCAGCTGTTGCAGATGTCTAACCCTCTCAGGTTCTCTCGTCTCCTTCACCCTTCCCCACGGGGACAGATGCACACCCCTAACTGTTGTGACTCCGTCCCCCAGTCTCAACACCTGCAACGGGGCCAGGCCAGAGCTGGGAACTGGGGACTCGGGACTCATTCCAAGTCTCCCAGGGGGTGCCGGAGCCACAGCTGTGGTCAGGACCAGGAATGGGGACTGAATTAAGGACTTCAGTGTGAGCACAGCGTGGCTCTCTTCTTTAAAGATGTATTTATTTGAAAGGCAGAAGGACACAGACAGAGGGCAGCAGGGGCAGACACACACACAAGCACAGGTTCTACCTGCCAGCTCAGAGAGAGGGGGAGGAAGAGAGAGAGAGAGGGAGAGAGAGAGGAGAGGAAGAGAGGGGGAGGAAGAGAGGGAGAGGGAGGGAGAGAGAGGGAGAGAGAGAGGGAGAGAGAGAGGAGAGGAAGAAAGGGGGAGGAAGAGAGGGAGAGAGGGGGAGGGAGAGAGAGGGAGGGAGAGAGAGGAAGAGAGAGAGGAGAGGAAGAGAGGGGGAGGAAGAGAGGGAGAGAGGGAGGGAGAGAGGGGGAGGGAGAGAGAGAGGGGAGGAACAGAGAGAGGAGAGGAAGAGAGAGAGAGGGGGAGGGAGAGAGAGGAAGAGAGAGAGAGGGGAGGGAGAGAGGGAGAGAGAGGGAGAGAGAGGTTCGCTCTGCCAGCCCACCTTCCTAAGGCAACAGTACCAGACTAGGCCCAAGTCAGCACCTAGAGCCATCCTCAGGGTTCGCGCATCTGAGTGCCAGAACTTGGACCATCTTCTGCAGCTTCCCAGGTGCCTTTGCGGGAAGCTGGGCTGGGAGCAGAGTAGTCAGGACTTGAACTGGCATTCTGGCAAGGGATGCAGGCGTACCACATCTCATCCCTTTCACAGCTGCTGACACACAGGCTAAACACTCCCCTTCCCAGACTCCAGGCCGGGCTCCGAGTGCCAGCGGAGCTTGGGTCACACAGTTCCTTTCACCCCAACTCTTGAGCCCATTTCCCTGCTGTGCCTGCACTGTGCCAGTTCCTTCAGAATGTCCACAGCCAGTTTATGCTTCTGTAAAAGGGAATACTCTACACACTTGAAAATGACAGCATTTCTCTCTCAAGTTGCATTTATACAGCAGAGATTATTCAAAGTTCACTTTTTTCTTCATATTTCCCAGACTCAAAGGCCAACGGAGCGCATCACCTAGGAGCCGAACTACGAAGTCTACCTTTTGGTCGCTGCCGCTTAGTCTGCCATGAGTTCTGGAAGAGTCCTCACCTCAATCACATAGCCAATGTACTCGATGACATGTCCGTTGTACTCCTGAGTCTTTAAAATCAGCTTATCACCTGCTTGGAAGACACATCAGCACATGTAAGACGGACAACGGCTGCTGCCCTGCAGCGTCTGACTGCGAGCACCGAGGCAGAAAAGAACACCGCAGCACCAACTGCCCTCAACAAAGGGGACCTGGTGGACACACTCCCAAGTGCTCAAGGGACCCACCGAGACGGCCCAGAGCAACGTCCTGTCCCTTCCTGGGGACATGCGAGTGATGGTCACACCTGCATACAGGGAAGGCCTGCTCTCCGCCAAGCCCGGGACCTCCAGCACCAGCAGCTCCCCGTTCCTCTTCAAGGTGACTCCACTCATGTTGTACTCCTTCAGCTCTATTTCTGCATGGATCTCCTCAAGCCACAGCAGAGTGGAGAACTTCTCCTTGTAGTTGGACATGTTCAAAAGCTGAAAAGCCACAACAGAGCACACTCCTTAGTGTGCGGCACCACGCTCATGCCTGGGAGACAGGGCGGCGGGCCGAAAGGGGCCGCGGCCGCCAGAGCCATGCTCAGCACACGTCAGGCCTCTGGTCTTGGGACGGGCCACTGGGAATGACTGCTGTGTCCGCTGTGGCCGCACTGGCTTTCATCTCCTCAGAACCAGGAAGTGAAAGGTCTGTGGAACTGGGCCTCTCTGGGAGGCCCTTCATTTATTCATGTTTTTATCTTTAAAGATTCTCCTATTTAAAATGGCACAGTGACAGAGTGAGTGCAGGAAGTGCAGCAAGATTGAGACCGCCCCATTAACAGGCTAGAGCCAAGAGTCCCACCCAGGTCTCCACGAGCTGCAGGGTCCCAGGCATCTGGCCATCCTCCTTGGCTTTTCCAGACCATTAGCAGGGGGCTGGATCTCAAGTGGAGCAGCTGGGACTTGAACCAGTGCCCACACGGGATGCCAGTGTTGTAGGCAGAGGCCTTCCTGCTGGATGCACAATGCTGGCCCTTAGGTTTACATTTTTTCACAGCTATAAAAATTTCCTCTATGTGCTTATGTACCTAATTATTTACATTCAAATTTGCTGCATAAAAATAATTAATTCTTACATATTTGCTTTTTAATTTCATCTCTGATGGTGTCATGCACGTGTGAGCTTTACCCCGGTCCCCATGTGAGTGCAGGCGGCCAAGCAGCTGTGCTATCTGCTGCTTTCCCAGGTGTGTAAGTAGGGGACTGCATGAGTGGGCAGCTGGGACTCCAACTGGAACTCTAACATGGATGCCAATACCACAGTTAGCAGTTTGACCCTCTGTGACAACAGTGGCCCTGACCTCTGCGCCAAGGCTGGTCCTGACCTCTGTGCCAAGGCTGGTCCTGACCCTCTGCGCCAAGGCTGGTCCTGACCCTCTGTGCCAAGGTCTGACCTCTGTGCCAAGGCTGGTCCTGACCCTCTGTGCCAAGGCTGGCCCTGACCCTCTGTGCCAAGGCTGGTCCTGACCCTCTGCGCCAAGGCTGGTCCTGACCCTCTCTGCCAAGGCCTGACCTCTGTGCCAAGGCTGGCCCTGACCCTCTGTGCCAAGGCTGGCCCTGACCCTCTGTGCCAAGGTCTGACCTCTGTGCCAAGGCTGGCCCTGACACTCTGTGCCAAGGCGGGTCCTGAACTCTGTTCCAAGGCTGGCCCTGACCCTCTGTGCCAAGGCTGGTCCTGACCCTCTGTGCCAAGGCTGGCCCTGACCCTCTGTGCCAAGGCTGGCCCTGACCCTCTGCGCCAAGGCTGGCCCTCTGGGAGGCATTTTCTGTAGCAGTTTTCCAGAAGTGACGGTGTCACTCATTCCTAAAGCATTTGCACAGCAGTCACATTATGGACTCTACATGTTTTAATCTTTTTTGTTCATGGTCTAGGATATGGTTTAACTTGGTAAATGTTCCTTGTACAATTCAACACCCTTTCATGATAAATAAACAAAACAAAACAAAACACAAAACTCAACAGGCAGAAGAAAATGGCCTCAAAATAACAAAGACATTGTAGCAAGGTCCAGCCCAGGCAGCAGCGTCCTTCCCACTCAGCTACTGTCCTCCCCACCCGGCTACCTCCTCCCCACCTGGCTACCATCCTCCCCACCCGGCTACCGTCCTCCCCACCTGGCTACCGTCCTCCCCACCCAGCTGCTGACCCAACTGAGGGTCTGGATCCTAGCCAGGGTAAACAGACACTCAAATCGGAAGTGAGGAAGCCAAACTGATCCTATTTAAGGAGATAGAACATGAGTTTATTAGGTAAAAATCCTAAGGGTTCCACAAACACAACTGGTCAGAATACGTGAATTCAGCAAAGCAACAGGATGCAAAAATGAGCTGCATTTCAAACACCAACAACGGACTACCTGAAAAGGAGAACACGGAAGTGGTTCCATGTACAGCAGCATCAAAAGTCATGAAGTGGGTCTGGTGTGACAGCCTAGTGGCTAAATCCTTTCCTGCATGCGTCGGGACCCCAAAGACTCTGGTTCGTATCCTGGCTGCCTCCCATCCAGCTCCCTGCTTGTGGCCTGGGGAAGCAGCAGAGGACAGCCCAAAGCCTTGGGAACCTGCACCCACGTGGGAGATCTGGCAGAAGCTCCTCTCTCCTGGCTTTGGATCAGCTCAGTTTCAGCCATTGCAGTCACTTGGGGAGTGAACCAGCAGACAGAGGACTTCTGCATTCCTTCTCTCTGTAAATATGCCTTTCCAATAAAAATGTCTTCAACAACAACAATAATGTACTTAAGCAAGAAGTGAAAGACTTGGGACATGGTGTCACAGCGCACAAAGCTGCCGCTTGCAATGCTGGCATCCCACAAGAGCACTGGTGTGAGCCCTGGCTGTTCCACCCCAAACCAGCTCCCTGGTTATTGTGCATGGGAAAGCAGCGCAGCACTCACGTGGGAGACTCGGATGAAGTTCCTGGCTCCTGGCTTTGGCCTACCCTAAGGCTGACTGCTGTGGACACTGGGGAGTACAGCAGACGGAAGAGCTGTCTCTCAGCCTTTTTCTGTAACTCTGCCTTTCAAATACATAAAATAAGTCTTTTCTAAGCCAGAGAGCTGTGGGATGAGAACTAAAACCCTGCTCAGTCACCAGAGCAGCAGCTGCACGCCCACAGCAGGCCTCGAACCGGCTAACCACAGGGTCAACAGATGTGGTGCACTTTCCACGCAAACCCCTGCAACAGGTTTTGTAGATAAAGAGACTCATACTATAATTCATAGGAAAGCTCAAGAAACCTTGGACAGTTCAAGTAGCTTTGGAAAAGGACAGTTTGAAAGTCCGATGGTGGGCCAGTGCAGTGGCACAGCAAGCTAATCCGCTGCCCATGGCACCAGAACCCCAAGTGGGAACTGGTTTGTATCCCCACTGCTCCACTTCTCAACCAGCTCCCTGCTGATGGCCTGGGAAAAACAGTCGAGGACAGCCCAAAGCCTCGGTATGGAAAGACACAGTAACGTGGCCCAGCCAAGTGCAGGGGCTGCATGAGCACGGAGCCAGGCAGCACTGACAACCTGGAGGGCACAGGTCAGCATCACGGCCTTTCACACTGAGCGAATGTCACGTGGGAGCAGAGTCCTCCAGCAGCACCAGTCTGGAGCCTCACCGACACCTGACAACACCCCAGCAAGCAGCAGACACAGAGGACTGCACCGGTCCATCAAATGGGTCGGGGGCATCCGAGGACTCAGGTCACCCAGTGGGGTCAGCAGAGGCGCTGCGGCACAGAGGCTTCCCTCCTCCCCACAGGGTTCCCTGTGTCCCTCGTCCTCTCTTGAGTCATCACTGAGCCCACAAAGGGCAGGGGACAGCAGGCCTCCCGGGGACACGCAGCCGCCTCCTGGCCTGGTACTACCTTGGAGGGCTCCAACCCCCGGCCCTGGAGGGGGGCTGTGTCCCAGGCGGGGAGCTGCTGTGAGGCCGGGCCTCTGTTCAGAGCACTAGGTGGCAGCACAGAGCGCCTGGGCAGAGGCTGCGGGCCAGCAGCAGACCCCCCTCCCGTCCTGAGTCCCCACAGTGGGTGAGGGGCATGCCTCCGGGAGGCCTCCCCAGCCAGCAGCCCCTGCCCACCTCGGCGAGCATCGGCTGGAAGGTCAGGACGTCGGTCTTGTGCTCCACACACTTCCTCAGTCTGTCTGGGATCGGGTACTGCGGGAGAAAGCTTGGAAGCTGTCGTCTTGAGTTCCTTAAACAAAACAAAACAAAACCAGCACAAGCTAAGAGCAGTTCCTCACCATCGGACTCTCCCACGTAGACTTCGTCTCCTGGGCTGCAGGAGCACACGCCTTCACCCCACACCCTCACACGCTATCACATGTCCGACTTGTGGCAGCCCCATACCCAGCTGGGGCACTGGCTCCACCTGGTGAAGTCTCAATGTCTTTCGGGCTGCCCTTCCTCTTGAGGGTCCAGTGTTACCTGCAGCTCCTGCACCTCTCTACGTGAGGGGAGGACAGCCCTGCTGCCACGCACGTCAGACACAGAAATGATTAAGCAGCGAGGGGAAGTGGCAGGGCCCCTGGAAGCCGAGGAGCCTTGCAACAGCGCAAGCATTCCCTCGGGCAGAGGGCTGAGGTGCCAGGGCACCAGGACTCCTGAGTCCAGGGGCCAACGGTGCTCCCCAGGCTCCTCCTCCAAACAGCTCGGCTTCTGCGTGGGCTCCACAGGCCGTCCTCAGCACAAACTGTCACTATCCCTGTGCGGGGAACACAGATGGGAAGCAGCTGGCCCTGCGGGCCTTCTCAGTCCACATGTGCTGTAGGCCAGGAGCAAGCACTGCCCCAGCGTGGCGAGCGGAGGGCCTGGCGGGCGGGGCACTGAGGGGAAGGCAGCGATGCCCAGCAGCATGCGAAGGGCAGGCCCAGCCCCTCAGCACCCAGGCCACCCTTCTGACCCCCCAGGAGCCTCTGGGGCTGCCAGATGCTCCCACAGGGAGATCACTGACCAGGGATGCAAGCACCTGGGTGCTGCGGGAACCCGACACACTGAGCCTGCAGGAGATGGGACAACATGGACTCTGAAATCCAGGATTCCCACCTGTGTATTCCGGGGCAGGTCCTGTATTCCAACCCACCCAGCACAGGAGGAGACGAAGGTCCACAATACACTCCTGCACAGGCCAACTTCCAACCTCAGGACACCATGGACATGTGGCCCTAAGGGCTCCGGTGCCAGCATCACTACCTCACGGGGAACTTGTCCCAGCTGCATCCCCAGGCAGGCTTCGTGAGACCCAGCAATTCTGCCTCCTCAACAGGCTCGCGCTGCTGGAGACAGCTTGGCCGGGGGGGCCAGCAGGTGCCCTGAGCTGTCCTGAGACCTCCAGTGCCCAGTGGGACCCGGACACCACAGGTACCCGCTTGGAATTCACACTGCTTTGAGAGTCCCAGGAACGCAACCTGACCTACAATTTCCAAGGAAATGCACCCCTTTCCCCCAAGAGTCATGGAAAGAGGCCCAGCTCCCCCCATGAGGGTGAGAACTGTCCTAGGCATGCTTTGTCCCCGACATGCAAAGCACACACTTGCCCCACCACACACCTCTTTTGTGTCGTCACAACCACTGTGGTCTTCGTGGGCACCACCGCCTGACAGCTTTTAGGCTTCTTCCAAGAGAAGGGCTCGCGGACGGCGACGAGCAGCTCCTCGGCGCTCATGACGGTGACTTCGAGGTATCGCCCAATGAGGAAATTTGAGAAACACAGCAGAAGGAGCTCCTTGCAGCGGCCAGGATTTCTTGAAAAAAACAAAATCAGATTAATTCCAATCACAGATGCAGCAGGGTCCTCTGCCCCCGGAAGCCGGGTGCGCAGCTGCCCGACAGCAGCTCTCTGCTTCCCACTCGTCTTTTCAGAGGAAAGTAGATGATGGAATACTGTCTGTCCCAAGACTGTGCTTAAACTCTATAATTCTCACATCTAAGATGGGAAAAGTCTCAGATTCCTGAGGTCACACCACACACATGCACTGCTTTCTGCTGGTCTCCTGCCTGACTCCAGCAGCTCCCATCCGTGCCACTGCGTGCTGCCTGCTCCCACTGCAGCTGCTCTGTGAAGGATGCTAAGAGGGTGGCGCCTACAAGCTGCCCGCCTGATGGCCATCCACACTTGCACTTGGACGGGCAGAGCGGTGTGATCCGCTCGAGCCCAAGTGTTTAGAAAGACTTAGAGTTTTGATGCCTGAGGAGAGCCCCAAGCAGCCTTGCCAGCAGGTGACCACACACTTGTCAACAGCCTGTGGTGGGGGTGGGGCGGTTGGCGAGGGCAGGGGGAACCAGCCAGCCAGTGGGACGGGCTCCACAGCAGAGGCTGGCACCTGCTGGACAGGGCATCACAACCCTGCATTCTGTCTGCAAAGAGGGTCAGGCCATCTGCTGAGGAGGGGCAGATGCTGACATGAAAGCAGCCACTTCTGAGATCCAGGCTTTGCCTGACACTCTCATATCAAAAGAGTCAAACTGCCAAGTGCTACACACAAAGCTGAAAAAACGGGCCAGGGTCCCCAGAGGCCGCTCTCGTCAGACCCCGTCACATACTTTGCATCGCATGTAACCACGATGCAAGTCTTCCCTCCAGGGGGGATGGGACCCCCAGGCTCCACTTCTGCTGTCTGCTCTGAGACAGTGCTGGCTTTCTGTCTGTCTTCTGTACAGTCACCTGAAAGGACATTAGGTCCACAATTAGACCACAAGGCAAGCTGTACCTCCCCACGCTGGACTCACCCACAGTCACAAAGCCCCTGGGGCAGCCTCCGGGTGAGGACGGGCCGCCCCCAGGCCACCCTGCACCACGCAGACCCTCTACCTGGAGAGACTTCACTCCTCACTAAGCTGCTCTTCAGTGTCTGAGGGGTTTTCTTTTTGCTGCAACTTTTTGAGGAATCAGTATTTTCACCTAAACAATTCTTCTCAGAAACAGGAACCAGAGACGCAGCCAGGCGTGCCCGGTCCTGGAGCCTGAACTGTCCAGCTTTGTCCCAGCCCGCCAGCTTGCAGCTCACTAAGCTCTGAGCGGTGTCTCCTTTATTCCTGGAAACAAAACAGCTACGGTCACAAAGATAGGCAGCCACACAGCAACGGCAGCTTCAGGAGTTGAAGAGGATACTGGGGGGCAAACAAAGTTTGGGAAGACTTTGCAATGAGGAAGAATACAACCGGGCTCAGTTGCCCTGAAATTCTCACACCACAGCTCCAGGCTCTGACTCACTCGATCCAGATGGCCAGGCTTTTACTGGCTCCTTCCTTCAGTGTTCCAAAACTGGTCATCCTTGTGACTTCAAGGCCACCTTTGTTCTTCAGCAGTTGGGGTCCATAGGACTCCTCAGGGGGCACTCCAGGGGTGGCGGGGTTTCTGGAGAAAGTGCCAGAGAAAGGAGTGGTGAAACCTCTGGCAGCACGGCCTGCTGACCCACCGGAGGGACCCTCAGACCCAGACTCCTAGGGACCACACCACTCTCCAACAGGCTGGCGAGGGAGGGGCTGAGGGTCCCCGACTCTTCCAGTCTACAGCACAAAGGGCACCAACAGGCCTCACACGCCTGGGCGCCCCTACCTGACACTGAGCCACAGCTGCAGAACCCTGTTTCAATTCATACCACACACGACAGCAGCTCAGAAAATGATGGAGCTGAGGAGTTTTCTACAGGAGCCTTCCTGAACTTTCCAGTGCTCAGAGCGTCACACAGGCCTGCAGGGCTCAATGCAGAGGCGTGCTGGGCAGGCGCGGCCTGGCAGCCACAGCCGTGGTGAGCAGTGGCTGCACCACACAGGCCCATGGGAGCTTTCTCTGACAGCCATCTGGTCAAGCCACCTGATGACCCAGTTCTCAGAACAGGTTCTGCTATTGAGGGCCACATGCAGTGTTTGAGAACAACTCCATGGCAACTGTATGTCCCTTTGGGTAATCAGACTTATCTAGCCTCACTCCAGTCCACATGCTCCTTCCAGAAGATGCAGTTGGGGGCACGTTTCCGTGGCCCACAGTCCAGTATGAACACAGAGCCTTCAGGATGAGCCCCTGGCCACACCGTGACACCCATGGCCACACAGGGACAATCTCCCTTCCCTGCTCCCCACTCGGCCCTCCTGGGGGCCATGCTGTCTGCAGTGGGAGCCCAGGACTGCTGGTCATTGGGGGGGGGGGCAAGGACGCTTTGCAGTTCCTCACACTGTGATCTGACACTCCAGGAGCAGCCACACGTGAGTTCTAAGTCCAAGCACAGAGGGGTTCAGGGCCCATGTTCACCCACGACCTAGTCACGAACGCCAAGGGCAGTCTGGCCCTGCCTCCCCCGCCTGCCTCCCCTGGCCCAGGACACAGGACCTCTCTCCCTTCCAAGTGCCTGTCTGTGAGCTGCGATCATGGTGGGCGAGCACGGTCACCAGCCTCAGCCAGGACCCAAGGGCCTCTGCCACACCTCAACTATGAAGGCGGCAAAAAACCCTTCAGACTGATGCTGGCAATCCATATGGGTGCCAGTTGGTGTCCCAGCGGCTCTACTGCCCATCCAGTTCCCTGCTTGGGTCTGGGAAGGCAGTGGGGTGGCTCAAATCCCTCGACCTGCACTGCGTGGGAGACCTCAAAGCAGCCACGGGCTTCCAGTTTCAGACTGGCTCAGCTCTGATTGCTGTGGCCATCTGGGGGTGAGCCAGCGGATGGAAGCTCTCTCCTTTCTCTGGAACTCTTTCAAGTAAAAATAAACAAATCTTAAAAAAAAAAAAAAAAAAGGTTAAAAAAACCCCAAACAACAAAAAACCCTCTGGAAACCCCAGGCACGTGTGCACAACATCAGAGCCACATCTGGAGCGCAAGCCAGCTCTGCTGAGCGAGTCTCACACACAGCACGCTGGCCACGCTGCCAGCTGCCCACTCCTCCGTGTCGCCCCCAGGGCCCCTCCTTGTCTGCACCTGTGCACGGGCATGAGACACAGAGCTCTCCAGACGTAGCAGGACTGGCTGCTCTCCACCACCACGGCGCTCACGATGTCATGTCTGCGCGGCACGTAGCCCTCCGGCAGCTTCAGGGAGTCCAGGGTGAAGAAGATGCTGTCCTCTATGACCCCGTTCCTGCCGCAGAGGCTGGAGATGCAGGCCTACGAGCAGAGGCCAGCATCACCAGCAGTGCACGCCACGGAGCCCACGTCAGCCCAGCCTGCTCACACGTGGTCACGGTCGACCTCTGGGCCGGTGCGAGCTCAAGTCAGAGAGCCGACACCAGAGAGGTCCAGGCAGCCGGGTCATGAAGGAGCCAAGAGCTGGCTGGGCTCTGCGCAGACACCTACCCTGTCCACCCCTCAGCTCTCAGCAGGAGGCTCAGGTCCCAAGCCACCACTACAATTTTCGTCCTGAAAACACCTCCACACTTCCACACGAACCGTCTAATGGACATTCATGTGAGCAGGCAGGAGTAGTCAGGGTCTGGCTGATTCCCTTAAGGGAATGCAGCACTTTCAGTAAGGAGATAAGCTCCCTGTGGGCAAGACTCAGCTGTTTCCAAGTCTAGGGTTCCCTATACACGCCAGTGTTGGCCCCCGCCGGCAGACCTGGACACACGTCCACAAGCTACCTTGTCCACACGCTTGTATCTCAGTGGCTTCACGGACAGGGCCTCGCTGCTCCAGGTGCCTGGCCGGATCCAGTACTCGGCCTCCACCCAGTCTCCCTTACAGGGCTGGAAACCTGCAAGGCCGGATGCACACTGCATCATCCTGCGGGACCCAAGTGGGGGAGGCGTGCCCGCCAAACCCTCACCACAGCCCCAAGAAGTGACTGTCCCCTAAGGATAAAGGAGAGGGCCGTCCCCGCCTCCAGAGGAGCCTGTTTCCCTATCATGTTCGCCATTTTGTAATAAACACCTTTGGAACAACAAGGTAATAAGGCAGGCATACTACCGATACTGAACCTGTTTTAAGCAAGCCAGCAATGCCAAGGCAGGGAGAGGAAGCATCTCCACCAGGGCAGACGGCAACAGGAGAAAGACCCCAAGGTGACAGTGGCCTAAATAAAACTTAGAACCAAGCACTCAGAGCCTGGTGCGATGGCCCCCTGGCTCATGTCCCAGCTGGTAACTCCAAGGCTGCAGCTCTGAGCACCTATGGTTACAGTGGCGGCATGCAGGGCTATCTGTACTCATCCCACACATGAAGGGCTGGCAGTGGGGCTCAGTGGGTCAGGCTGTCGCCTCTGACATGAGTCTCCAACGTGAACGCTGGTTCAAGTCGCAGCTGCTCCACTTCCAATCCAGCTCCTGTCTGGGAAGCAGCACAAGACGGCCCCGAGGAAGCTCCGGAATCCTGGCTCTGGCCTGGCCCAGGCCATCTGAGGCTTGAACCAGCACTAGCCAACAGAAGGCCTCTGTCTCTTTCCATAAACAAGTAAATGTTACAGACACAGAGGCTTGTGGGACTGGCAGGGTGCTAGTGCTCCCTGACTCCCACTCCAGGGCGTTTCAGAATGCTCGTGGCAACCACGGTCACAGCCAAGTTCATCCTGGTGACAAGAACCCATGTAGACTTTCCTCATGAATTGTACCAGACCTCTTGTGTCACAAATGCTGAGAAATTAAAATATGTTCACAGGCACCAAGAACACCAGGCCCAGATATCAAGATTAAATCCATTTTTCTTTTTCAGAAAGATGTTTGAGGAAGTTTCAGAGTATTGCTTTGCAAATCCACTAATACAATGAAGCCAGCCAGCCAATCCTTCAAGCATGACGTAATTCAGCACCCTTGGCACAGAAGTGCTCGGCTGGCCCAGGTAGCAGTGCTGGCTGTCAGCGGCCTCCAGCAAGGATGGAAGCCAAGGGTAGCAGGAGCACCCTCCCAGTCTTGCCCTCTGCCCACCAGCGCAAGCACTGCCCAGATGAGCAGGATAGAAGGTTCTGGTGATGGCTGTGGGGAGTCTGTGACATGAAAAGCATCCTGGCAGTGACTACCACGTCATGAAACAAGGAAGCAGTTGTTGTGGCGCTGAGCCAAGCAGGGCAGGGCAGGGCAGGGCTGGGCGGGACGGGACTGGACTGGGCTGGGCTGGGCTGGGCTGGGCAGGGCTAGGTTGGACTGGACTGGGCTGGGCTGGGCAGGGCAGGGCAGGGCAGGGCTGGGTGGGATGGGACTGGGCTGGGCTGGGCAGGGCTGGACAGGGCAGGGCTAGGTTGGACTGGGCAGGGAAGGGCATTCTGGGGAACAGCCCGTGTGGGGCTAGGCTCTCTTCACTCAGGGCCCTGAGGCAATGACCAACCCAGGATTCCTCAGACAGCCGGGTCAGTGCAGCCGGCTGGGCCCTGCTGAGGGCAGACAGCTGGTGTATACCCCTCCTCCAGGCTGCAAGCACCTACATCCCTGCTAGCTAGGTTACGTGACCTCACAAGGGCAGGTGGCAACAGGGCCCAACAATCTCGCTCATGACCCTGTTTCTGCCATACCTGGACTTGCCCAGCTGGCACTCTCTGTCCTGCCCAGCCACCTTACTCCGTGGGGTCCCTGACACTCACAGCTTTGGTCTCCTCTGCAGCACAGTGCCTCTCAGAGCATGGCAGCCCCGTATTCAGTGATGTGGGCAGGACTCACACCTTGTGGACCGAGACAGGGTGTGGGGTTTTTCCCTCGCCTTCAGGTTGGAGCCACACACACAGTATTACAGGAACACAGTGACTGGTGTGTCAGGGGCTGCAGGCAGACCTCACCTGGCCCCGGGCAGGGCCCTGTCCCTGCACACAGCCAGCTGACTTGTCTGTAGAGTTCCTTTTCCTCCTTTCTTGCACAAGTACTAGTTTCCAGATTCTGGCAACAGCAACGTTGACACACATCTCTGCACTCCTCTGAGCCATGGAAGGAAACCCTCCAGAATGTGCCCTGCTCCTGGCTGTCTGCTCCTGGAGGATGCACCTCCGTGTTGAAGACATGCATCTTCTCCACCCAGATGCATGGCTGCTCCCAGCACAGCTGAGAGGCATAGGATACAATGGAGACCCTAAAACGCCAGGCAGACACCAGGGACCACAGGACTTGTCACTCTGGTGGCTGAGGCAATTACTGAGCCTACAGGACGCTCCTCCTGGGCCACCCACAGGCACAGGCTCTTCAGGTGGACAAAGGTTGGCTGACACCTGCCCAGCAGCTGACTCGGCCCCTGCTCTGGACAATGGACTGGCAGGTCTAGTCCCCAAGGATGAAGAGCCCAGTCTCTCCGTGGATCCCTAAGAGCTGGTTTTAGACCCACCACCACAGACACCAGCACAGAATTAGCTGCAATTAGTACCAAAATGTCTTTTTTTTTTTTCCTTTTTACCATAAAAAATAAAATCCTAAAACAAAAAATGCTATTAAATCTGGATATAAGCTCTTGGAAAGGTAAATTATTTTAAAACATGGAAGTATTTATAAATGACATTGCCTCTTCAGAACTGCACTGTTGCTTACTTAGGTTAGCAACTCAATGGCAACGTGGAACTATTCAAAACTCGACACTCAACAAACCAGCACTTCCACCTAACAGCCGAGCGTCTCCAAGGACAGCACTGCAGAGACTCAAATCTCATCCTGTCCGTCATTTTTTTTTAAAGATTTATTTTTTATTATTTTGTTTATTGGAAAGGCGGATATATAGAGAGGAGAGACAGAGAGGAAGATCTTCCGTCCGATGACTCACTCCCCAAGTGAGCTCAACGGCCGATGCTATGCCGATCCGAAGCCAGGAGCCTCTTCCGGGTCTCCCACGCGGGTGCAGGGTCCCAAAGCTTTGGGCCGTCCTCCACTGCTTTCCCAGGGCACAGGCAGGGAGCTGGAAGGGAAGCGGGCCTGCCGGGATAGAACCGGCGCCCATATGGGATCCCGGGCATGCAAGGCGAGGACCTTTAACCACTTGTGCCATCGCGCCGGGCCCCTGTCCATCATTTTTTAAACATTTATTTATTTCAGGGCCCACATGATGGCTCATTAGCTAAATTCTCACCTTGTATGTGCCAGGATCCCATATGGGCACCAGTTCTAATCCAGGCAGCTCTGCTTCCCATCCAGCTCCCTGCTTGTGACCTGGGAAAGCAGTCGAGGATGGCCCAAGGCCTTGGGACCCTGCACCCAACACAGGAGACCCAGAAGAAGCTCCTGGATCCTGGCTTTGGATTGGCTCAGCTTTGGCCATGGCCATTTGGGGAGTGAATCAGCGGACAGAAGGTCTTCCTCTTCTGGCTCTCCTTTGCTTTGTAAATATGCCTTTCTAATACAAATAAATAAATTTTTACAATACATAAACCTTAAAAAAAAAGATTCACAGAGAGAGAGACAGAGAGAGCGAGCCATCTTCTTCCTAGTCTAGCCTCTCTGCAGTCCCCCTCACGGGTGCAGGGTCCCAAGGACTTGGGTTGTCCTCCACTGCTCGCCCAGTCCACACAGAGTGAGCTCAGGGGATGGTGGAGCAGCTGAGACCAGAACCAGCATTCATACGGCATGCCAGAACTGCAGGAGGATTCGCCTGGAGAACCAGCACACCACGATCTGACCCTTCACTCCATAAGGGCCTGAGTCCAGACATGCTGGCTTCCCATTCCAGTGTCAGTCCGAGTTCAAGTTCTTCTGTTTCCAATCCACTCCCTGACAACTCACCTGGGAAAGCTGTGGGAGACAGACCAAGTGCATGGGCCCCTGTGACCCAGGTGGAGTGCAGGATGCAGCTAGAGGCGCCTGGCCTGGCCTGGCCATTGTGGCCACCTGGGCATGGGGCCCTGTGACCCAGGTGGAGTGCAGGATGCAGCTAGAGGCGCCTGGCCTGGCCTGGCCATTGTGGCCACCTGGGCTCAGCAAACAGAACATCTGCCTTTTCCACTCTTTCCTCCTCTGTCGCTTTCTCTTTCAAATAACTGAACAAATGAATAAATTTCTTAATAACCCTATTCCATACAAACTATTCAGAAGACACAAAACCCAGTTTTAAACGCAGAGCAGGCATCTCTCTGGCTACCTTCGCACACACTCTCCGGAGAGAAACGCGTAGTCTGGTTGATGTAGCCGGTGCCTCCCACGAGGGAGGTCACACACCCGATCAGCACCCGGGGGCAGGGGTCTGACAGGCCTTCGTTCGAGTTCTTGCTGCCATCTTCCCATTTATCAGAGACAGCTTCCACCTGCAAGACAGACAAGAAGGGCACACTGCAGGTCTTAGTCCAAGTTCCAGTGGCCGGTAGAGGCCATCACTGGCAAGAGGCTGCTCCTGCCCCCGGAGGACACTTTTTTGGAGTCCCCAGGCAGGAGGATGACAGAGCTCAGGTGGAAGCACTGTAAGCACACTGTCCCACAGGAGTCAATCACCTCCCAAAGGTATCGCCTCCTGATCCATTCACCTTGGGGTTAGGGTTCAAGGCACGCATCTGGGGAGTCTTAGCAACCCTGTATTGACACAGATGTCAAAACCTTGAAGACTTTAGTGAAGGCAGCATTTCCAGTGCTGACGTGGCTGAACACATGAACCCCACTAAATGTAGAGCGCCCCACTATGAGGATGAAGGAAAATGTCACATGACCGCTTCATCTACAAAAAGCTACTGGCAACATTCAATAGCCTTCCTTGTCACAGACATGCAACCATGCTATAGACTGGACTCACTGCCCAGAGACAGGGAACAAGGCAGGGCTGCAGGCTCCTGCTGTGCCCACTCCGCAGGGCAGACTCAGCTAAGGAACAGCAGGCTTCCTGACTGCAGAAGCAGCAGAATCATCTCTGTTCACAGGACCCACAAACACTGCCCTCCCTGACGAGCTACAGACAGCGAGCAGGGAAGCAGCTTTGTTCCCTCGCGCCTGCAATTAAGACTCCAACAAAGACAGCAACTCTTAGAACTGCACCCAGAAGCCCTGAACATGCCGGAATTCACTAAGGAGATGGAGGACTTGTTCAATGGAAACTCTAGAGCCAGTTCGTGAATCAAAGATCTGAGTAAATGGAAAAGATCCCTACTTTTTATAAAGTGGAAGACTTACAATTATTTACATGGTAGTCTGCCTAAAGTGAGCTGTAGATTCTGTTACCCTGCCCAACATCCACCGGTGTATTTTTACATAAACAGAAAAAGTGCAGCTCAAAATTCAAGGACCCTAAAGAATCACAATGGCCTGAAGGGGAGGGGCGAAGCTGACACAAGAACTGAGTCCAGAACTTTCTAGAATGCTGCAGCAGTACGTGCGGCCCTGGCAGGGAGCGCACAGGCAGCGGATGGCACACAGAGCCCAGAGGCTCACTGGTTTCTGACAAGGGTGCCAGGACCACACTGCAGCCTCTTCGCAGAAAAGTCCTGGGAAAACTGCTGTTAATGTGCGGAGAAAAACAAGGCTGCGTCCCCACCCACAGCACATCCAGACCTCACATTCAGAGCTACAATGACAAAGCTCACAGTATGTTGATGACTAGCTGATGATTTCTCAGGTAAGCTGTCCACAGACAAGGTAACAAACTGGATTTCATAAAACTTGCTGCCCCAAAGGACGCTATCAAGAAAGCAAAACCGGAGCCAGACTTTGCCACAGAGTAGAGCTGCCGCATGGAACATCCGCATCCCAAGTCGGAATGCCGGGTCTGAGCTGCAGCCTCCGACCTAGCCCTGTGGGCAGCACGTGCGACCACACAGGGATGCTGCACGGATGTCACTTAGGGCTCACAGCACTCTGCCACCTACCTGGCTCCCAACAAGAGGGAAGTGAATCAGAAGATAGAAGATCTGTCTCTCACCTTTCAAATAAAATGAAAAAGAATTTAAAATATTAATACAAAAATGTGTAAAGACACCTGAATAATGACAAAGAATATGTACAAATAAAATTGCTAATAAGGGTTAATACCCAGAGCAAATAAGAGCTCACAAAGGAAACCAAATTTTGAAAAATGGGCAAAGGATGGGAACAGGTTTTCTACAAAGCAGGTGGGCGGATGACCTATAAAAACCAGATGCTGAGCATCAGTACCCGGCTCGTGCGCTGGCGCCGGGGGCACACACCGGAGTGACTGGCACTTGGTCATTGCAGCGACCATCACAACAGCAAGTACAGAGGCGCACAGGGGAGGAGACGGGGACCGGGAGGGAGGCATTCCTGGACAGCACCATGCTGATGGAGATGAGCAGACACGCAGGGACCAACAGCACCTGTCTGAGTCTACTCGGAAACATACACCTGAACTGCTTCATCGGGACAGGTTTCTATCAGGGAACTAGTGCTATCAGGTGCACCAAAATGCAGAGGTACTGAACACCAAGCAGCTCTCAAACACTGCTGAGCTTAGCGTGGTAGTCTAGTGGCTAAAATTCTCACCTTGCATGTGCCAGGATCCCACATGGGCACCAGGTTCTAACCCAGGCAGCTCTGCTTCCCATCCAGCTCTCTGCTTGTGGCCTGGAAAAGCAGTGGAGGACAGCCCAAAGCCTTGGGACCCTGCATAGTGTGGGAGACCCAAAAGCTCCTGCCTCCTGGTTTTGAATTGGCTCAGCTCTGGTCACTGCGGCCACTTGGAGAGTTAACCAGAGGATGGAAGGTCTTCCTCCCTTTCTCTCTTCCTCTTTGTATATCTGACTTTTAGTAAAAACAGGCCTTTAAAGAAAAAACGGTTAAAAATATAAAGTTTAGGTTATGTACTTCAGAAAGGAAAAAACCAAAATGAAAAAAAAAAATCCAGAGTACTTGAGAATGCTTTGGTCTCAAGAACTGAGAATGCTAAAACCTGGGAAACTACTCATTTTATGCATTAGTGTTGTCGTTATTACAATACCAGTTCAAAAGCACAAAACTACAGGATCATCTAAGAAAACACAGCAAAGCCTTTGAGATTAGGAAAAACAATCCATTTTTTGGAGAGATGTTATCTTTGAAAGGCAGAGAGAACTATGAGACAGCGGAGTATGGCACAGAGGATCATTGCCCAGGGTGAAGCAGAGAGGGCACATTCCAGGAACAGGATAGGCCAACAGCAGAGGGCACCTGGAGACTGACGGACATGGGAAAGCAGCGGAGACAACAGCGTGCCACTGCAGTGTGGCAGTCAGCAAGGGACACACCGAGCCCCACCGGCAGCCAGGTGGGACGGAGCTCGCCAGGAGCTCAGCAGGTGACTGCCTGTCCGGATTCGTTTGGTTCAACTAGGAGCAGAGGCAGAGCAGCAGAACCCTAAGCAGGAACAGGGTGGATTTCACAGTCCAGACCCCTGACCAGAGCTATATCAGGTGTCACTTTGTGTAGGGAGCCGAAGGCTGTGGGACAGGACTGCACATGCACTTAGCTGGGAGCAAACTCATTTTTGGCTCAGTGCATCGCACCGACATGGCATCCTACAGGTCAAAAATAGGTCTGTGTGGCCCCCACACCTAAACGCCAACAGGTTCCGGCAAGATCAGCGCCACCAACAACCTAATTAATTATTCAGGACACCTGGTGTCTCCCAACTCTTGGAAGCTGCTTGATCCACAAGCGGGAGAAAGGTCGTACAGACAACGGTGCAGCCTCAGCACAGTGTCACAGGAGCCATGAGCTGGGGCTACAGAGACCATGGTAGAAACCTAACGTAAGAACCCAGACCTGGAACTCGCTGGAGGGAGTGGCGCAAGTGACTGCAAAGAGCCGTGTACCAACTGCAATAAGTAAAATCGAACTGTAGACCTGTGGGTGACACAGCTTAGAAACCTGCCCCAAGGACAAGACTGATAACCAGAAGGACAATGACCAAGAGCAAAAGAGGGGACAGAGGCACAATGAATGTTACTGAAGACTCCCCTGCAAAGGAGCAAAACCCCTTGCCAAGAGTTCACTGAGGAAGACATCAAGAAAATGAGGGATACAGAATTCAAAACACTTGTTATAAAACTTATCAACAATGAGAAGCACATAAAGCAGGCATTCAGGAATTCAAGGAATATGTCACACTGGAAATGAACCAAATGAAAGCTGATATATCAGAAATGAAGAATACAGTGGAGTAAATTAAAAGTACAGTGGAGAGTCTCCAAAATGGAATGAAGAATCTCAGAACTGGAAGATATTTCCTGTCACCAAGGGAAAACAAACAAAAACCTGGAAGCAGAGCTGGATCAGGCCAAAAAAAGTATTCAAGAATTGAAAGACACTATTGAAAGGCCTAATATAAGAGTTACGGGAGTCCCAGAAGGTGCAGAAAGAGAAGCTGGGCTTACAACTGTATTTAATAAAATAAGGAGAAATTTCTGTAATCTAGAGAAAGAATTGGGAAACAACATCCAGGAGGGGCACAGAACTCCAAAACCAAAGGCAGATGTGAAGAACATCCCAGTAAAATCACAACAAAATACTAAATTGAACAATTATCAACCCATTGCTAAAATGACAGGACCAAATTACAACCCTTGCATATACAAATGGGTAAATATAAATGGATTAAATTCATCAATCAAATGTCACAGATGAGTAGACTGGATCAAAAAACAAAACCCATTTATTGCCTACAGGAGTCATATCTGACCAACAAAGATCAGAAACTATATCTCATGCATTTTTTTAAAGATTTATTTTTATTATTATTATTTTTTTTATTGGAAAGGCGGATATACAGAGAAGAGAGACAGAGAGGAAGATCTTCCGTCCGATGATTCACTCCCCAAGTGAGCACAACGGCTGATGCTATGCCAATTCGAAGCCAGGAGCCTCTTCTGGGTCTCCCACGCGGGTGCAGGGTCCCAAAGCTTTGGGCCGTCCTCGACTGCTTTCCTGGGCCACAGGCGGGGAGCTGGAAGGGAAGCGGGGCTGCCGGGATTAGAACCGGTGCCCATATGGGATCCCAGGCGTGCAAGGCGAGGACCTTAACCACTTGTGCCACCGTGCCAGGCCTCTTATGCATTTTGATGTTTTCGTTTTTATTTTCATTTTTATTTTCATTTCCTCAAAACAGTTCTTTTTCCCTCATATTAAATTCTTCACTGTCACACTGCAGCACATTTTCCTCAAAAAGGTTCTTGATTTTCACTTTTTCAGGACACATTAGTCATTCAGTAACATGCTGTTTAACTTCAAGGCATTGTAAATTTGTATTTTTCTTCCTGTTGTTGATTTCATTTTGTGGCTTTCCATTTAAGGGAATGTACAGTTAACCTTGTAATGGAGACTATCAAAATCCAGATGTGAGGATACAATGCAGTATGCATCTCTACTTCCAGATCAAAGATAGACTCCTGAGCCTATAGCAGTAGCCTAGTGGTTACGGTCCTCACCTTGCAAGTGCTGGGATCCCCCATGGGTGCAACCCCACTTCCCATCCAGTTTCCTGCCCGTGGCCTGGGAAAGCACTCGAGGACGGCCCAAAGCCTTGGGACCCTGCAACCATGTGGGAGATCCGGAAGAGGCCCTTGGCTCCTGGCTTCAGATCAGCTCAGCTCTGGCTGTTGCGGCCACTTGGGAAGTGAATCATCAGACAGAAGATCTGTCTCTCCTCCTCTTTGTATATCTGACTTTCCCATAAAGATAAATAAATATTTTTAAAAAACAGATGGCCGCCCAATGAAACTGTTAAGTGTATCTTGACAACAGGATGCTGGATTCTCTTCTCTTGTCCACGCCCACAGTGGCGGAGTTCTGTTCGTGGAGAACTCACTACTGTAATAACAGAGAGGGATCAATGCGTGTGGGGCGGGGAGAGGACTTGGGGAGGGGGAAGGGAGATCCCAGAGCCTATGGAACTCTATCATTAATAATAATAATAATGGCAGAGTTAGAGAGAGGAGGAGAAATCTTCCATCTGCTGGTTCACTCCCCAGATGGCTGCAACAGCCAGAGCAAAGTCAGATTTATTTCTTTCGGGTCTCCCACTAAGCGGCAGGATCCCAACCATTTTCCACTGCTTTCCCAGGTGCTTTGACTGAGATCTGGACTGGAAGCGGAGCAGCCAGGACTTGAACCAGTGCTTATGTGGGATGCCAGTACTGCAGACAGATTTTACCCGCACTGCCACAGGGCCAGGTTCTAAAACTCTCATTATAAAATCAACAATTGTGTCTTAAAATTCACAGGAAAAATTCCTAGGGGAAAACCACCAACATGGCAGGCTCAGGCCATTCACTCTAGAAGAATCTTAACTGTGATATTTGCTTTAATAGTTGCAGTGCAGACACTTGAAATTACAATCTTTACAGGAAATGTTACATAATAGAAACAATACTATGAGGAAAAGGAAGGTAGTATAAATGAGCCACTCCTCCATCTCTCAGGATGGGAGTCTGACACTCATAAGTCAAGGCAAGAAAAAGGCACGGGGATGCATGGTCCAAGCAATTCAGCAAATCCTGCCAGCAAGAGCAGCACCTGAGGACTGCCAGGACAGAGGGCGTCAGACATCTCCGGGACTGTTCCCAGGACCTCCTGACAACGGCCATCGCCAGCCACATGAGGCACTCACGTTACACCAGGGGCAGGCATTCTGCCTGGTGGCTCAGAGGCTGAGCCTGCAGTGCCCGCCACAGCCCAGTCCATCTGGGAAGCAGGGCTGACGCTCACAGCGCTGGGTCCCATCACCCAGGGGCAGCCCCGGCGACTGTGAGAGGTCAAGCAGCAGGGTAAACATTCTACCTCAGTGCCTCACAAATGTTTACACATTTATTCAAATTGAAATTTACATAGTTACACATGACTGAACAATGCAAATTTACAAAGTGCATTGCTTTACTGTTTTATAGGCAACTATTTTTTTAGGGCCTGCCACAAAGGATCAGAGGCTAAACCTTTCCTTGCATGTGTCAGGATCCCATATAGGCACCAGTTCGTGTCGCAGCTGCTCCACTTCCCACCCAGCTCCCTGTTTGTGGCCTGGGAAACAGTAGAGGATGGTCCAAGGCCTTGGAACTCCGTACCTGTATGGGAGACCCGGAAGAGGCTCCTGGCTCCTGGCTGAGAATCAGCTCAGCTTTGGCCATTTGGGGAGTGAACCAGAGCAGAGACGGGCTTTCTCTCTCTCCTCTCCATAAATCTGATCTGCCTTTCCAACAAAAAAATAAGTAAATCTTTTCAAAAATATAAATAAAAAGTAAGTTTTCAAAATAGCTTATTTAAAAGGCAGAGAGGCAAAGACAGAGTCCATCCCCAAGTGCCTGCAACGGCCAGGGCTGGTCCAGGCTCGGGCACAAGCCTGGAACCCAACGCAGGTCTCCACCAGACACAGGAGCACACGTGTCGGGGCCATCGCCTGCTGCCTCTCGCTGTATGAGCTGACCGCGGCTTTCACATTAAAACGCACAGCTCTTTCAGGAAAGGCTGATATATAAAATATAGTAACGGAACAAAAGCATAAAATGCTGGGAAACAAGGCATTTCACAACATAAATGAAAAGCCAAATTATAAAACGAGCATTAAGGAGAGCATGTAAGAGGGACAGGCACAGCTGGTGACTGGAGCAGACCAGGATTCAAATGTCAGGGAACCCAGGGGACCCTGCCTGGAGGGACAAACACTGTGACATGCCCACAGTGTCAAGGGCCAGGTGCTACCCAGGAAGAGAACCTGAGCACTGCCAGCAGCAAGACTGGCCAGCCCAACTCCCCTTGTACTTGCACATCCCTCCTGGAACGGCAGGGGTCTTCCACCTGCTGGTTCACGCCCCAAATGACCTCAACGCCCAGACCACAACATGGCAAGCAGAACTGAATGCGGATCACCCAAGCCTCAGGCGCCATGTTCTCTCTGCCCTGCTGGGCATGCGGCAGGGCAGAGCACAGCATCTCAGAGCAGGACTGCCACGGGGCAGCCTCCCTGCCCATGCTAGGTGTGACGCTGGGACCCACCGGAAGCCCGCTGAGGAGGATGGCCAGGCAGCCATTAGATGGCTCCCTTCTCTTTCTATGCACCAGACAAGCTCAGGCAGATCAGACACCCAAATGTTAACCAGTGAAACAATTCCAGAGAAAAAGATGACTACTTGCAGTTAAGAAGTGCAACAAACCTTTCTACAGACACAGAGCCCAACGCCCAAATGAAGACACAACATGAAATTCTGCAGCAGGCGATCCTGCAGGGAGTAAGGGCAACACCTGCTCACGACAGTTCACTTACAAGCTGTGACTTCCTTAGCCCGCAGGCTGGGAAGAAGACCAAAAGCCTGTCCCTCCAGAATGGACAAGGGACACGAAATCATTCGTAGGAAAAAATGTGAAGACTCTGCCGTCCTTTAAGGTGGAAGCCCCACGCTGAGGGACTTGCACTGGCCCAGAGGCGCTGGCCCCACCAGCCCGCAGGGGCGGGGGCGACAGAGCCCCGGACACTGTGAAGACCTGGGCCATGCCCGGCATTTCAGGGAGTGAAACAGTAATGGGTTATTTCTCAACCAACTTTTGTTTAAATAATAAAACTACCAGATCACTTACTACATTAGATTGGCAAAGAGTTCAAAGCCAGATCATGCTGAGCAAAAGCCAGTCTTTTACTCTGTGCTTCACTATATATTAACATCAGTGGATATTAATTTGGTAATTATTAAGTTATCAATTCTGCATATCCTTTTACCTAGCAATTCTAGTTAAAAACACTTTTAGAAAAAAGAAGTTACTGGGCCCACCGTGATAGCCTAGTGGCTAAAGTCTTCACCTTGCACACACCAGGAGCCCACATGGGCACCGGTTCTAATCCTGGTTGCTTCATTTCCCATCCAGCACCCTGCTTGTGGCCTGCGAAAGTTGAGGACGGCCCCAAGCCTTGGGATCCTGCACCTGCGTGGATGACCGGGAACAGGTTCCTGGCTTCGGATTGGTGCAGCACCAGCCGTTGCGGTCACTTGGGGAGTGAATCATCAGACAAAAGATCTTCCTCTTTGTCTCTCTATATGCACATCTGACTTTCCTTTAAAAACAAACAAATCTTTTTCTTTTAAAAGCAACAAAAGAATAAAGAGCTGCTAACGATATTCTCTGCATCAGCTTTAGGCAAAGTGAGTTTTCTGATTCATAAACGCGTTGTCTGAATGACTTCTGATGACCGTGCCCAAGGCCAGGCGCTGTTGGCAGCCACCTCCCACGCAAGGGTGCCTACCCGGATGGCCTTCAGCCCACTGGACACTCTGTTTTCCTCCACAACGGCGATCACTTCCTGCCCCACGTTCAGCAGCACCTTGCTGGTCACGGCGTCATTGGAGAAGTAGATCAAGTCATCAATCATGCCGTAGTCACTGCAGTACCTGGTCACCACGCCCTGCACCGTCTTGAGCCTCACATCGCCTGGAACGGGGAACAAGGCCACACAGCCGTCCAGGCCTGGCCGCAGAGGGCAGCTGCCCAGGCAGGCCCCCTCGGGTCACTGAGTGCCCACAGGCACCGCGGGTGTGCAGGAGGTGGCACGGGTGGTGGGCACAGCAGGGGCTCCCACTCCTGGCACTCGCTGCCCGCGCCCATGCGCCCTTTCCAAGCCGGTAGGCACTGTGCCTGCTGCCAGCTGTGCAGGGCAGGCGGTAATGCCCACACGCTGGGCAGCCACCTGCCCTTCCAGGGCCCCCGACACAGTCACGGCCCGGCCCACGCACAAGGCGAGCACCTCCCGCGGGCCTTGCTGGCATGGGGAGTCACCCCGAGGGCTGGGCGCTGTGGACCCTGCAGCGCCCGCAGCCGGGGCGAGGCACTGCGCGAGGCACACCTGTGCCCGCTGCCCGGGCTGCACCTCCGGGGGACACAGCCGCCCGTCCAGAGGCACAGCGAACCACCTCGCGACCCGAGGAGTCAGAATCCTCCAGGGCTGCGGCTGCCTGTGCCCGGCTTGCGCATGGCCGCCGGGTCGGCCCAGGTCAGCCTGGGTACTGGGGGACACAGGTGCGAAGGAACGAGGCGGCCCGGTCCCGCCCGCTGTCTGACGCAGCCGCCCCGAAAGCGCGCGGCACCTTCCACGAACTCGGGGCCTGGCGGCGTGACCTCCTTCTCGGGACCTTCCTCTCTCCTCCAGAAAAAGGCCACCAGCTTGGCCGCGAGTCGCAACATGGCCGCGCCGCCCGCGTCCGCCGCGTCTGCTCGCCGCTGTCCGCACGAGGCCCGCGCCTGCGCCAGCGGCCCGCCGCCCTCCACCAATAGGGCCGCAGCCGCTCTCTGAGCTCGGCCAATGGGGTCTCGGCGCCTGTGCTTGCGCCCGCCTCTCTTTGAGTTCGGCCAATGGGGTCTCGGCGTGAGCAGCGGCCGTTGGCAGTTAGCGGATGCCCGTTGGTGGTGACGTGTGGGCGGGAGGCCGGGCAGGCATGCGACCACGTGCGAGGTGCTGAGGGGACACTGAGGGGACGTGCGAGGTAATGGGGGGATGTACAAGGCTGTTCTGAGGCGCTGCGTTTATGTTTATCTGGCTGAGGAAGTTCCAAAACTCAATGTGTTATTTTCCCAAGAGTTCTTAGAGCAGCACTTCTAGTCTTGCCTCCGGGCGGCGCCCGGACCTCGGCCCTTCCACGCGCCCCTCCACGCGCCCCTCCATGCGCCCCTCGGCCCTTGCACGCACCCCTCGGCCAGTCCACGCGCCCCTCCACGCACCCCTCGGCCCCTCCACGCACCCCTCGGCCCGTCCACGCACCCCTCGGCCGGTCCACGCGCCCCTCCACGCACCCCTCGGCCCGTCCACGCGCCCCTCCACGCACCCCTCGGCCTGTCCACACGCCCCTCGGCCCTTGCACGCGCCCCTCCACGCACCCCTCGGCCCGTCCACGCGCCCCTCCACGCACCCCTCGGCCCGTCCACGCGCCCCTCGGCCGGTCCACGCGCCCCTCGGCCAATCCATGCGCCCTTCGGCTTGGTGGGCCTGGAGCTCGCTGTGGGAAGGCCTGAAATCGTGAATGCAACGTCCGTCAAGGCACGATGCAATCTCTACATCTTTTTATTTTTCAAGAAGATGATTTATTTTGGAAAGCAGATTTACAGGGAGAAATGTCTTCCCTCTGCTGGTTCACTCCCCGAATGGCTGCAATGGCCAGAGCTGCACTGATCAGGAGCCAGGAGCCTCCTCGGGGTCTCCCTCATGGGTGCAGGGTCCCAAGGCTTTGACTTGTACATTCGGTTGCTTTCCCAGGAAGCTGGATAGGAAGTGGAGCAGCCGGGACATGAACTGACACCCATAGGGGTGTTATTATTGCTGAAAGTATCTTAACTCTGAAATTTTTCTTGAAGAGACAGCCATCTCTTGTCTGCTAGATGACCCACTGTGCTCCTGTACCCGCTCACCCAGTCTTGACTTTGAAAGCCAACTCTGTTCTGTCCTCAGTTTATGCTTAGGTCACAAGTTCATGGATGGCCAACAAGCGAAAGAAAAAGCTGCCGAGTGTGAAGAAAGCAGGTTTCCTTCCCCTCAGAGCCCTCAGAGCAAGTGTGTGGCTGTGATTGCACCTTGGGCCAGGCACTCCCCCGGGGCACCTGCTGCGAAGGAGGCCAGAGGTTTGGGCAGGATTCTCATTCCTGGTTGGCTTCCTGCTCTTCAGACCTCCACTTCTGGCCTCAGTTTGAGAGTGACACAATGAAGACATCAGAACCACTTAGTCCAGGTCCCCTTGGTGTTACAGCCCAGGAAGGAAGCCTGCATGTCCGTGTCCTTCAGGCACAGGTCCCCCAGGTCGCCTTGCTTCCTGTGTGCTGTGGGAGGCACAGGCATGCCGCAGGCAGAGCCACAGGCACACGCTTTGGCAGGAATTCAAGTTGACATCTGTCTGGTTTAGTTCTTCCTTTTGGATCTAGGCAGGACTTTGCTCTGTTTTCTATGTTCTACTTCCAGAAACTATCCATACATTTCAAATATGAAATGTCAGAGATTTAAAGAAAAAAATGGCATGGGAGCTCAAGACCTCAGCACGAGGCCGCCAACGGCTTGTACCCTGCCCTATCCACTTCTGCTTCAGGAAGTCACTGCGAGCTCCAGGAAGGCCGTCCTGCTCTAGCAAGCAGATGCCAGGAACAACTGGAGCCAACACAAAGCAGGGAGGCGCCCCTCAGAGCAGACGCAGCCGAATTTGTGTACAAGGCAGCCCTGGGCCCAGAGCAGGGCAGTGGCGCCTTGGCTCCCACTAGCAGCGGGGAAGAGCTGTGCTGTGTCTGGGCAGGAGCATTAATGTGCTGCAGAGGCTGCTGGCCTGCGGCCTGCGGTCCACACTGCAGACCCTGGACAGGTTGGCCAAGCAGGTCACCTACACAGAAAGAGGCATCTTTTCTTTTTTAAAAAATTTATTATTATTGGAAAGGCAGATTTACGGAGAGAAGGATCATCCATCCAATGATTCACTCCCGCTGTGCTAGGAACTGAACCCATCTGTAGCCAGGAGGCTCCTCCAGGTCTCCCACATGGGTGCAGGGTCCCAAAGCTTAGGCCGCCCTCTGCTGCCTTTCTGTAAGCAGGGAGCTGGATGAGAAGTGGCACAGCCAGGGGCATGAACCAGCAACTATACTGGATCCTGGCACATACAAGGGGAAGATCAGCCATTGCGGCGAGCTCCCCAGAGTATCTTCTGGAGTAGCCTGCCACAGGTGCCCGCAGTGGTCTGTCTGTTTTTGAGACAGACCACTTGAACATACACCTCGTAAAATCTTCCCATGGAGGCCTGGTGCAGTACCATAGCGGTTAAGGTAGTCTCCTTGAGCATGCCAGGATCCCATATGGACGCCGGTTCTAATCCCAGCAACCCTGCTTCTCATCCATCTCCCTGCCTGTGGTCTGGGGAAGCAGCTGAGGACGGCCCAGGGCCTTGGGACCCTGCACCCGCATGGGAGACCCAGAGGGGCTCTTGATTCCTGGCTTCAGATTGGCACAGCTCTGGTCGTTGCAGACGCTTGGGGAGTGGGCCATCGGAGGAAGACCTTCCTCTCCATCTCTCCTCTTCTCTGTATATCTGCCTTTCCAATACAAATTTAAAAAAAAAAATCTAAAAAAAAGAAACCCTCCTGTGGGTCAAGGAAGAACTCACGTGAGAACTGGAGGCAGTTAAACCAGAAGTGTACTGTTTTAAACGCTCAAGTCCAAAAAGAAGAAAGTTGGTGTTGCGCTCTGTGAGGTTAAGCTGCTGCCAGAAGCACTGGCATCCTAGATGTGTATGGGTTTGTGACCAAGCTGCTCCAATTCCAGCCCAGCTTCCTGTTAACAGACCTGGGAAAGCAGCAGATGGCTCAGGGGCTTGGGCCTCTGCACCCATGTGGGGACCAAGATCAGGCTCCTGGTTCCAGGCTTTGGTCTGGCCCAGCCTCGGCCACTGTGGCCATTTGGGAAGTGAAGTAGTGGAGTCTCTCTCCTCACTCTTTCTGCCTCTGCCACTTCCTCTTCTCTGCATCTCTGCCTTTCCGATGAATCTTTTAGTGCTGGCTGTGTGGGAGGCCAGGATGACATGGTGTCTGTGTCCCAGTGCTGGCTGTGTGGGAGGCCAGGATGGCATGGTGTCTGTGGCCCAGTGTTGACTCTGTGAGCAACCAGGATGGCATGGTGTCTGTGTCCCAGTGCTGGCTGTGTGGGAGGCCAGGATGGCATGGTGTCTGTGGCCCAGTGTTGACTCTGTGAGAGACCAGGATGGTGTGGTGTCTGTGGCCCAGTGCTGGCTGTGTGATCATTTGGGGAGTGAATCAGAACAGGAAAGGTCTGTTTCTATCACTCTTCCTTTCAAATGAACAAATCTTTAAAAATAAGTAAATAATCAGACTTAGTCCTCAGATTAGTCTCTGTTCTGGAATGTTATCCCGTCACTGTTGACTGGACCTGTCACAGTCTACTGAACATACTGGCATGTGGAGGAAGCTGGGCTCAGGACAGGCGTGGTGGAGGTTATCGGGGACTGCCCCAGTGAGGCTGCAGTTCCCACTGGTGTGCATAAGGGCCTGACTGGTGGCAGGCTGGGTTGGGCTGGACTACACAGCACCTTCGGGTTGCATAGGATATAGAGTTGGGGACAGAACTGACCGGGGGTGGGGGAGGCTCATGCAGGTGATGGAGTCAGCCAGATCCTGCACCAGCTGGCAAAACAAGAATCAAATCTGAGGTCATCCCAGCTGAGGTTTCTTGAGGGATACCCTAACTGGACCACTGGACTCAAAACTCCAACCGCAGGGGAAATCATAGGATTTTTTAGTCCAACCTTGGAGTACATGTGTTGGAACTGGGCCTCCTCAATTGCTGATGCCGGTGCAGAGAACACATACATGCCTGGTGCACACAGGGGACATGACAACCAGCTCATCTAGACCTGCAGGGCACGGCAGTGCCACGTCAGAAGATGGGGAACAGAACAGATTGGACAGCTCTGCTGGCTGAGTTTGGCAGCAAGTATCTGGGTGAGTGGATGTGCTGGGGTGGGCTCTGTCAGCCAGTGGACCCTGGAAGGATTTTCTCACCTTGGAGCAATGAAAACCAGCAGTGTCTCAGAACTACCAAAGCCATTCAGGCAATACTCTTGGAATGGTCTCCATTTTGGGGTTTCTGAGCTGACGTCAAGTCATCCCCCATCGCTGAGTGCTGATGTAGTTTGGCAGCTGGGAGAGGCCCTGTCCCCTCCTCTCCTCCCCCATAAAGGAGGAAAAATTGGAAGCATTTGTCCCACCCACCTTCCCCATGCCTCAACCTTCCCCACCCTAACCAGTGGTCCTGATGGGAATATACCCTTTCCAAATATGTAAACAACATCAAAAATAAAATGAAGAAAAAATTCAAACAATTTTTCTCTGTGTTCCTGAGGCCCTACCTCGCACCTGCCACAGCTCTGGCCAGTTCTGCCAGAGCTTTGTCCACTGTGCCTACCTCCTGTGGGCCTCTGTCCACTGCACCTGCCTCCTGTGGGCCTCTGTCCACTGTGCCTGCCTCCTGTGGGCCTCTGTCCACTGCGCCTGCCTCCTGTGGGCCTCTGTCCACTGCACCTGCCTCCTGTGGGCCTCTGTCCACTGTGCCTGCCTCCTGTGGGCCTCTGTCCACTGTGCCTGCCTCCTGCGGGACTCTGTCCACTGTGCCTGCCTCCTGCGGGACTCTGTCCACTGTGCCTGCTACTGTTTTCTCCCACCCCCAATTCTGTCTCCTGACTCCTCTGCTTCGTAATTGTAGAGTACCCTGCTTTATTCTGTGTGCCCTGTTCCCAAGCCCTAAGTGCAAACTGCCCGTGGGAAGGACTGCAGCCCACTCTGTCCGCCCTGTAAACACCCGCCGAGCATGAACAGGCAGAGCAGCCATTTTCCACGTAAGATCGGACAGGCCAGGACTTGTTCTGGAAGCTGCTGTTGCCAATGGAAACAGCAAAGCATTTCTAAAGCAACTGTGGGTAGCTGTGGGACTGGAGCAGTTTGTCTTACAACCTCCGGCTCAAGGAAACTCACTGGCATTTGTTTGTAGAGAGTGGCTTTTGTAAGGTCCCAAAATAGTGAAATCCACTGAACATTCGCCGTCAAACAAAAAGAAACACAGAAGGGTCACTCACTGTAGCTGGAATGGTCCCCAGCTGCTGACAGAAAAGTCCGGGCGGACCCAGCCCACTCGGAAGTTCTCTATGTGTAAGGTGCTGCTGGGGAGAACTTTCCTTCTTGCTTGGTTGAAAAACCCAACCGAACCCTCCCCTGCCCCTCCAACCCGCTGCCCCTCCCCCTGCACCCTCCATGCCCCCGGGCTCGGTCGGTTTGTGGCTTCTCAGGGCTCCCTGGACCTCTGTGGCGGTGGCTGCCAGGGCCCCGGGGCCTCTGCCCAAAACTCATTCCCATTCTTTCCTGTTCTTAGTGAACAGGGGTAGAGGCTGCTGCCAGCCTGGCCGCTCGGGCTGAACTCCAGGCTGCTGGAGGCGACCCAGTGGGAGGTCGTCAGTGTGCAGCCTTGGGCACAGGGCAGGCTGGCAAGGCTGCGGGTGAGACTCGGCCCATTCCCGCATGCTTGCGGCGTGTACTCCTTCCCCTGGGACACTCATCCTGGTGCCCCATGTCAGCGCTGCGTGGGGGCAGGGAGGCCCCTGCCTGGCTTCGCCTGCCCACGGCTCTGAGCCAGTGGTTATGCAACCAGGAGAAGGTTTCTGGGATCCAGGCCCTTCCTTCTGCTGATTGAAATGCAGGGCACCGTCCTCCTGCCCTGGCTTGGGCACAGGCTGCCCAGCTTTTGTTCCCGATATGAATACTTCTTGCCGGAAGCCCTTCACCCCCAGAACAGTTCCCTCCGCAGTGGGACAGCTGTGGAGGTGAGCGAGCAGAGGGACAGTGGGCCGTTGAGGCCTGGCTTCCTCCGTGACCTCTGCAGCGCTGGGCACCCTGAGGCCCCGAGTTGTGCTCGAAGCTGAAGCGTGCCCAAGAGGCCAGGCCCCTCGGGGGCCTCCCTGGGAAAGTGACCGCTGGCATTTGAGAGCCAAACCGTGCCCTCCTCCTCAGCGCTGCTGCTCCTGGTGCCAGCATCATTTCCCTGCTGAAACGGTGTCTCTGGGGGCTCTTGCAGTGACCAGAGCACTCCTGGCACAGCCCTGGCTCCATGGCGCGTGAGGAGCCCTTCCGGGAGGAACTAGCCTATGACCACATGCCCACGCTCGAGCGGGGGCGATCAGACCCGGGGAGTTACAGCCCAGACACGAAGCCCAGCAACCTCCCACTGTCGAGAAGGCTGCCCCGATGCTTCAGCTACAAGACCCGTGTCTTCTCCGTGCTGATGGGGGTGAGTCACTGGCTGCCTCTGGTGGATGGCACGACTTTCCCAGTGAGGCTCCTGCCTCTGCACTTGCCGGGGTCCTGCTGGGGCAGAGGTTGGCAGGCGCCATCCCCTATGTCCCACTGGGCCTGTGGGTGCCTGCGTAGTCGCTGTGGCCCTTGGGTCATGCGGGCTGCAGAAACAGAGGGATGTGTGTGCTACGGGGTGGAACCCTCGGCCGGTGCCGTGCCTGGACAGCGGGCCTGGCTCGGACGGGAGCAGGCTCAGCTCTTGAGGGACTTTCCCTGAAGTCCTGGAGTATTTCCAAAGTGGACACATGGACGCTTGTGGGATTGAGGGGCCACACTGGCACGTGGACCGAAGACAGGTCCCTGTAGCCGCACGGGGTCCTGCCAGCTCCCCTCAGATGAGAGCCCACCTACAGGACAGGAGCCCCCTCTGAGCTCCCTCCTGCTCCTGGGGGGTGACAGGAAGTGAGTTCTACTTCCCCGGGACTTCAGCCCCCCTAGTGGGCCCTTCCTGACCCTCATGTAGGTGAGCACAGGGGTCCCTGCCCAGCGATCACCCGCTGGGATCCTGAGCTCCAAAGGCCTTTAGTACCCCCATCCATCACAGCCTGCCTTGGCAGTGTGCTCTCCTGTGGGTAGCTCAGCTGCCTGGCTCCCATGGAAGACCTGCCCTTCACAAACCTGTGGACCTCTAGCCCCCAACTCCACTCTCCAGGTGTTGCTGGCATCAAGTTCTGCAGAGGAGCCGGAGGGTCCTTAAATTTCACAGGAATGTCATCCTTCCCCTAAACCCCAGGGGGCAGGGCTGTGTCCTTCTGGGGCTCAAGCAGCCGGGCAGGACCAGGCGCAGGTGGTGTTGAGGCTGTGGCCTGCTGACCATGGGCGAGCAGCCAAGCCACCCTCCCAGGCCTGGCCGCTCTTCCTGAAGGGTCTGGGCCTGGCCATGTGAGCCTGACTCTGCTGGTCTCTTGCAGAGCTGCCTTCTTGTGACCTTGGGGTTCTCGCTATACCTGGGGAACGTGTTCCCTTCGGAAATGGACTACCTGCGCTGTGCGGCCGGCTCGGTAAGCAGCGCCCAACCCCGCCTCTTGGGCGCAGTTTCGTTTTTCTGCGCTGAAGTATGCAGGCCTCTCACCCTAGCACAGACTCATCGTCCAGCTTTGGAGTCACAGACCTGTTCCTCTCAGAGACTCTTGGAGTGTCACAGATCTGTTCCTTCCAGGGACCCTCAGAGTGGCAGGTCTAAGTCTGGCCGCAGCCGTGTGCAAGGCAGCACTGAGCTGCCAATGACTGCGTTCCATCTAGCCCTGACCACACAGCCATCTCCTGTCCCTGCGCGTCCTGTGGGCTCTGGCCTCCGAAGTCCCACATCTGCCACTCCCCCTGCACTCCCCGAGTCCCCCACTGTCTGGCTCCCACCCTCATTTTCTCTGGCCTTTGACTCATGAGTATGAAGGGAGTCTCCCTTCCCACAGGGGAGCCTTCTGCTTGAGGGCATGCCCTAGACCACAGGGCACTCACCTGGGAGATTGCATCTTGAATGCCCTAGGCTCCCCAGACCAGTGCGGCTGAAGTCCCGGGGCCTCTCAGCGTGGAGTCTGTCCTCCACCTGCAGTGGATGGTGGACACTTGTTTTGCATATTTCACTGGTCCAGCTTAGAATGTACAGTGTATTCTTTCAAAATTATTCTAAAGCAGAGATAGGTCAATCTTATTGCCTGATTCAGTCACCCACATGCCTGCCGTAGACAGGGCTGGGCTGAGCAGAAGCCAGGTGTCAGGGGCCCCATCTAGTCTCCTGTGCGGGTGGCAGGGAGCCATCAGCTCCGGCTCCCAAGGCAGGCACCAGCAAGGGGCTGGGATGGAGAGGTGGGTCCCCCTTCCCACATGGAATGTGGGTGTCCCAAGCAGAGTCATGGCTGTGCCCACTGTGCCCTGTTGAAGGTCGTGACTGTGACCACCCTCTCCCACTGCTCCGTGGTTTCTTTGCAGTGTGTCCCCTCAGCCATCGTCAGCTTTGTGACTTCCAGGAGAGACACCAACGTGGTGAGTGCGGCCCCAGGTAGTGCCCACTCCCTAGGTGTACACACACCCAGACAGTCCCGGGGGCTCTACCACTGAGGGCAAGCCCTGAGCCGGGTCTGGGGCCCCTCTCCAGGGCTGCTGCTCCACCTTGGGGGCCTGCTTTATGTCCCTCCTGTCCCCTCCGTCCTAGGAGCCTGCTCTGCTGTCCGTCCTGTCCCCTCCGTCCTGGGAGCCTGCTCTGCTGTCCGTCCTGTCCCCTCCGTCCTGGGAGCCTGCTCTGCTGTCCGTCCTGTCCCTCCTGTCCCCTCTGTCCTGGGAACCTGCTCTGCTGTCCCTCCTGTCCCCTCCGTCCTGGGAGCCTGCTCTGCTGTCCGTCCTGTCCCCTCCGTCCTGGGAGCCTGCTCTGCTGACCCTCCTGTCCCCTCCATCCTGGGAGCCTGCTCTGCTGTCCGTCCTGTCCCCTCCATCCTGGGAGCCTGCTCTGCTGTCCGTCCTGTCCCTCTTGTCCTCTCCCTCCGTCCTGGGAACCTGCTCTGCTGACCCTCCTGTCCCTCCTGTCCCCTCTGTCCTGGGAACCTGCTCTGCTGACCCTCCTGTCCCCTCCGTCCTGGGAGCCTCTTCTGCTGTCCCTCCTTTTTTTCAGATCCCAAACTTCCAGATTCTCTTTGTTTCCACGTTCGCTGTCACGACGACGTGTTTGATCTGGTTTGGATGCAAACTGGTCCTGAACCCATCGGCAGTAAACGTGAGTCCCTGGAGATGGGTGGTCACAGGTGGGCGGTGCAGCGTCTGCTGAGGTGGGCATGTACACAGTGAGTGCTTGACACTGCCAGGCTTGACGAACGCCGAGTGGTTTCTGTATGTTCCCCAAGACCGGAATTCGCTCTGGTGAACTCCTCCCACCGGGTCTGATGGGCAGTTTTGTAAATCAACAAGAACGTCTTAACTATCTCTCTCGTGATGGTTACAGGCTGGCTAGGGTGCAGTGGTGGGACCCACGTCCTGTTGTGCTGCTCCCCAGCCAGCCTGCAACAGGGCGTGAATTACTAAACCCTCTGTGAGTCAGCTAGGCATTGCAACCACGTGGCTGGGACACACCCCAAAGCCCTGTTTTTCAGTTTGGGGATATTGTGCAAGGGGCTGCTTGGAAGCTTTCTGTGTAGCTAGGAATGAGAACCAGGGTGGGTGGGTCTGCAGGGCAGAGTCCTCCCAGAGGCCCCGTGAGACAGGTGGCCCACGGCCTGTCTGGTGGGGCCCACATGCACATCTCCCCTGCAGATAAACTTCAACCTCGTCCTGCTGCTCCTGCTGGAGCTGCTCATGGCAGCTACTGTGATCGTCTCTGCCCGGTCCAGCGAGGAGCATCGCAGAAAGAAGGTGGGCGTCCCCAGCAGGAGTTACACTCTCCGGCTCCAGGCCGCCAAGCCCAGATGGCCTGGACTCCGGCAGGGGTCCCCAGGAGTGTTACATGGAGACAGCAGGTTGGCTAAAAATACCTTGCAAAACATCTGGCAATGTGATGCTTAAACCCAGCTTTGTAGATAAGGAGAATGTCCACCTTTGCATTTTCCTCAAGTCTGAACCACACCCATGCTGCACCAAATTGTGCACGCCCACTCACCCATACCCACACTGACCCACACTCACTGTGCACACCTACCCACCCTACATCTCAGTGTACACACTCACCCTATACCTCACTGTGCATGCCCACCCTCGCTTACAGATCCCACGCACCCACCACCAGTACACACAGCGTGTCTGGGCCCCTGCTAGTGGCTGACAAGGCTCTGTCTGTCCCCACAGGGTGCTGCCCCTCCAAGCAGCAACACTGCCGAGGAGGGAACATTCCCAGCGCGGATCCTGAAATCCTACTCGGTAAGAGTGGCACTCCTCTTCCTCCTCTTCTTCCATCTGCTGTCACTGCAGGGGCGGAGGCAGGGCATGCCCCGGCTGGCATCCCAATTGCTCTAACAGGGCCGTGCTCTGCGGTTGAGTACGTGGCTGTCCCCTCTGCTCTGTGGGTGGGAGGACTGCCACGAGCCTCCCACGGCAGTGGGCACAGAGTCTGAACGAGTCACCCTCAAGGTTGTCCATCACCCTCAGGGACATGGCTCTGGGGCTGTGCTGCTTGCTGGCCACGCCAGCTGGGACATGGCCACTCACGTTGCCTTGATGGCTGTGCCAGCCAACACAGGTCGTGCTTGGTCTCGGTGGGATCTGTCCAGTGTCTTTTGCCACTGCTGTCAGCTGTCTTGTCACCAGCTTGGTTTTCTTTGTCCAGCCTGTGGGCCTGCGTCTGACCGACTGGGAGAGCGGCCACTCAGTCACGGCCGTGGTCACCATCTGCATGTGCTCCATCTCCCAGGCTTTCTCCTCTGGTCCCTCCTGTCCTTTCTAGTGTCTTCCTTTCTAGCTAATTTGGAGTTGGAAACGATGGTGTGAGCTGTTCTTCATTCTTTCTTTTTGCTAAAATTTATTTTATTTATTTGGAAAAGCTACAGAGAGACATCTGCCAGCTGCTGGCTCTAGGCCAGGCAGAAGTCAGGAGCCAGGGGTCTCACCTGGGGCGCCCGCATGTGTGCCAAAGGCCCAGACACTCGCCCCATCCTCTGCTGCTTTCTTGGGTCATAAGTAGGAGCTGGGTCGGCAGTGGGCCAGTGCCCAGTGCTGCAGGTGGCGGCTTTACCCACTGTGCCACCATCATCTGTTGCAGCGACTTCTCTGACTTCCCTTTACTCTAAAATGATCATTTTGTTCAAGTGCTGTGGCTTGGCAATTTCACCGTGTCTGTGGCCACCACAGTGAGGTGACTCTTGTTGTTCTCTGTCCACTGCTCCCAGTCACTGTCCATTGCTGGTGCCCACTGCTGCCCGGTCACTGTCCCTCTGCAGATGACCTCTGCTTCTGAAGTCTCACTCCTGTGACTGCCATCTCTGCCCACCGGATGCGAGAGCTCTGGTCCATTTGTCCCTGCTGGGCATTGTGCTCCCTAATGGGAGAAGGCTCAGCTGGGTCCCGGTGACAGTTCCCAGCCTGTGACCTGATTGGCACATTTGCCTCCCCGGCCGGGGGCCTACATGTGACCTCACTGCCAGTCATCGTGTATGGCCTCCCTGGTTTTCCCTGTGTCTGGCACTGCCACAGCCTCACAGGGACAGAGTGGCTGGGGGCCATCTGCCCCACTGGCACATGCATACCTTACCTTGGCTTCTGGGACCAAGGGAGAGGGAAAAATGTCTCTTTAGGGACCTTCACTCTGGGAGAAGTCCCTGTTGCTGCAGGTCAGATGGGGGCTGGCCTGGAAGACAACTTGTCCTGAATGTGGACACCTGCTGGCTCATCCTGGGAACATGGAGGCCGTGCTGGCTGGCCCTGCGACCTGAGGGTTACCGGCTCATCCCAGGAACCTGGGGGCTGTGTTGGCTGTGCCCTGAGACCTGAGGGCTGCCAGCTGCACCCCAGGAACCTGGGGGCTGTGCTGGCTGTGCCCTGGGATTTGAGGCTGCCAGCTGCACCCCAGGAACCTGGGGGCCGTGTGGCTATGCCCTGGGATCTGAGGCTGCCGGCTCATCCCGGGAACATGGGGGCCGTGTGGCTCCTCAGGACAACACACAGCTGGGGGTGGCCCCAGTGAGTCACGCCACCCTGTTGCCCTCAGGTGGTAGAGGTGATGGCCGGTGTGTCTGCTGTCCTGGGGGGCGTCGTAGCCCTGAACTTGGATGACGCAGTCTCAAGCCCACACCTCTCCGGGACATTCTTCTGGGTCCTGGTGGCTGTGAGTACCCAAACCCCCTTCTCGAACTGGCTGGGAGCATGCAGCAGAGAAGTGCCCAGGCCACAGTCCGACTCAGGGCCATTCAGGGACGTGAGCCTGGCTGCTGATCTCACATCTTGCTTCCGTGCTGAGTCATGTGTGACACACATCGTGTGCTTGTCCATCACAGGCTCGCGGCTTCACACCGCTGCCCTCGGGCCAGGGGAGACTGACACACATGCAGGGCGGCACTCAGCGGGCTCGGTGGGGCTGTATTCACATGCACCACAGCCATGCTAAGTGCCCGTCATGCATGGGGAGTGCCCGCCTCCCCACTCACTGCTCACCCACGCATAGGAGCACGTGCCACGCTTCATGAATGGCTGAGTCGGTGCACGAGCCACGGGAGGTGCAGTCACAGGCTGCCACACCTGGGCAGCACAGCAGCTGGATGGGCGCTCTCCCGAAATCCGCCGTCCACCTCACTGCATGGTTCCGCTGGGCGGTCAGGCGGGGCTGGTGCACACGGCCACACGGCCTGCCTGGCCCGCAGCGCTGAGCTCAGGACTCTTTCTGAAGCTGCTGACACTGGCCCACTGTGAGGCTCAGGCCTGTGCAGGATGGCTGGGGGCCCAGGTGCTCAGAGCACTGCCCTGGGCACTGGTGTAGTGCAGGGCAACCTGGAACCCAACCCCTGAGGGTGGCAGTGTGGTGAGGAGGGCTAGGACCACAGGGACCAAGCACTCTCAGGGCAGCTGCCCAGGCTGTCCTGGCAGGCAGTGTGCAGCCAGCCCTGCGGAGCCCTGGATTGCCAGCCTGGAGCTTCCTGAGGACCAACTAACCCTGAAACCCTTGCTATCCCTACCCCCGGTCCTACAACCAGCCCTCTTGATGTGGCCTCCTCCACCTCACCCCACATGTGCTCTCTCTGGAGTGGGCACAGCTGGAAAGGGGCAGAGAATCAGGGAAGGTGGGCCGTGAATCAGCCCCACCTGCCTTGGGCCTGGCTGGGGTGCGGGGCACATGGCTGCAGCCTGTTGCTAGGGCCCGTGTCGGCTGGAGCCGAGGCCCTTCCTCAGCTGGGGTCCACAGCTTTGTACTGGACGGAGCAAACTCACCCTCTGTGGCCACTCCCCCCCTGCTCCTGCCCTGGGCAGAGGCCCCTGCACTGACCTGTTGGCCTGCTGCCCTGGCCAGGCGCACCCTGTAGTCAGGCCAGGCCTCTCCCCTGCTGCGGCCTGTATGTAAGCGGCCGTTCCTCTGCTCTGCCTGCTGGCGTGTCCTGCTGCCCTGAGCCTGTCCCCATCCCACTCAGGTTCTCACCAGAGCACTCCGAGGTGCAGAGCAGAGCCCTCGACAATAGGTCCAAGACCCTGGGCGAACCCACTGTCTGTCCAGGGTATGGGGGTGTGCACCATGGGGTCACAGGGCCCTGGAGTTACCAGGTGTGGCTGGAGGACACCTCAGGGCTCTGTGCGTCCCACTGCCTGCGGTGTGGAGAATCAGGTACAAGGGTTGGGGCACCTGGAAGATGCCACTTGTGACCAAAGGTAAAGTCCCAGGGCCACAGTGCTGAGTCCGGCCTGAAACCTGGCTTCACAGGACACTTCGGATGTGTCCAGGGCTGTGGGGCTCTGCTGTGCCCCGATGACTTCAGACCAAGCCACGGCACAAAGTGCAACACAGCCTGGGTCCTGGTTGGGCGTGCTGCCATGTAACCCTCACAGGGGTTGCCACTGCACTGCCCTGCCCGGAGTGTCCCCTCAGGCTCAGGCCTCTGGCAGCTGAGAGCAGATCATCCAGACTCAGGTCCAATCAGAGGAAGTGAGGGTGTGCAGCCCCGTGAGAGGCCCGCCCCCATGCCTGGCCCTAGGTGACCAGTGACCTCTCAAACACCTCTTGTTCCTCTCCTCTTAGTGCTTTCCAAGTGCCATTGCAAGTCACGTGACCGCAGAGTGTCCCAGCAAGTGCCTGGTGAGTGTGGCCTGTGGGCCCGAGGTGGGAGACAGGAAAGGAGGCCTGGGCTGGCTGCAGGCTGCTGGTCCAGGATTGGGCCTATGCCGGGCCCCGCCCCTCAGCATGCGACTTGGAGGCTGTGGGAGACAGTAGCTGTGGCTCCCCTGGGCCCGATGCTGTTGGGAGGGGCAGCGTGCCAGCTGGGCCACGCTGGCTCTGTGGCCTGCAGCAGAAACACTGACCCTGGGGAGCAGTGGGCCACGCTGCGGGTAGGGTAGCCTGTGAGCGCTGCCCCTGTCTGCAGGTGGAGGTGCTGATCACCATCAGCAGCCTCACGGCCCCACTGCTCTTCACGGCCTCCGGCTATCTGTCCTCCAGCGTGACGCGGACAGTGGAGATCTTCAGAGAATACCCACCAGCCATCAAAGTATGTCCTTCTAGAAAGGCCTCCCCGAGACGGGCCTGTGTCGCGGGTGAGGCTGGCTCCCATGTGCTGTGTGAGCCATGGGGGACTGCACGGCCCCATGGCCCCTCACAGGACTGGCGCGGCCCGAGTGTCCCTCGGGCTGCTCCTGTCGTCCAGCTCTGACCATTCTGCCTGACTTGGCACAGCCACGTGCCTCCTCCACAGTTTATGGGGCCTCTCTGCCTAGAGCCTCTATTTAAGCTTCCTCAGGCACACCGTAGCATCAGTCCTCTCAAGTCACAGACGCTCCACCGGGGGTCTGACGGGCTGGCGGAAGCTGGGACAAGACTCAGTGGCCGAACGTGACCGCACCCACTGAGACTCCCTGATAAGGGCCAGGTCCATGCGGCTGCTGTTTCTCAGAGGCTGCGTGTTTGTTTGTTTTGTTTTTTGTGCCTGATATAAATGGCATTTCCCCCAAAGGGTTACTATCAATTTCCAGTTGGAAAATGCACGGCACAGGCTGGGCCCTGTTGGAGGTCACCCTACATACCAGCACCTATGAAGGTGAGACCAGCCCCTGGTTGCACCCTGGCCAGCTGAGGTCCCTGGTGTGGCCGATGGGTGTGGCCCCAGGTCTGAGAGCCCCCCTTGACAGAGGTTATCTGAAAGAGCAGGAATTTGTGTTATTTCCAATTCATATTTAACACTCCAGGTTCTTTCATGTTTGTGTCTTTCTGTTTCTCCCCAAATTCCACTTTCTGTAACATCACCATGTCTGCCATTTGACTTTGCCTCACAACATGCAATCCCCACAGGCCAGTATGGCCACACAGTCCCTGCCAAGTGAGTTCAAGGTAGGCAGGGTCTGGTGGATGTGCCCACTTCACCAGACATGCTGCTGTGCTGCCCTGCCTGCTGCCCACTCAGCCCAGGCTCCGCTAGGCCCCCTTCCGGCAGCCAGCCGAGGCTCTGAGGCCCAGCCGGGCACCCCTGCACTCCGTGGCTACAGTTCACTGCCCACCTCAGAGCCATGCTTCCTGCTGACCCACATCGAGCGGGAACGTGGGGATCAGTGTGGGGCAGCTCCTCCACCATGGCTGCCTCGGCGTGGCCAGGAGTGGGCTTGATGGCCCCTCACTGACCTGGTGGTAGTTAAAGCAGGATAGCCCAAGGTTGAAGACCACCCTCCGGGATCGCCCAGCATGCTTGGCAGCTGGCCAGCTCACTTCCACAGCAAATTCTCAAACATGAACAGAAAGAACCGACAGCAGATTTGCTGAGCCAGAATTGATATGAGATGCCTGGGAGTGCTGGGGTCCTACGAAAGCGCACAGTGGAAGGAATGCTTCAGGCCTCTTGGCCACAGGGTCTCTCTGACCAAAGGGGCCTCCCATGGCTTCAGGGCCTCCCGTGGCTGCAGAGCCTCCCGTGGCTGCAGAGCCTCCCATGGCTGCAGGGCCTCCCGTGGCTGCAGAGCCTCCTGTGGCTGCAGAGCCTCCCATGGCTGCAAGGCCTCCTGTGGCTGCAGAGCCTCCCATGGCTTCAGGGCCTCCCATGGCTGCAGAGCCTCCCATGGCTACAGAGCCTCCCGTGGCTGCAGGCCCTCCCGTGGCTGCAGGCTCCTCCATGGCTTCAGGCCCTCCCGTGGCTGCAGAGCCTCCCGTGGCTGCAGGGCCTCCCGTGGCTGCAGAGCCTCCTGTGGCTGCAGAGCCTCCCATGGCTTCAGGGCCTCCCATGGCTGCAGGGCCTCCTGTGGCTGCAGAGCCTCCCATGGCTTCAGGGCCTCCCATGGCTGCAGAGCCTCCCATGGCTACAGAGCCTCCCGTGGCTGCAGGCCCTGCAGTGGCTGCAGGCCCTCCCGTGGCTGCAGGCTCCTCCATGGCTTCAGGCCCTCCCGTGGCTGCAGAGCCTCCCATGGCTACAGGGCCTCTCATGGCTGCAGAGCCTCCCCTGGCTGCTGCAGGGCCCCTCTTGTCCCCAGGAGCCTCCCATGGTTGGAGGAGGCAGGGGCTGCTCACATCCTGCCCTGCCCCCTGCAGGCCTATGACCTGCTCCTGCTCCTGCTGCTGGTGGTGCTGCTGCTGCAAGGTGGCCTGAACACAGGCACTGCCATCCAGTGTGTGGACTTCAAGGTCAGCGCCAGGTTGCAAAGAGCTTCCTGGGACAGCCAGCCCAGCCCCAGGGAGCGCCCAATGGGGGAGGTAAGTGCTCTCCTGCCATCCTGCCCTGGGCGGGCGGCCCCTGAGGGTCTGACCCATACCCACTGCTGATGTCCATCAAGACCCCTTCCTGCTACTTGCCCCACATAAACCTGCAGGAAGACAAATGAGGGCTAACTTAAGCCCATGGTTCTTACCAACAGAAGAGGCCCCTGGGGGACACTGGTTAGGGTGCGGTCCCAGGTGGGGCCATACCAGCCACTCAGCCCTGGCTCCAATCCTGGTTTCCCACAGCTGAACAGCAGGAGCTCAGCAATACCTCCCGCTAGCTGCCAGTGAAGTCCCTGGTACCTGGCAGAGCCTGCAGCTCTGGCCACAGCCTCTCCTGCCACAGGGCCTCAAGCACGCTGTGCCCACTGCACCCTGGGGACCTGCTCTGCATTCCCAGTTCTCCCTTAGCCCTGCTGGCTTGGGATGGCGGTGCAGCTGTGGCCCAGATTCCGCCATCTGCCCGAGGTCTGGAGGCGTGTAACCTCTTGCTCGCCTGCCAGGACTCCTGCCATGAGCCAGGCTCCTTAGCCTCCCTTCCTCTCATCTGAGGACGCGTCTGTGTGTCTAGTCACAGGTGGCCAGAAGCCCCCTGAAGGAGTTTGACAAGGAGAAAGCCTGGAGGGCTGTCGTGGTGCAGATGGCCCAGTGACTGCAGGACGGAGGTGTGTCACAGCTGCCTGCACAGACCGTCACTGCCCGCCAGCCGCCACCTCCTTGTGTAGCTATTCAGACCCCACAGTCGGCAGATGCTGGCTCTCCATTCAGACTGGACAGGTCAGCGCTGCTCCAGCTGTCCCCGAGTCCCGTGGCCCCTGTTCCCTAGGGGAGGGTGTCAGTGCTGCCTGTCAGTGACCAACAGTAGTGAATTCACTGTCACTGGCATCGGGGTAGCCATGAGCACCTGTGTCCCCTCCGCTCTGATGCCTGTACGACCTGCACCCTGCTCCTGGGGCCTGTCCCCTCTGAAGTGTTCCCACATTGTCAGCCTGACCTGCATGACTTCCCCAACATGGCAGCTGTGTGTGCTGTGGTGCCTGAAGCCCAGGGCGCTGCCCACACACCCCTCTCCCATGGGAGACCCACGCGCACTCCTGCCATCTTGTGTTTCTCAAATAGCACTGAGCACCGAGCTCCTCTCTGGCTGCTGCAAGTCTCCAGCACAGCAGCCAGTGTGCTCGGAAAATGGACACTGCCATCCAGGGACGAGCAGGTTCACCTCCTGCCCTCTGCAGTCAGCTCTGCCTGTCCCAGCTTGGGGGGCCCCCCGTCTCTGCCACCTTGGGGCTCTCACATGCCCTCTGCTCCCCCAAATAGTGTGCAAGGAACACTGGCCATGATGGAAACTGTGGCCAAGGACAGGTGTGCGAGCCACCTGAGTGTGCCCGGGGCCAGGTGGGGTCTGGTGTGACTGACACAGACCCCCTCAAATCCCTGAGCTCAAGCCTGGAACGTTCTCCTGCCGGCCCTTTCACGTTCATGAGATGTTGCTCGTGGCTCCATGCAGGGTTGGGGCATGTGCTAGTTCCCCCTTTGGGCCTTGGGGCCTGGGATCCAAGACCTGCCACTTGGTGGGAATTCCAGGATGTTCCCAGGTAAGGTTCCAGAGGCAGAAGGAAGCTCTGCTCTGCGCCCTGGGCACCAGCTGGGCACCGGCTGGGCAAGCTCTCTGTCCCGTGTAGGAGGGTCCCCTGCAACTCCAAGGGCCCGTGGCCCGTGAGGCTGCTGAGGCAGGGCTAAGGTCTGTCTGCATCGACATTTTCCCTCCCGCAGTGTAACACTCTGACAATAAAACGCTAACATTCAGATGCCCAGGCTTGTTTAATGCCAGCTTGCAGGTGGCCTGTTTCCCTGTGCTCTGAAAGTGCGGGCAGGCGGGCAGCTGGAGGAGGGGCCCCTGGAGGGAGCAGGGGCTGAGAGTCCACTGTGGGAGCCCAGGGTCCTTCCAGGGCAGGAGGAGCCGCTCTCTGCAGAAGGAGGCCACAGCAACATCCAGTCCAGTGGAGACACCCCAGTTACCGCGGGGTTCCCTGCCTAAAAGACTGGGCAAAACAAGGAAGGAGCTGTCGGGCCTGGGAGTCTGGGAACATGGGGTGGGGGGTCACCACCAAGGCCTCTCTGGGTGAACTGCCTGGCGACCATCCACAAGCCCATCCCTCACCCTCAGTCAGCTGCTGCAGGGAAGGGAGCGCAGGACGCAAAAGCCCGGCTGGCTGCACAGCTCCGGTTGGTGCTGGGGGAGGGGTCAGGGTGTGACCGCCGGTCTTTGTGACTTGGGGGGCTGGGTGCCGGAGGTCTGTGTGACCCGTGCGCCTAGGGAGATTAACGCGCAGGAGCCGGGCGGGGGCGGCCGGCCACACGCGGGCCTCCCCGGACGCATGGCTCGCGCGGCCCCGCGCCCTGGCCTCCGCCCCCGCGCCCGTCCGGGCCTCGCCTCGGATCTCAGCCCCGGACCCCGGCCCAAGCTTAGCTCAAGTGCCGCCAACTCCGGCCCCGCGGCCACGGCGCGCCGCCACCGGCCTCACCGCTACCCGCGACCTGAACCCCCTGCGCGCCCACGCAGCCCCACGCCCCGGGCCGGCCGCCGCCGTGCGCTCCCCAGGCCGCGCCGCCGACCCTCGGGGACCGTGCACCGCGCGGTGCGGCGGGAGGCCGTCGCCCCGGGCAACCGCAGGACGCTGGGCAGCGCCGCGGGGGGCGGGTGCCAGGAGCGAGCCTCCGGGCCCGCCGGGGGTGAGTCCAGTTCCTGCCTCCGGCACCCCGGCCGGCCCTGCTGCCCCTTGCCCCCCGGTCCTCCAAGATTCCAGACCCCTCTGATGGGAGCCCGATCTGTGACCGCGACCCCACCCCCACTCCAGACCTGATCCTCCACCACAGACCCATCCCATGACCTCAGGACCCTGGACCTGATACCCACCCGCCCCCAACAGCGAACCCTGGCTCCAAACGCGATTTCAATTCTCCACCTCCCCAACCTTGCTCCAGTCGAGACCCCTCTCCCGGCCTTGCTCACTAAGGGTGCCCTCTCCGCCTCCGCAGGGGCCGGGGGTCTGCCGGCCAAGCCGCTGGACAGCAGTATGGAGCCAGGCAAGAGGAGGTCGTCGTCCACCTCACCGGATGGAGACCTGAGGGACGAACACAGTCGGTACCGCTGTGTCGCGCCTCGGCCTGAGGCCGGTCGGGCTGCCCGTCCTAATGGACAGTGCCACCAGCTGAACCCAGAGCACACGGCAGGGGCGGGGCGCGCGCTTTGGCACCTGCGCCTGCCGCGGGCCTTCTCTGCTCAGCTCGCAGCTCAGCCTGTCTGGGTGTCGGCCCCGTGGGGCTCAGGGCTATAGTCTGCCAGCGCCCAGGAGTAGGAGAGCTGGTCCTGGGGACCAGTGTCCTCCAGAGCATAGCACCGTCGCCCCAGCTCCTGGCCCCTCCCCGCGGTGTCTGCTTACACTGTGGCCGGCGGAGGGTCCCGCTGGTAGCCGCTGCTGACTTGGGGGTGGGTCTTGTGGCAATCCTACGGACCTGTAGGCTGCCAGGGCCATCTTAGCAGGGATCTAAAGAAGTTTTCTGGACGTCATGCATCACTTTATTTGCAAAACGCGTTTCCGTCATGTTGTTGAAAACTTTGTTGGTGTTAACTTTTCGCTTTAAGCTCATTTCCTGTGAACTTTGGGAGTGGGTCTGGCTGGCTTTCCTGGCGTCACTTGGGGATTCCTTCTGGGAACTGATTCCCTCCCCCCCGCCAAAAAAGTCCTTTCCTGTCTCAGGTGTTGAAGCGTTTCCTCTGGCTGGGTCTTGATTCTTACGGTTGAGTCTTGAGTAGCTTTCAAGGCTTTTAAAGCTCCACTTCGGGAGACAGCTCCAGCCCTCTCCCAGGGCACACCCCGTTTTCTCAGCACCAGTCACTGAAAAGGTGCCTCACTCGGGTCAGGTGCTGCCCTGCGTGCTGGGATGTTCTCCAGACCGCTTTTTTTTTTTTTTTTTTTTGTAAAGTTGGATTTGTGTGTTGAAAGCCAGAGAGAGGAACAGGGAGAGAGCGAGCGGACTGGTTCCTGCCCTCTGCCCGAGGCCTGTGCCGGGGCCCCAGCAGGACGCTGGCAGCTCAGGGAGGGGCCTACGTGGGGGTCATGCAGTCCCGTGGGCCCTCACCTGCTCAACGGCAGAGTTGGCCTTGCCAACCACCTGCCGTGCGGAACGCCCAGACTGCGAAGACGTCCATTTGGTTTTGGCACTTACAAAGGGCGCAGCAGTTTGTTATGTTTTTGGTTCTGCTTTTTTGCCCCTAGCAGTTATGTATGTTTCCTGAAATCGATCTCACTGATACTCTGGATTTCAGAGAGGAGAGACAGAGAGAAATATCTTCTGTCTGATGGTTCACTCCCCAAGTGACCGCAACGGCTACAATGGCCAGTGCTGAGCCGATCCAAAGCCAGGAGCCAGAAACTTCCTCCAGGTCTGCTACACGGGTGCAGGGTCCCAAGACTCTGGGCCGTCCTCGACTGCTTTCCAGGCCACAAGCAGGGAGCTGGATGGAAAGAGGAGCAGCCGAAATTAGAACTGGCGCCCATATGGGATCTCGGCACATTCAAGGCGAGGACTTGAGCCACTAGGCTACTGCGCTGGGCCTTAATTTCTTCTTCCTTGATAGTGTCTGTTTTAGCTTGAAGAACTCGGGTTAGCATTTCTTTTTCAAAAAGAAGGTTTGTTTATTTGAAAGGCAGATCTGCCTGGGGAGCAGGAGACAGGTCTTCGTGTGCTGGTTCTTCCCCCAGATGGCCACTGTGTGTTTCACCAAGCTGCCTTTGAGTTCATCTGTCACAGCTCACCTGTGTGCTCACTGCTGATGTATTCTGCTTATGCCACATGACACATCTCACTCAGAACAGTTTCCAGCTCAGACGTGTGTGTGAATTTTCCCATATACCTTTTTTGAGGAACCTGGAGCAGTGGTGTAGCAGCTTAAGCCACTGCCTGTACTGGCAGCATCCTATGTGTGCACCAGTTCAAATCCCAGCTGAGCTTCTTCCTGTCCAGATCCCTGCTACTGGCCTGGGAAAGCAGTCGAGGACGGCCCAAGACCTGGGACCCTGCACCTGTGGGGGGGACAAGGAAGGAGCTCCTGGCTCTGGTCTGGTTGCGCACTGGCTGTTGTGGCAGTCATGGGGCGAGTCGCGGGGAGCCAGCGAAGAGATCACTTCCTGTGAGTCTGACTTTAAAGTAAATAGGTAAATTGTTTTTAATGATGACTTTGAATTCTTCATCTGAGACCAGGCAGGTGTCAGCTGCTGTCTGGTTGTTCCTGGCAGCTGAGTATTTTCAGTGGGAGAAGGTGTGGCTTCCTGGAGGCTCAGGACTTGCCAGCAGGGGATGGCAGGGGATGGCATCAGGACACCTAAGGGCTGGGTGTTGTCCTGTATGATACCGACCTGGCAGAGGGTCTGAAGGTAGGCAGTCTGGCGCTCGGTTCACACCTGAGACCACGCCTGACTGCTGAGCCGCTGGGGAGGCAGAGGGGAGGCGGGCCTCTCTCCCCGCTGCCTTCCTCAGCCCGTCTTTGCTTCCACGGCAGAAGGCAGGTATGCTGGCTTCTGTCGGCTTCTGTCGCTGGCTTCCTTAGCTCTGGGGAAGAGGAGTGAGTGGGCACCGTGACCCTGGCTGTGAGAACCAGCCTCCCTCTGCTCTCTGGGTCTTTGTCACCCTCACCCCGTACCATGGTCCATCCCGTGCCCTGGGACGCCGCCCTGTCTGTCGTGCCTGTGCCAGCCGCAACTTTAGTCTTCGAGGGTGGCTTGAGTTCCCTTGGGCCTGGGCATTGTCGTGAATTTCAGAATGCTTCTCGGAATCTCTCATGGGATTCTCACGGTGATCACTGTGCAGGTGCGCCGGCTGGGGATTCACACTCGGCAGCACCGAATGATCTTCCCTGTGAACACTGCTGTCCTCACATCTTGTCAGTGAGGCATCCCAGTTTGCAACACTGCTCCCGCTGGAGAGCTGTCCTTTTCCCAGTTCGTCTGGGTGGCGCTTCCTAACTGTCTCCTGGTTCGAGTGCATCAGCTCCACATACACTGAATGCAGTGACTCTGATAGCTGTAAATTGGTTTGCGTTTCCTCCATCTACAAATCTTTGGAGCAATAACTTTCTTACAGTTCATCAGTCCATTAGTAAACACCAACCGGGAGATATAGAGAAACCTTCATCTTGTCCCCAAACTCAGAAAGTTCCAGATCCCGCTGGCGGAAGCCTGCCTTTCTATAACCTTCGCGGGAATTCCCTTCTGTTCCTTTTTATTTTCGTTGTAGTTGAGAGGTAGGCAGAGATCCTTCCGTCCTCTGGCTCACTCCCCAACACCTGTCCCAGCTGAGCTAGACCAGGCAAAGCCGCGGTTCCTCGTGGGTATCAAGGGGCATGGGAACCTGAGCAGCACTGCTGCTGCCCAGGTGGAGCGGCCCCAAACCCTTTACCAGTGTGCCAGGAAGGGGTGGTGGCATGGGGGTGCCTTTGGTCTTGGCAGGATCATGTGCCTTCCGCCGTGTTCGGGCGACAGGGTGGGCTGGGCTGACAGTCTCAGACACTGGCCAAGTGTGCTTTCCCAGCCCCTTCTGATATGCAGGGTTCCATGTCTACGCATGAGACACACAGGGCTGCATGGCGCCGCTCCCCGGTGTCGTCCTTGGCTGTCAGGCGTGTGATCCCTCTGGGATGTGTCCCGACTGGCTCTAGTTAAGGAGTCTATGTGGAATGTTTGGAAAGGCTGGAGCTTCAGGCACTTAGTTGGTGGCCAAGAAACTGGCTCAGGTGTTGGGTCCTCTGCTGCATGTCTGCCATCAGTCCTCAGCCCTGGCAGGTGGCAAGGACTCCCCCCGTCACCCAGGGGAGGACCAGGGCTAGGCCCCTGGTTTCTAGCTTTAGCCAGAGCCCGAACTTGTCCATGGCAGGCGTTTAGGAATGAGCCAATAGCTAAGACCTGTGTGGAGACCCAAATCAGAGCCCATATGGGCCAGCTGTGGCAGGTAGTAGGTGGTGAGCCAGAGGGTGGAAGACCTAATCATAATGAAGCTAGGTCAAGGCTTAGCCCACTATGCCACTGTGCTGGCCACATTGTGTGTGTACACCTGCCTCGGGGCTCTTGAATAAATAAAACATTTCACAGATTATTTTTTAAAATTTGGAGAGATTGATGTATTTCAGGTGGCATTTTCATTGTGGAATTAATTTATTTTTTAAAATATTTGCTTATTTGAGAAACTGAGGGAGAGAGGCGGACAGGAGACAAGCTCACACCTGCTGGCCACTCCCCAAAGGCGCAGAGGGACAGGGCTGGGGGGAAGCCAGCAGCTGCTCGCTGAACTCCGTGGGTCCTGCAAAGTCAGGCAACCGCTGCGGCTTGCGTGAGCAAGTAGCCCGGCGCTGCCAGGGCCATCTGGCCTACTGCCTTATCTAGCCCTGCAGGCCAGTGGGTGTGAGTCTCCATCCAAGGGTGGGTGGGGAGCCAGAGGCAGGGCCCAAGCCCCCTGGGAACCACCTGACAAGGACCCCGTGGGTCCCAGAGGTACTTGGGGTTGGGTGGAGGTGAGAGCCACACCCCCAGCCAGGCATTGGTGGGTGGGAGGACAGCGAGGTGCAGGTGTGAAGGCTCCGTGGTCAGGGCTGACAGGGGAGCAGCCTGCTCACGTGTTGGTGCTTTGAGACGCCAAGACGCGGGTGGGCTGGGAAGGAACTTGGGGAACAGGCCATGTGAGGTCTGGGAGGGGGGAGAGGGGAGCAGGTGGGCTGGTGTCCCACATAATGGCAGGAATCAGAGGGTGGCAGCCCTGCCGTCCAGACGGGGGCCCTGAAGCTGGAGGGCCGGCAGGGCCTCCCAGGCCTGGGCGACCACTGCTTTCTCCTTCACAGCCTTGAAGCGGGGAATGAGCCAGGACACAACCTCTTCTCCCAGACTGGACAGATTCAAGATAGCCCGGCAGCTGACGGACAGGGCCATCAAGGTGGGGCTCTGGGACACGGGGCAGGGGGCTTTCTGCACACACGGCCGTCGGGATTCGGAGTCACTCAGTTGGCACCATGTGGGCCACCTCCCCTGCAGCCTCTGTGTCAGGCCACATCACCCAGACACGTGTGAGCCAGCGTGCTCCTTTGAGGTGGGCCACACTGCCATGGGCCTGTTCTGCCCAGTGCCCAGGGCCTGTCCCACCAGGGGGCACGGCGATTCTAAGGCAGGGCCTCTGTGTGCCTCCTGTATCCGTGTCTCCTGGAGGTGCTGCTGGGCGCCCTGTGTGCAGAGGGCCTCACTCCGTGGTCTCAGTTACCTGGGTGAGGTGTGGGGCTGGGGCTGCAGCTCTGGAAGACGAGTGCCTGGGCATGATGTTACTGCCTCCACTCAAAGACCTGGGGCGGGGTAGGGGCTCTAAGAAATCCAACTTAGCCCCCCAGGAGACGGACACATCCTTGCCCCTTAACTTCTCCCACGGCACAGCATGTGTGTGAGAGGTGCAAGGAGCACCCACGTGGGAATTACGGGAGCACGTGTGTGAAAGGTAGCAGTGGCAGAGCTGTGAGAGGAGCAGCTTGTGTGAGAGGTATGAGGGCAGCACACGTGACAAGTGCAGGTCCCTCCTCGGAACTGGCCGCCTGCCTGGTGCCCCAGGTGGCACAGGTCTGCATGGTCCACGCACGGGAAGCAGCGCGTGCTTGTGGTGCAGCCCGCTGACCTGCTCCACCCCACCCACTCAGCTGCATGGGTTTCCCTCTCACTTCCTGGGGCAACCAAATGCATATTTCTAGGAAACTTACCTTTTATAAAGAGGAAACCTTAGTGCGAGCACATTGGAGTATGTGAGAGTGTGAGCCCGGGGCTATGTGATGCCTGGACATGCGCGTGTGAGTTCATGGATGTGAGTGGGCATATGAGTAAGTGGGGCGTGTGAGGAGAGTGTAGGCGTGGGCGTGTGAGGAGAGTGTAGGCGTGGGTTGTGTGAGGAGAGTGCAGGCGTGGGTTGTGTGAGGAGAGTGTAGGCGTGGGGCCTGTGAGGAGAGTGTAGGCGTGGGGCGTGTGAGGAGAGTGCAGGCGTGGGGTGTGTGAGGAGAGTGCAGGCGTGGGTTGTGTGAGGAGAGTGCAGGCGTGGGTTGTGTGAGGAGTGTAGGCGTGGGTTGTGTGAGGAGTGCAGGCGTGGGTTGTGTAAGGAGAGTGCAGGCGTGGGGCGTGTGAGGAGAGTGTAGGCATGGGTTGTGTGAGAGTGTAGGCGTGGGTTGTGTGAGGAGAGTGTAGGCGTGGGTTGTGTGAGGAGTGCAGGCGTGGGTTGTGTAAGGAGAGTGCAGGCGTGGGGCGTGTGAGGAGAGTGCAGGCGTGGGTTGTGTGAGGAGAGTGTAGGCGTGGGGCGTGTGAGGAGAGTGTAGGCGTGGGTTGTGTGAGGAGAGTGTAGGCGTGGGTTGTGTGAGGAGAGTGTAGGCGTGGGCGTGTGAGGAGAGTGTAGGCATGGGTTGTGTGAGGAGAGTGCAGGCGTGGGTTGTGTGAGGAGAGTGTAGGCGTGGGGCGTGTGAGGAGAGTGTAGGCGTGGGTTGTGTGAGGAGAGTGTAGGCATGGGTTGTGTGAGGAGAGTGTAGGCGTGGGTGTGTGAGGAGAGTGTAGGCGTGGGTTGTGTGAGGAGTGTAGGCGTGGGTTGTGTGAGGAGAGTGTAGGCATGGGTTGTGTGAGGAGAGTGTAGGCGTGGGTTGTGTGAGGAGAGTGTAGGCGTGGGTTGTGTGAGGAGTGTAGGCGTGGGTTGTGTGAGGAGTGTAGGCGTGGGCGAGTGAGGAGAGTGTAGGCGTGGGCGAGTGAGGAGAGTGTAGGCGTGGGGCGTGTGAGGAGAGTGCAGGCGTGGGTTGTGTGAGGAGAGTGCAGGCGTGGGTTGTGTGAGGAGAGTGTAGGCGTGGGTTGTGTGAGGAGAGTGTAGGCGTGGGCGTGTGAGGAGAGTGTAGGCGTGGGTTGTGTGAGGAGAGTGTAGGCGTGGGTTGTGTGAGGAGTGTAGGCGTGGGTTGTGTGAGGAGAGTGTAGGCGTGGGTGTGTGAGGAGAGTGTAGGCGTGGGTTGTGTGAGGAGTGTAGGCGTGGGTTGTGTGAGGAGTGTAGGCGTGGGTTGTGTGAGGAGAGTGCAGGCGTGGGTTGTGTGAGGAGAGTGCAGGCGTGGGTTGTGTGAGGAGAGTGTAGCCTGAGGGGGCTGCTCTCCTGGCGTCCCTGGTGCCCCTGCTGTGCCTGGGGCCTGAGGGACCCTGCTCTGTTTTCAGGAAAAGAAGATCTTCTCCATCTATGGGCACTACCCGGTGATCCGGGCAGCTCTGCAGAGAAAGGGCTGGGTGGAGAAGAAGTTCCATGTGCCGCCCAAGGCCTCTCCGGGTGCTGAGGACAGCGGGGAAGGAGTCCCTGGTACAGAGTCATGGATGCTATCCTCCAACCTAGCACCCCTCCCCGAGGGCCTCCCACCGGAGTCTGCACCCAGGGCACCCCCCGTGCTCCACCCAGGGACAGGTCCTCCTTCTGGGGTTTCCATCGTCCCCTAGTAACCCAGCCCTGCCCTCTTTGCTGTGCCTAGCCTCGCATTCCCAAGAGTTGTCTGCACCACCTGCATTGGAGGGGCATCCAGGGCTGTGGGGAGGGCACACGCCCGTGCCTGACACGGGGCCTGTGGGGCACCTGCTGCACAGTGTACGCTCCTGGATGAGACTGTGCCCCACATGCGGGCGTGGTCAGCGGCTGAGAGGCCTGACTGATTGCCCACAGAGGCTGCTCACTTGTGCTTGCAGACAGCAAACGTGCTGAGGTGAGAGAAAGCCAGGAGGCCTTGCTGGAGGGGGCAGACAGCATTCACGACATGATGGTAGGTCTGCAGGTGTGCCCACCATGCGTGTCCTGCATGGACCCCTCATGCGGGAGGACGGACACCCTGCGCCACTGCCAGCCTCTGTTGGGCAGCCTCAGGGCCCAGCTGCCCCAAAGGGTGGGCCCAGCAGGTCTGGACTGGATGCCCTAGGCACCGGGGTCTGAGGTCCCTGCCCCTCTATCCTGTTGTGTCCCGGCTGGTAAAGCAGGCCACAGCCTGCCTGGGTCTCTAGACGAGGCTGCTGCCATGGAGCAGCCCCTGCCCGGATGCCCACCTCTTGGGACCCACATTGGCCCTGATGGAAATGGAGGGGCCAGGCCTGGCAACGTTTGACACCAGGGCCTGGCAACCTCTGGGGTTTGTGGTTTGGTTTCTTGGAGAGTTTACGACCTGCTTCACCTGGCAGCCACTCAGGGGCTGCTGCCAAGAGCTTAGGTCAGGCCCATGGTGCCATCCAGGTGGTGGTCTCCAGTGTCCCTGCTCCCTCTCTGCCTTCGTGCAGGGAGATTCCCAGGCCACCCACCAGGCAAGAAAACTAGAACAAACTGGCATGGCTGGGGCACACTGCGTGGGTGGGCAGGGTGCAGGGTGTGCCAGTGCAGACATGTGGGTCGGGTCATCCCTGGGGTGTAGGCACATTTATGTGTGCTATGGGTGAGGGCTGTCCTGGGGTGTGGGTGAGGGCTGTCCCTGGGGTGTGGATGTGAGTGAGAGCTGTCCTGGGGTGTGGGTGAGGGCTGTCCTGGGGTGTGGGTGAAGGCTGTCCTGGGGTGTAGGTGTGGGTGAGGGCTGTCCCTGGGGTGAGGGTGAGGGCTGTCCCTGGGGTGAGGGTGAGGGCTGTCCTGGGGTGTGGGTGAGGCTGAGGGCTGTCCCTGGGGTGTGGGTGAGGGCTGTCCCAGGGTGTGGGTGTGGGTGAGGGCTGTCCTGGGGTGGGTGAAGGCTGTCCACATCTGCATGGCTATGCTTTGGGATCCACACTCACAGTTGCTCCAGACGGAAGCTCCAGTTGCCCCTGATTTCCCTGCCTTGATAGCATCTTTACCATCTGGAGTCCCGTGTCCCCGTCTGTGGTCCCACACCCCCGTTGTCGGGGTCCCCACTGTCTGGGCTCTCACATGCCCGCTGTTGTCTGGGGTTCCCGCTCTCGGGGTCCCTGCCATTTTCTGGGTCCTGCCTGAGTCCGGGTGCTGACAGGGCTCCCCTGCTAGTCCAGGCTGGTGAAGAATGAGACCCCATATCTGCTCTGGACCATCAAGAGGGACGTCATTGACTACCACAGCCTGGCTGGGGACCAGATGCTGAACCACTTTGGGAAGACAGCCTCCTTCACCACCAAGGTGAGCAGAGGCGGGGCAGGCTCCCCGCTGGGCTGCGACTGGAGAGTCCCAGAAGATCACACCTTCCTGGTCCCCTCTGCTGCCACAGCCACACCCACTGCCCACCACTGCCCTGTGCTTGTGGGTGGACGGGGGACCCCAAAACCTCCACCTTAAGCTGAGTCAGAGATGGAGCCAGGAGCACTGTGCCCACCATCCCGCCCTGTACCCTGGGGGTTCCAGGTCCCAGGCTCGGGGCCCCTCTGCAGGCAGCCACATCCACAGGTCAGGTCCAGGGGTGGGGCCCAGTGGGACTCTGCAAGGACTCCTCTGGCACACAGAGCCCTCTGCAGGCAAGGTTGGCATGCCTGCTCTGAGTGCGGGGCTGAGCCAAGGCTCCAGGTCTGGGCTGGCCTCCCTGGGCCTCCTGGGGACCTTCCTCATCCTCACCCTGTCCTGCCTGTCTTACAAGGAGCATACATCTGTGTCTGGGGGTGCCCAGGGCAACAGGGACAGTGATGGCATGAGGCATGGAGCTGGCCAGTAGTGCTGCCTTCCAGGACCCAGACCCCTTTCCCTGGAAGTTAGGGTGCAGGGACTTGGTGTCACATCTCTGGTCATAGCAGTCATACAGTGGACAGAGCCGTGGCCTAGGGCTGTGACGCAGGCCCCAAAGTGTGGCCATACATCTCTGAGGTCCACTGAGCACCTGCAGGTGGAACCAGTGCCCACTGCACTGGTGCCCTCATGTGCAGCCCCTCGCCTTCCTCTGGGCCTGCCACTGCCCCTCCCCGGAGGCAGCCCTAGCCCTGCCTCTGGGCCACACCTGGCTGACGTGCCACTCTCTATGGAGATCGGGCTGTGTTTGAACATGCGGAACCTGCCGTGGTATGTCCAGGCCAACCCCGACTCCTTCTTCCCACGTTGCTATGGCCTCTGCACAGAAAGCGAGAAGCAGGAATTCCTGGGTGAGTGGTCCGGGATGGTGGGCTGGGGCTGGGGAGGGCAGACTGAGGCCTGGCTCTGGGTGCCTGGTCACCGGGTGGCCATACTGGTGGCTGCTCCCCCAGGCCTAAGGAGGACAGATTGGGGATCGGGGCAGGTGGTGGAAGTGGGGCTCTCACAGCCGAGGACACAGGAGCCTGTGCTGGCGGCTGCGTCCCCAGGCCCAGGGAGGACAGACTGGGGATCGGGGCAGGTGGTGGAAGTGGGGCTCTCACAGCCGAGGACACAGGAGCCTGTGCTGGCGGCTGCGTCCCCAGGCCCAGCGCAGGCAGAGGGGCGAGCCCTCGCTGTCCTTTCAGACGACTTCCGGCGCACGGCAGCATCCAGCATCCTGAAGTGGGTGGTCAGCCACCAGAGCTACAGCAGCAGAAGCAAGACCAAGGGCAGGAGGGAGGAGGCCAGGGACAGTGACCAGGGCAGCAGGGAAGGTGCGTGGGGGTGTGCCAGACCTACAGTGGCAGAAGCAAGGGCAGGAGGGAGGAGGCTGGGGACAGGGACCAGGGCAGCAGGGAAGGTGCATGGGGGTGTGCCCACAGCCTGACCAGCCCAACACACCTGGCTCACAGCAAACCCCTTCCTCTCTGTGGGGCCAGAGCTGTAGCCATCCCACTTGTTTGGTTTCTTTAGAAAATATTTTCTGGGTTTTTTTAAAGTTTATTTATTTTTGTTGGAAAGTCAGAGAAGGAGATACAGAAAGAAAGTTCTTTTGCCTGCTGGTTCATTTACCAAGTAGCTGTCACAGCTGGAGTTGAACAGATCTGAAGCCTGAGCCAGAAACTTCTGGGTCTCCCATGCGGGTGCAGGTCCCAAGGCTTTGGGCTGTCCTTGACTGCTTTCCCAGGACACAGACAGGGAGCTGGAAGGGAGGTGGAGCACATGGATATGAACCCACACCCATATGGGATCCCAGCAGGTGCAAGGTGAGGACTTTAGCCACTAGGCTACTGCATCAGGCCTTTCCGGGTCCTGCCTGAGTCTGGGTGCTGACAGGGCTCCCCTGCTAGTCCAGGCTGGTGAAGAATGAGACCCCATATCTGCTCTGGACCATCAAAGACACGTAGCTTTGGGCCCTGCACAATGACCTAGTGGCTAATGTCCTTGCCTGGTTCATATTCCAGCTGCTCCACTTCCCTTCCAGCTCCCTGCCTGTGGCCTGGGAGGGCAGTAAAGAATGGCCCTAGACCTTGGAACCCTACATCCGCGTTGGGGACCCTGAAGAAGCTCCTGGCTCCTGGCTTTGGACTGGCTCAGCTCTGGCTGTTGTGGCCACTTGGGGAGTGAACCCAGTGGATAGAGGATCTTTCTGTCTCTTTTCCTCTCTGTAAATCTAACTTTCCAATAAAAATAAAGAAATCTTTTTAAAAAACACATGTAGCTCTTAAAAAGACATACTTGAAGGTACTTCAAAAGTCTTGTGGGAAAATGGAATTAGGCATTGGTTTGGATGCAAAGCATGCTTTAAATCCGTAATACACATTTCCACAGGGTCATTGGCGACCGCTGCTATAGACAATCTGAATTTATATGACATTTCCATCTCCCCATGAGCCTTTCCAAAATATGTCATAAATACTGCTTAGCGGGCAGCTTGCAGGGGGCCGAGAGGGTGACCCCCAGACCCTGTGGGCCAATGCCCAGTGCCCCAGCACGGTGGAAGCTCCCAGCTGCACCCAGTGTGGGTTCTCATGACCCTGTGTGACCCGTGGGCTCCTCTGGCCCTGCCCACCCCGAGCCCTCCTGTCTCTAGCCTGGCCTTTCCCAGGAAGTGACTGGGTGTGTGACTGCAGGGGACCGGATAGGACATCGGCTGGCACACCCGTGTCCGCTGATCTTGCCTAGGCCCCCTGTGGGGAGCCATTCTTCTGTGGCCAGGCCCTGGCATGTGGAGCCCTCTTAGTCACCGCTGGAACCCCTGTGCCACGGCCAGTCCCTAGGTCTCCTTCCTGTAGTGTCTGAGGTGCCAGTGAGGTTGGCTCGGATGCTCACACAAGGACCTTGGGGGCACCACACGTGCTCAGGAAAGCCCGTGAGCGTCCACAGGGGCAGAGTGTGGGCTGGGCTGGTCCAGGGGCAGCAGGGGTAACCCCAGGGACAGCACACACTGTGGGCCACTGGTGTGGGGCAGTCTGGCCGGAACGCCACTGGGTGTTCAAGGAGTGCAGGGTTTGGGCAGGCCTTGGCCCCACTTACTTCCCTGCCCTCTTCTAGGTGCATGATGGGAGTGTCAGCCTACAGTGGGGAGGGTGCTGATGGAGAAGTCCACCCAGGGACACAGGTCACCTGCTGCTGAGGAGGGGTGTCCTCGGCACCTGGGGCAGGACGAGGTGAGCAGGGCCACTGTGGGACTCCAGGACTGTGCCGGGTTTCAGATGCCGAGAGCGTGAGCGCTGATCCGGAGCTCAGGGGCCTCTCGGGGCAGCTGGTGGACACGGCGTGCCGCGTGTGCCAGGCCTACCTGGGACAGTTAGAGCATGAAGACCTCGACGTGCTGGACACCGCGGAGGAGCTCACCGAGGCCGAGTGGCAGGACCTCACGCGGCAGTACTACTCACTCGTGCAGTAAGCTGGGGACCGAGCTCGGCGGTCAGCCCACAGCACTGGGCTCCCTCCGGGGTCCTGGCACTCTGTGGGGACTGGGGTGCCCATGTGAGTGCTGGGATACCCTGTGTATGCTGGTGTGTGCTGGGGTACCCTGTGTGTGCTGAGGTGCCTGCATGGATACTGGGGTACCCGTGTGACTGTTGAGGCACCTGGGTCTTTGCTGCCTGTTCCCCCTGCCCCACTGCTTTCAGCTGTTTAAAAATACAACATCCCTTTGGGGTGCCCTTGCGGGAATCAGGGTCGCATACCCTCCTAAACGCCATGCACTCCTGTGGTCTCATGGGGAGGGCGGGGCCCGCTGCTCGGCCAGGTCCCCGGCTCAGCCTGCGTGTGTGGCAAGGCCTGCAGAGGTGTGCTGCCTTTCAGGGTCTGGTCGTGTGTCCCCTCTGCTCTGGGGTCTGAGCTGGCTTCCCCTCCTCCCCGAGCCGCCAGCGAGAAGAACCGGCAGGGCGGTGTCTGGGTGTCCCCACAGTGAGCTGCCCCCATCCCCTCTTTTTGTTCCTTCTTTGGGATTTTTTGTGTTTTCCCCTTTTTCCTCTGCATATTATATAAACACTACTATGCACTGACTTATATTATTGGTATCCATATACTACTGTGTATCATTATATACGCCAGCCTCATGTGACTGTTGCATGAGGGCTGAGGAGCGCTGTGCTGCCTTGTGCCAGATCCTGGCTTCTGCTACGTTCTCCAGACTGCCGTATCTCTTCGTGTGCATGCAGCATATTGGCCTGCATTCTGCATTGTCTGTGCATCGTCCTCTATCGACCGGTGCTGCCTGATCCGCTATGCACTCCTGCATATACATGCCCTGCCTCATGTGCCTGTGTGCTCCACACAGCCCTCTGGATGCTGGATGCTGCCCTGTGTTCCTGTGTGCTCCATACACTACTATATCTAGCATGTTGCTGTGCCATGTCTTACGTAAACTGCCCTGCCCCATGTCCTCATGGCACACATCGCCCTGGGTGGGGAAGTGTCCTAAATCAGCTCACAGATAGCAGTGTGACTGCTGACCGTGGACAGGTCTGTGTAGCCGGCACTGCCTCCTCCAGGGACCAGCCCTGCCTCCAGCAGTCTGGCGATGTGCACCCCCACCGGGTCTACACAGGGGGTCCTCACTGTCAGTGGCAGCCTTTCAGAGCTGTGTCCTGGGTGTCCCTCTGCCGGTGGGACGTCCTGACGCGCGGCTGCGCCTGGCCGGGGAGGCTGGCCGCTGCTTTGCAGCCTGCTGTGTTTTCTGGATCTTGCTTTGCAGCGGCGGGGCCTTCATCTCCAACTCCAGGAGTTACTTGTCGCAGTGCCAAGCTCTGCTGAACAGGATCACGTCCGTGAAGCCCCAGACGGAGATCGACGGGCTAAAGAACATCTGGATCATAAAGCCTGCCGCCAAGTCCCGGGGCCGAGGCGAGTCCAGCCCCGGGGACGGGCCAGCGAGGGGGCTGAGGGCCAGGGTCGGCGTGGAGAGCCGTCCATCAGACAGGACCAGGATGCCCGCTTTGTGGCAGCAGGGCTGTGGCCTGGAGGGCCTGTCTCTGGCATCCTTTGTAGTGCCGGGAGCTAGCGCAAAGTCCGGGTCCCCCCCCCGTCCCCCCACCCCCGTCTGAGGGCCTGGCTCTGGTGAGAGTCCCACAGAATTCAGGGCAGGAGGGGGGGTGCCTCCCTGCTGCCTTCCTTTCCTGGCTCCTTCCACCGGCCAGGGCCCCTTCAGGGTCAGCCCTCACTGCCCCCTGGCTCGGCCCCATAGGCCCTGGAAGACCCTGCAGCGCCACCTCACGGCTGCCTGAGGGGGTGCCTGTGGGCGTGTCTGAGGGGTGTCTGTGGGTGTGTGAGGGGTGTGTCTGAGGGGTGTGTCTGGCTGTGTCTGAGAGCGTGCCTGGGTGTGTCCGAGGGCGGGGGCTCAGGAACTGCCTGCAGCCCTCTTCAAAGGGACGCTGCCCCTCCCCCTCTCCGACCTGTATCAGCCCCACCCGACGGCGGCCTGGGCTGCGGCCATGTCCCAGGCCGAGCCAGACGGGCGCTGAGCGCTGGCTTCCGCAGGCATCGCATGCATGGACCGAGTGGAGGAGATCCTGGAGCTGGTGGCCACAGAGCAGCCTCCCACCAAGGACAGCCGGTGGGTGGTCCAGAAGTACATCGAGACACCCCTGCTCATCCACGACACCAAGTTTGACATCCGCCAGTGGTTCCTGGTCACTGACTGGAACCCGCTGACCATCTGGTTCTACAAGGAGAGCTACCTGCGCTTCTCCACACAGCGCTTCTCGCTGGACAACCTGGACAGGTCAGTGCGAGGTGAGCTGACGGGGGCTTCCCGCTCCCACAGGCCTGCAGGTGCTGAGTCCAGACTCAGGCTGAATCAGCCAGGTGTGGGGCACCAGGGTCGGAGGAGCCCCTCATCCCACCAGGCTCCCAGGGCAGACAGGACAGGGCACCCTGGGGATCCTTGAGAAGGCCTCCACCACATACCTGCTTTCCCAGCTGTCACTGGTCAAGCCCAGGGCTGCCCTTCACTGTGCTGGGGCTGCCTCGGGCAGCATGCTCAGATGGGGCTGCCTCGGGCCTTTGCCTAGGAGTCAGTCGGTGCCCAGATCTTGGGAGAGCTGGGGGCTGCTCTCTAGAGACCTTGCTGGGACTCCAGACTAGAGGCTATGGCCCCATCTGGAGTCACACCTGCCCAGGCACACCTGCAGAAACACATGCCAGGCCACACCTGGTGTTTAAGTTTTGAACTCTCCCTATCCACCTGCAAATGTCCTCATCTCTTGAGGCAGCATAATGTCCACACAGAGTCACCGCTCAGGGGCAGGGCTCAGTCCGAGTGCAGGGCAAAGGGCTCAGGGCGCCCAGGGCCAGCGCCCAGTCCGAGTGCAGGGCAAGCAATGGAGACCTTGGTCAGGTGGACGTCCCCTCACCTCCTGCTCAGCTCTCCCTGTGACAATGTCCAGACGCAGTGTCCAGAGACACAGTCTGCCCTAGAGGCTGTGTCCAGTGGGTAGCGGGCAAGGCCTCTCCTACAGCTGCCCTGCACCATGCTGTGATGTCCTTGAAGGGGCAGGGCTGGCCTCACCGCCTCCTTGCCCTGCAGTGCCATCCACTTGTGCAACAACTCCGTCCAGCGGCACCTGCGGAACGACAGCGGTCGCAGCCCCCTGCTGCCCAGCCACAACATGTGGACAAGCTCCAGGTTCCAGGAGTACCTGCAGAAGAAGGGTCGCGGGACCGTGTGGGGCAGCGTCATTTACCCGTCCATGAAGAGGGCCGTCAGCAACGCCATGCGGGTGGCCCAGGACCACGTGGAGGCCCGCAAGAACAGCTTCGAGCTCTACGGCGCTGACTTCATCCTGGGCCGGGATTTCAAGCCCTGGCTCATCGAGATCAACTCCAGCCCCTCCATGCACCCGTCCACACCCGTCACAGCCCTGCTCTGTGCCCAGGTGCAGGAAGACACCATCAAGGTGGTGCTGGACCGCAAGCTGGACCGGAACTGTGACATCGGCAACTTTGAGCTCCTGTGGAAGCAGGTGAGCCCGACCCCTGCTTCCTAGTACGGGACAGAGCCCCAGGCCACCAGGGCTGGGCCGGGAAGAGCTGGTCCTAGCCATGCCCTGAGCCAGGGCACCTGGGCAACCCTGCTCATTCAATCCCAGCGACTTTAGGCTCCAGCCTTCCCCTCTCCGTGTCCCGCCTCCATGGTGGAACTCTGTGGCCTGACGACCCTCAGCTTGGAGCCCACCCTCCTGGGAATCTCAGCCCCGCCCCTCTCCCCAGCCCGCCGTGGAGCTGCCGCCCTTCAGCGGCTCGGACCTGTGCGTGGAGGGCGTTGGCGTGCGCAAGGCCAGGAAGCAGACACTGCCCGTGACCAGCTTCCAGTTCTCCGCCCCGCTACCCTCCTCCCTGGCTGACCCTGCGCGAGGCCTCCCAAGGCCAACGGCGCCACGGGGCCCGCGGCCGAAGGATGAGAAAGTGCCGTGTCCCTTGGCGCTGCCGGGCGCCCCGAGGAGGGGCTGTAGGAAGGCCAGGACGGAGCTTCCCGCCTGCGGCTACCTGCACGTGGACAGCACCGTCCCCCGAGGCACTGCCACTCAGACCCCGGCCCCCCGACACCTGGACCCGCTCCTGGCGCCCACGATGGAGAGCCGGGACATGGCCGAGGGCGCCCTGGGCCGGGCGCCTGGAGTGACAGGTACCCGCGGCGCCTGGGCTGGGGTGGGGGACTTCTGAGCAGTACCAGAGCCAGGAACAAACTGCTGGGCACTTGCGGTCTGTTAAAGGCCAAAAGGATGGGATGGCCAAGCCACGTCTGCACCCAGGGCTTCCCACGTGTCAGGCTCCTGGCCAGTGTGACCCACAGAGTGCGTGATGAACCCAGGGCTTCCCACAGCACCAGGCACCTGGCATGACCCGTCAGGAGGAGACCCAGGCCAGGCTAGGTGCAGTGTCCAGACAGCAGTGTGCCCCACCTCCCCGTACTGGCTGCCATGGAGGACAGAGCTACATGCAGCAGGCGTTCAGTATTTACTGCAGGCACAAATGCCCGCCAGGCTCCATGGCTGCCTCAGCTGGGCACAGCGGCCAGCCCCGCGCCCACTCCCCCTCCACACAGCTCTTCCATCCATGGCACTGTGTTATATTTCCTCTTTCTTTTCTTTTTTTAAGAATCTGATTTGTCTCAAAGGCAGAGACGCAGCATTTCCATCCACTGGTTCACTCCCCATTTGTCTGGGCCGGGCTGAAGCCAGGTCTCCCACCTGGAGGCGGCGACCCAGGGGCCCGAGCCATCACCCAGGGAGCCATCACCGGCTGCCTCCCCAGGGAGCCGGTACACTGCCTGCAGCGGCATCTTCACCATGCCAGAGGTCAGCGTGCCTTCCCCCTCTGCCCAGGACGGGCCTGTGTCCGCCGAGAGAGAGCTGTGTGTGCACTAAGCGTGTCCCATCTTGGGCAGTGCTGCGAGAGGTCTGGGGCTCGGCCTGCAGCTTGCTCACAAAAGATGCCCACAGCCGCCACGTGACCTCCGCACGTGCGTTCCGGGGCTTTCACATCCCATCCCATTCTTTCACATGCCCCACTCTGCAGGACACCCCGTCAGCTCCGCCAAGGGGGTCACCGAGCAGCCCCGCAGTGCAGGCTGGTGCTGCAGTAAGAGCTGCGGGCTCCTGCGGGCTCTGGCGTCCTCTCACTGTGTGCAGGGTGCAGCACGCTCGGGGTCACTCCGCCCTTCCTACTGCGCCTTTGTCAAAGCTCACGTCTCCTTGCTCTGTCATCTTTTAGCCAGGTTTCCTGTCACTGTGAATTAGAGCGGCCCTGGCTGAGTGTTCTCATCTGAAGGCTGGCTGGGGCTGGGAGCTAGAGGCACAGTACCAGTGCGTGCGTTTCCTGCTGCTTGCAAACCTTCTGTGTGTCCTGTTTGTCACAGCTGCACTCTGTGGTCACAGCTCCTGACCCATTTGGCCTCTGGGGTTTTGTTTCATTTGTTGTGGTAAGAGCCTGCAGGCAGTGACCCCCACACCCTGCTGGCCAAGGCCCACTTGTGTCCATCGCCCCTACGGGGAGTCTCATGGCTGTTCCATCCTCTCAGGGGGTGTCACAGTGCATGTACTGGTTAGGGACTTGGGCTGTCACTACACTTCTGGTGCCGTAGCTCGGCCATACAGACCCGTGTAGATCCAGCCGGGTCACAGAGCCCTGTGTGGAGGCCCCAGCTTGTGTTGACCCTGTGTGGATGTCACCAGGTCACCCTGCAGGAACAGCACAGCCCTGAGCCTCCTGCACCTGCCTCTGGCACCTGACGGCTTCATGAGTCTCAGCCCACACACCATGCTACACGAGACTGCCCGTCCCCCGTGCCTCGCAGATGTGTGGTTCCAGGAGGCAAGGATCACACTGTACCCACTGCACGTCCACTGTGCTGGGTGTAGCGGGCAGGAGGCATCGCGCTCAGCTGCCCCCACATGTACGGGCACTGCCTCGTCTGCGTGGGCCATGTAAAGCTTGGGAAGGCTGTCACGGACGCTGGCCTCCGGCGAGGGGTCACAGCCCAGCCTGTGGTCAGCCACGTGAAGGCCACGTGGCTCTGTTGTGCACATCTCTGGGTGGGACTTGTGATCAGAGCATTTTGGTGAATTGTTTTCAGTGTTTTTTAAAGATTTATTTATTTGGAAGGCAGAGTTACAGAAAAGATAGGAAGAAGGCGAGACCTTCCATCTGCTGGTTCATCCCACAGATGGCTGCAACAGCCGGGCTGGGCCAGGCCGGACGGCTTGCGGGTGCAGGATCCCAGGCGCTTGGGCCGTCCCTGGCTGCTTTCCCAGGCCATCAGCAGAGAGCTGGATGGGAAGGGGAGCAGCCGGGCCTGGCCAGCGCCCACGAGATGCCAGCACCTCAGAAGGTGGCTTTATAGTAGTGCCACACACCAGCCCTGCAGTCTGTCCTTCCGTGGTTATTTCATGGGGCCCCTCCCACTCCCAACTGGATGCTGCTTGTTCCGCCACTTCGACCAGTCCCTCAGCAAAGCTCCTCGTGTCTGGATGGCCCCAGTGGGCCTGGCCTGGGCAGTGCGAGGCGGGCTCTGCACAGTCACGCGGGTCCAGGTGAGCAGGTCCTGGGGTGTGGCCTCAGGTGTGGGGTCTGCACAGTCACGCAGGTCCAGGTGAGCAGGTCCTAGGGTGTGGCCTCAGGTGTGGGCTCTGCACAGTCACGCGGGTCCAGGTGAGCAGGTCCTGGGGTGTGGCCTCAGGTGTGGGGTCTGCACAGTCACACGGGTCCAGGTGAGCAGGTTCTGTGGTGTGGCCTCAAGCGGGGTCTGCAGTCTCAGGTCTCTTTCTCCCCGCAGGGTCGCCAAGCAACATGCCCACGCCGTGCCTCGTGTGCCAGGGGTGCCTGCCCCCTGTGCAGGCCTGCAAGCGCTGCCGCTCATTCCGCGCGTCCATCCTACAAGGCACCTGCTTTGTGCCACTGCCTGATGCCCGGGCAGGGCCGTGCGCGCTATAGCGGTGTGAGAAACCCGCACACAGTGGGACCTGCTGCACAGGACTGCCCCCCATGCTGCCAGTCTCCCGTTCCTCTGCCTCCCCTGCCCCCTGCAGATCTCCGGGAGCGCGCTAATTCACTCATTTCTTACCCAAGTCTGTGCGGCTCTGGGTCCTCCGCCCCAGCCCCCAGTGTTTCCTACCAGCCAGGTGTCCAGCCAGGAGGGGGTGTCTGCCCTGGGTTACACCCCACTTTGTCAGTGTGTGGAGTGGGCCAGGCAGGTCCCCCCATGGAGCCCAGGTCACCTGCCTGAGTCACCTGTGTCACTGTTCCGGTGTGTAGGGCTGGCTGAGGCCTGAGCCTAGTGCAGCTGCGTCGGGGAGGGGTCCTGTAGCAGAGCCCCCACCAGTGGTTTGGGGGATGTGCAGAAGAGGAGGGGTCTGCCTGCCGAGGCCTGCGGAGTCTGAAGCCATTCCAGTGGGGCCCGTCCAGGCCACTGCGGGCAGGACTGAAACTCAATACATGGTGGCAAGCTGATTCCTGAGCTGACAGTTCTGTGTGGGCACTGGGGAGAGGAGGCTCTCCCAGCCACCCTGTCCTCCCTGGGCAGCAGTGCCAAGCTCCGGACTCTCAGACCCCAGGTCTGTGAGCTGAGCGAGCCACTGCTCGTGCCCCAGGTCTGCGCAATGCTGCCTGGCAGGCTGGCATCAGGGGCCAGTAACCACCTCTCTCTGGCCTTTAAGGTCAACGCTGCCCCCACGCCTTCAGCCCTGACCGACCCATGGTCTGGGACACCTGAGGCCCACACAGAGGCCACACTGGGACCCCAGCAGTCCACTGGGATGAAGGGAAGCCACCAGAGCATGCGGCCATGCTGCCACCTGGCGGCCAAGCTGGTGCCCTGCTCGCTCACGTCTCCCTCAGGAAGGCCACCCCTGCCTGCTCCAGGGGAGCCACCGCGGGAAGGGCGCGCTCCCGCGTCCACCTGCCTTGTGCATCCGCTCAGGTGTGCACAGCCATGGCCTGGACACACCGGCCGCACCTCTGCCCTCCACAGCTCAGGCCCAGGCCTGCAGATCCTGGCCAGGTGGAACGGCTCCAGCACAGGCCAAATGAGAGCACCGGGCGCGGGCAAACATGGGATCCCTGGGGCCCCAAGCACCGGAGCCTCCACTCCTGGACCTACCAGGACCCTGTCAGCCTTAGCCAGTGTGCGGAGGGGAAGGAGGCTCCGAGGTGGTGGGGCGGTCAGCGGCTGTTGGTGCACCTGCCGGCTTTGCACTCTTGCTCCATCTGCAAACTGAAATTGGGATTTGCAGTGCAGGGAGGTAGAAGGGGTGGCCTAAGGGTGTGGAGTGAGAGGCGCCAGAGTGAGGGAACCTGCTGTGAAGCATGCCCAAGCCGCCTGAGGAGGGCGCTGCAGACAACTCCCCAGGTCTCTGGGGCCCCAGCTGCCTGTTCTGGGTGAGTTAGCGGCCACCTCCGTCTGTGCTGCTCCCATCTGGCTGACCTCTTGGGTCTCATGGCGCGGGGCTTGCAGCAGCTGGAACCACTTCTGTAATGGCGCCCTGGGTTCAAGGCCCACCTCTGCCTCCAATCCAAACCACCCCCCCCCCCGCTAGTGCACTTCAGGAAGCAGCCAGGAACAGCCTGTACTCTCAGGGGACCCCGGATGCTGCTCCAGACTGCTGGCTCTGGCCTGGCCCAGCCCTGGCTGCTGGTGGGAGATCCTCCTCCCAGTAATATGTGACTAAGTACAAGAGCCCTGAGCACCGTGTGCAGGAGTGTCATGGTACACGCTGGCAAGCTGCCTCCACATGTGTCGTCTGAACACAGTTAACTAAGGGCTGACGGTGGGTGAGCGCCTGCAGCCTGGCCCTTTGTCTCCCATGTCACACGTGGGTGACTGCTCAATTCCTGCCCTCTTGGGGCTGCTTTCTGGCAGTGTGACCTCTGCACTGTATATTTCTCCATTATTAGTGGAAACCTTGGGTGTTAAAGCAGATATCTAGTCCCTGTGACTCTTAGAAAAGCTTTATTTAAAAAGGCAGAAAGAGACAGGAGAATCTTCCGTCTGCTGGTTCACTCCCCATATGGCCGCAACGGCCGGAGCTGAGCGGCTCTGAAGCCAGGATCCTAGGACTCCATCATCTTCCACACGGTGGGAGCAGCCCAAGCACGTGGGCCATCTACTGCTGCAGGAGTGGGAGCTGGATGGGAAGTGGAGTAGCCAGGACTAGAACCGGCGCCTACACGGGATGCTGGTGTTCGCAGATGGAAGATTAGACAGTTCCTTTAAAAGTCCAATGTACTGGTTCATTTGAGAGGCAGAGACTTTCAGAAGCCCATCCCCCTCGGCTGCCCACAGAGGCCCCCGGCTGGCTCTCACCCACAACTGCCAGGGTCTGCATCTGCCACACCACCGGCTCCCTGCTCGTGCTCACGCTGTCACAGCATGGGAGACCAGCCGCAGCTGCAGCCTACCCTGGGGCAGCTGGTCTTTGGGGGAACGAACCAGCAGGCAGCAGGCCCACTCTGTCCTGCTTCCCAATCAACGAAAATGGAAAACTGGAAGGACATGCGAGTCCCATGTGTCACGAAGAACTTTTACTGATACGCATACATAACAAACAGTACCCTCCCCTGCGGCCAGTGCTCTGTCCTCATGGCTGCTCCACTTCCTGTCCAGCTCCCTGCCCGGGCGCCTGGGAAAGCAGTGGGAGATGGCCCAAGGCTTTGGGACCTTGCACCTGCGTGGGAGACCCAGAGGAGGCTCCTGACTCCTGGCTTCCTTTCTGCCATTGTAGCCATTTGGGGAGTGAACCAGTGGATAGAAATTCTTTCTCCTCTCTGTAGATCTGCCTTTCCAATAAAAATGAATAAACCTTAAAAAGAACACTGCCGCCAAACCCCTGGTTGGCAGTCTGCACCCCTGCCAGGGAACCCCCACAGCCACACCCCAGGTCCCAGGGCTCGCAGCAGGCGACGTCTCAGAGACTACGGCAGGTTCGCAGCTGCCTAGGACCGGGACGTGAGCCCTCAGCGGTCACCTGTGCGGTCGGAAGGACCAGCCCTGGCCGCAGCACAGGGACACGGCTTTTATTCTCTCTGTCCAGAGAGACACAGTGGTTCTGCAGGGGAACGGGGGCAATTACGACAGCCCAGAAGGAAACGGTCGCAACCCCACAACACCCTCAAAGGCCTTCCCCAGGCCTGGGCTCAGACCCACACCCTCACCCCAAGGCCACATGCTCACAGCTCCCTGCTCAGGCATGGCCAGAAGGGACCTGAGATGCTGACCCCTGCCTGCCTGCCCGAGGCCACGGGGCCCGCGGGGAAGCCAGGAGCAGGGCAGCGTGCAGTGGAGTCCCACCAGAGCCGTGTTCCCACTGCCCTGTTGGACGCATGAGTGAACACAGCCAGGACAAGGTACAGGCACTGGGGACATTGGTCAGAGGCCCTGGCAGATGAGGTCAGGGTAGTGCCTGGGCCCCGCACTGGACCCAGCTGCGTGTGGACGCATATGGAACTGTGCGCCCAACATCCAGCAGGGGTTGCCGGGGGACCCAGGGCCGGGCACCCCATTTATCCCCAGCTCAGCCTCTTGCAAGACGGGAATCAGCAAGGAGGACCTGGAAGTCCTAGCTCTGGGAGGCTGCGCTGCGGCCGAAGCTAACCCTGCTGGTCCACATGTCAACATGCTCATACACTGGCACTTGAACTGCTGTCACAAGTGGCATGGGTGTGAGTGGATGCACAGCTCCAGCCCCCAAGCCTGGGTGGACCCCACTCTCCCCAGCCTCTGCGTGCTGTCCTTGGGAAACCCATGCAGGTGAGATGCCCACTCATGCCTCGGGGCATCTGTGATGAGCGCCTGGGGCCTGGGACACTTTAGCCCGTCTTGTGTGGAAAAGAGGGCTTGGGGAGCAGAGACCCGGGGGGTGGGGGTGGGGGTTGGCAGCCTGAGGCTGTATGCCACCATCTCCACACAGCACCAACACCCCACCACCAGCACCCTCGGATAGGGGTCCAGGGTCCAGGAAGGATCCCAGCACTTTCTGCAGCCCGCCTGTAGTCAGAACCCCCAACCCTTGGGCCTGACCTGACCAGTTCAGCTGCGGAGCCCCCTGGGCAGCCTCTGTCCTTCAGCCTAATGGGGGTGCAGCTGAGTGGCTCCTGACCTGCCCGCCCAGGAGCAGTGTGGGCAGTGACCAGCACCGGAGCCCAGGCCCTGCTGTGTCCTGTGTGCACGGCCGGCCTCTGACGGGGTTCCTGTGGGTCACACGTGCACAGCCAGGCCATGACCCGCCCCTCAGCTCCCGGCATGCCTCTGCGGTGGGCTTAGCATCCCCCTGTGAGCATTCAGCTTGGGGTCCTTGCTGCTCAGGTCTGCCAGGAACACAGCAGCACCAGGAGTCATGTGAGCGTGGGGGTGAGGCATGGGGGCTCAGCACCCCTCATGCTCGGGGAGTGCCAGGGAGCTGCCCTGCTGCCTGCTCCCAGGTGCAGCCCAGCGGCTGAGACACTGCCCAGTTGTGTCCGTGGCCACTAACCCTGACGCCCAGCCCAGCCTGTGCTGCCCGCCCACCTTCCTTCCCTCCTTTTGTGACAGCCTGGGACTGGGGAGGCCGGACCTTGACCTCACCCCACCCTTGGTGTGCGGTGACCCCAAGGTGGCCCTGGTTCTAAGAGGGAGAGAGGGAAGCATCTCAGACCTGATGGACATGGCACAGGGTGCCACCGAGGCCTCTGCTCAGGGACCTTCTGGTCCCTTATCGGCTGGCACGGGCTCTAGGCAGAGGTGGCGGCCCGGGGCAGCGGTGCAGAACGAAGCCCTCGGCAGGGCTGCCCAGGGGCTGGCTCTGCTCACAGGCTGCGGGGGCCTAGCGCCTGTGCAGCGCCCACGGGGTGGGACTGGGGCCCAGCTCGGTGATGACCGTGCTGCTGGGCAAACAGGTGGATGGACAAGAGGGCCGACCGTGTGGGTGCGTCATGTGACAAGACGCACATGCTGGCTTGGAGGCAGCCACCTGCAACAGGAAGCCCTCCCGGAGTGCCCCACTGCCTCCCACCCCACCACTGGCCTCAGGACAATCCAGAGCACTCACAGACCAGCGTCCATGGCAGCTGGCCAAACGGCTGGTAGGCAGGCAGAAGCCCCCACCTCAATGCTCTGCCTGCCCTCAGGGGAAAGTACCCCCACCTCTCCTCACAGCACTTCCCCTGTCCGCACCCCGGGGAGCGCTCTGCGGCTGGGGACCGGCCTGGAGCAGTGGTCCATCAGAGACCCCTTGGGCTGGAGGCTGTGGCACCTCAATAGTCCTTGTCACCCTCCAGGACCTGCCTCTCCACCTTCCTATTCTACACTGCATCTGGCCCATGGCTGCCAACCACTCCTCTCCTTGGCTGGGCCAGGGCACACCCACCTGAGTACCCCAAAAAGCGGTCACCAGCCCTGTCACCTCAGCGCCCCCACCTGCCCACTCACCTGAGCGCCCCCACCTGCCCACTCACCCCAGCGCCCCCACCTGCCCACTCACCTCAGCACCCCCACCTGCCCACTCACCTCAGCGCCCCCACCTGCCCACTCACCTGAGCGCCCCCACCTGCCCACTCATCTCAGCGCCCCCACCTGCCCACTCATCTCAGCGCCCCCACCTGCCCTGTCACCCCAGCGCCCCCACCTGCCCTATCACCCCAGCGCCCCCACCTGCCCACTCACCTCAGCGCCCCCACCTGCCCACTCACCTCAGCACCCCCACCAGCCCTGTCACCCCAGCGCCCCCACCTGCCCACTCACCCCAGCGCCCCCACCTGCCCACTCACCTCAGCGCCCCCACCTGCCCACTCACCTCAGCACCCCCACCTGCCCTGTCACCTCAGCGCCCCCACCTGCCCACTCACCTCAGCACCCCCACCTGCCCACTCACCCCAGCGCCCCCACCTGTCCACTCATCTCAGCGCCCCCACTTGCCCACTCACCTCAGCACCCCCACCTGCCCTGTCATCTCAGCGCCCCCACCTGCCCACTCACCTCAGCACCCCCACCTGCCCACTCACCCCAGCGCCCCCACCTGTCCACTCATCTCAGCGCCCCCACTTGCCCACTCACCTCAGCGCCCCCACCTGCCCTGTCACCTCAGCACCCCCACCAGCCCTGTCACCTCAGCGCCCCCACCTGCCCTGTCACCTCAGCACCCCCATCTGCCCACTCACCCCAGCGCCCCCACTTGCCCACTCACCTCAGCGCCCCCACCTGCCCTGTCACCTCAGCGCCCCCACCTGCTCACTCACCTCAGCGCCCCCACCTGCCCACTCACCTCAGCGCCCCCACCTGCCCTGTCACCTCAGCGCCCCCACCAGCCCTGTCACCTCAGCGCCCCCACCTGCCCTGTCACCTCAGCGCCCCCACCTGCCCACTCACCTCAGCGCCCCCACCAGCCCTGTCACCTCAGCGCCCCCACCTGCCCTGTCACCTCAGCACCCCCACCTGCCCACTCACCCCAGCGCCCCCACCTGCCCTGTCACCTCAGCGCCCCCACCTGCCCTGTCACCTCAGCGCCCCCACCTGCCCACTCACCTCAGCGCCCCCACCTGCCCTGTCACCTCAGCGCCCCCACCTGCCCTGTCACCTCAGCACCCCCACCTGCCCACTCACCTCAGCGCCCCCACCTGCCCACTCATCTCAGCGCCCCCACCTGCTCACTCATCTCAGGGCCCCCACCTGCCCACTCATCTCAGCGCCCCCACCTGCTCACTCACCTCAGCGCCCCCACCTGCCCACTCATCTCAGCGCCCCCACCTGCCCACTCATCTCAGCGCCCCCACCTGCTCACTCACCTCAGCGCCCCTACCTGCCCTGTCACCTCAGCACCCCCACCTGCCCACTCACCTGAGCACTCTGTCCGACCCTGTCACCTCAGCACCCCAAGCTGTCATGTTGAGCACCAGTCCTTCACCAAGGTGCCTCCTCCAGCCACACCAACCATTACCTGGGCACCTCAGACTCTTACGTGACACCCCCTGCCTGCCCAGGTGGCCCGAGGTTCCCAAGTCACTGGCCAGACACCTGCCAGGGCCACCCAGGAAGCTTGTCCTCCCCAGCCAGGCCACCCAACAAGCACAGGAAGTTGCTCTTATTTACAAAACTCTTTAATATTGTATAAAAAATAGCATCTTAGACATCTCCCACTCGCTACTGAGCCCCCGGTCATGATGACCACAAGCGGGGGTCGCGAGCATGGCCGCCGAAATAAATTAAAGGCTTGAGACTCTGCCCCGCCCACCCTCAGAGCCAACAAGCAGACTGCACAGGTCAATAATTTAACACCCACCCCCACCCACCCCCGGGGGCACAGAGCACCCCAAGGGGCAGGGTCACCTCTCCCTTAAATTAGCCACTGTGGGCTGGGGGACAGGAAGCCACCCCCAGGGGCCTGGAGGAGGCAGGCTACTTGAGGAAGCAGCCCCAAGAATAAATTAAATAATAAATAGCCCCGCGGGCCAGGATGCGCTCCGTGGGGTCACACTATAAATAACACGTGGACACGTGCAGACAGGCCACGCATGGCCACCGGGCAGCGAGGCCCGGATATTGCATTGTTTGTGCACAGTCGTGCCCGGAATGCCACTGGACTGGAGGGCAATGGTGGGCACACGCCCAGTGACGGACCAGGAGAGCTCCTGGCCACATAGGCAGCAAGGCCGCCCACCAGCCCAGCAGCGGAGAAGGGGTCTGGCGTCCAGCGTGCACGGCCGCTGCGGGAGCAGCGCGGGGCTGACCCAGTCCCGGAGCAGCGGTCAGAAGGCACTGAAAGCAGAGGAGAGGCTCGCAGGGGTGAGGACTGAGGGGCCCGGGAGCCCGCGTGTGGGCCTCGTGGGACGTGGGCCTCGTGGGACGGCCGCCTGAGTCGCTCCCGGGCTCCCGCGGCCCAGGCAGGCCCCTGCTCACAAGCTCTCGCTGCTGGACGTGGTGCTGGCCCCGTCGTCGGCATCCAGGGCGCCAAGCCGCAGGTCGCAGCTCTCAGGGGCAGCCCCGTCGGCCGCCAGCATCCAGGGGTGCGCGGCGATCTGGTCCAGCGTTGGCCGTTCCGAGGGCCGCAGCGACAGGCACCACTCGATGAGCTGCTGGCACTCTGCAGGGCAGGCTGGGGTCAGGGCGGGCAGGAGGGGGTCCCCTCCGCAGGGGTCCTCCCGCCCCACACCTGCGGGCGCCGGGGGGACATCAGGGTCAGGAAGGGCGGGGCGCACCTGCCGAGACGCGCCTCCGGAAGAAGAGGCGGCCGCGCACGATGTCCTCGTCCTGCTCAAAGGGGATGTCCCCACAGACCATGTCGTAGAGCAGCACCCCCAGGGACCACACGGTGGCCGAGCGCCCGTGGTAGCGGTGGCAGCGGATCCACTCGGGGGGACTGTACACGCGGGTGCCTGAGGGGACGCGGGGGTCAGCTGGCGGGGCGGGCACGTGGCCAACAGCCTCGCCCGGGTGCCCGCTGCGCTCACCGTCGAAGTCGGTGTAGACCGTGTCCTTGAGCAGCGCGCCCGAGCCGAAGTCGATGAGCTTGAGCTGCCCGGAGCGCAGGTCCACCAGCAGGTTCTCGTCCTTGATGTCGCGGTGCAGCACGCCACACGCGTGGCAGTGGCGCACAGCAGCCAGCACCTGCGCGAAGAAGCGGCGTGCCAGCGGCTCGGCCAGCGCGCCGCGCTCCGTGATGAAGTCGAACAGGTCCTGCGCGGGCTCGGGCCGCTCCAGCACCAGCAGGAAGCCGTCGGGCCGCTCGAACCAGTCCAGCAGGCGGATGATGCCGCGCGCGCCGCCCGCCGCGCCCACCTTGCGCAGCAGCACCACCTCCAGGGGCACGGCCGTGCCGCCCTGCGGGAGGGCCAGGGCGGTCAGCGGGCGCCCACCTGGGCACCACCCATCCTGGGCCAGGGCATTCAGCGGGCGTCCACCTGGGGCACCACCCAGCACCACCCATCCCGGGCCAGGGCGGTCAGCGGCTGCCCGTGCCACCCCCGCCCGACTTACGAGGCTGCCCCACTCGGTCACCCGCTCCTTCAGCACGTGCTTCACGGCTACCTGGGGTCGGGGAGACGCGGGGGGTCAGCGCGGCCGGGGGGGCGCTGGCAGACACCCCCGCGGGCCGCCCGGGACCCCGACTCACCGGCAGCCCGTCGGCCAGGCGGCTGCCCGCGTAGACCGTGCCGAAGCCGCCACTGCCCAGCACGGCGCCCAGCTGGTACAGCTTCTCGAAGCTCTCCCTGTCGGCCCGGGCTGCGGGGACGGCGCGCGGGTGCGGTTGGTGCGGCCCGGGACGCGCCCCCTGCCCGCCCCGCGGCCCCCCGGCGCCCCCCGGCCCGCGCCCACCTGGCTGCAGCAGCTTCACCGGCAGGTGCTCCACGCCGCCGGGCCCGCACAGGTGCGCCAGCGAGCCGAACTTGGAGAGCAGCATGGCGGGCGGCGGCCTCGGGGGCCCCGCTGGCCGCGCGTGGACGGCCGGGCGCGCAGCGGGCACAGCGGCTCCCACGCCCGGGGCTCGGGCCGCGCCGTGCGGATCCCTCCGCGGCGGGGGGCGGGGGGCGGGCGGCACGGGCGGGGCACGGCGGGCGCGGCCGGGCGGGTCGTGCGGAGCCGGGGTCGGGGTCGGGGCCGGGGTCGCCCCGGGACTAGTTGCCGTCGTGGAGTCGCAGAGGCGCACGGGCCGCGGCGCACACGCGCACAAGGACGCTCTCGGGCCGCGCACGCGCGGCGGCGGCGCGGGAGGGCGGCGGGGCGGGGCCGCGACAGCCAACGGCAGCCCGAGCTGCCGAGCACCCCCCGCCGCCCGGCCAATGGGCGCGCGGGGGGGGCGGGGCTTCCGGCCGCGCCGCCGAAGGTCAGCGCCTGGCGGCGGGCCGGCGCGCGCGGGGACACGTGTCGCGCGTTTGCGTCAGCGCCGCCCGCGGCCTGCTCGCGCCCTGCCGGGAATGGCGCGCCTCGCGGCCTGGCTCGTGCAGCCGCCCGCCGGGGACCGTCCTGTTTGCTGCTGCGGCGGCGGCTCTCCTCGGTGCGGAGTGCGAGGTGCGCTGCCTGAGTGCTGACGCTTGGCGTGGCCCCGGGTGCAGGCGGCCCTGGGTGCAGGCGGCCCTGGGTGCAGGCGCCCCTGGGCGGCCCCCGGAGCCGGGTGCAGGCGTCCCCGGGCGCAGGGAGCTGGGCTTGCTGGCCAGTCGCTGGCGTCCTGACACTCTGCACGTGGGGGCCTAGGGCAGCTCAGTGTGGACCCCACCAGGGCCGGACGTGCTGACCCTGGCATCCCTCGCTGCCCGCCAGCACACAACTCCCCAGGACACCAGGGCCCCTCCCCACTCCCCGCAGAGATACCCCCTTCCCTGCTCCCCTGGCCTCGGCCTCAGCCTTGCTGTGAACACTCAGGGTCTCCCGCAGCTAACACTGTAGAAGGGCCGGCCGGAAGAGGCCCCTATGTGAGTTCAGGATGTGGGGAGGGGCCTGGCCTGGTGTGCTTGTGTGTGCACTGAGGACCCCTGCCCCCCAAGGGACCCCCAAGGCTGCTGTACCTGCCACAGCAGACCACAGTGAGCTGGGCAAGGGGCCTGCCCCACCTTTGCTTGTGCAGGCACCCAGGTGACAGGGGAGTGCTGAAGGAGGCTGGGGCGCGGCCCCACATAGCCCTGCCTCCTGGCCCTACGCCTCCCATGGTGAGGGTCAGTGCTCCCCACTCCCTCCTTGAGGGTCTTGGACTCAGACTGCCCCACCCCAGGCCTGTGTCATCCGGGCTCCTGGAGGGCCTTGCCTGCCCTCTGGCCGGATGGTACCGCTGACTCACCTCCCACCAGGGGATGGAGGCTCAGGCCAGTGTGGGCCACCCTGGGGGAGGGGGCTGGGAGGATCCATGTGCCCCCCTCCCCCGCACTGCCTGCCCCACCAGGTCACCGTCTCGCGGGGATTAGGGTAAGAGTTGGCCCTCAGCCTCCGTGGGCCTGCTCCATCCTGGCCGTCTTTGATGCCCACCTGCTGGGCCTGGAGTCCCCCTCATCTGTCACCACGGCCTGAGGTTCTGTCCAACCTGCTGACCTGCTCATCTGTCTGGTGATTCTGCCCCCCAGCCTGGGGCCCGCCAGCCATTCCACTTTCCCAACACTGTCCTGCTTTGGACCCTCTGTGTCCCCTGAGCCACCAGGGCCAGTCAGTCCCAGGGGTATCCTGAGCCCCCTCCAACTTCAGCCCCGCCACAATGCTGACCCTCCCCATCCCAGAGACCAGGCTGGCTGGAGCATTGCAGTGTGCAGTGTCCACCTAGCTGCCCAACCCAGCCCCCACCCCCTGGAGCCACATGTCTGACCCCTCACGGAGGCGGGCCTGGCCCTTGGCTCTGTCAGACCCCTGCCGGAAGAGCCAGGCAGGTGCAGCGGGCCCGGGGATGGAACAAAGGCCTGCCCGGGGGAGCCATGCCCTTTCCCCCTGTTGCTCCCACGCTCTGTGGGCACAGCCTCTGACCCTGTAGGGACAGCAGCCAACAGAGCTCAGGCCAGCATTGTGCAACTGTTCCTGGGAGTCATTCCCGGGCCAGGCCAGCATGGGGCCCATAGCTCCCAGGAAGCCCAGCCAGTGGGCTGCGGGGGCCTAGCCTGCTCTGACCTTGGTGGCAGAGGGCCACCATGCTGGGTGCCTGCAGCCGGCACCTGGCCTTAGTGGATCTAGCTCTTGGCAGGGGAGAACCGTGGGAAACTGGAGGCGCGTGGGAGCCACCAGGCCCAAGCTGGGGCCCCTATGCAGTTGAGTGGTTGCTACAGCTGTCCGCCACAGGGTAGGCATGGCGACCTCAGCCCATCCTGCCCTGCCCAGACAGCAGGGCCTAAGCCAAGGGCTTCCAGCTGCCGTGGGGGTCGGCTTATCTGTGGCACACGACTCCGTGTTCCCCTGCACTGCCCCGTGGTGCCGCTGCTCCGTGTGGCTCTGTACTCAGCTCCTTCTGGCCTCGTCTCCCTGAGTGGGGTGTGGGGCCGCAGACGGCCTGGAGGGTGCCGGGGGGCAGGGTGGGCAGTGGGGAGCCTCTGGGTAGCACAGGTTGTCTGAGGGGCATGGGTGGGGGCAGCCTGTGTGAATTAAGTGAGCAGGAGTTCCAGGCAGGGACTGCCCCTGCCATTTGCCTCAGATACCCAGGCAGGAGGCTCCCTGTTGAGCTCCTGGACGGGGACCCCCCCACCCTGGATAGAGGCAGGCACTGGGGAGGTTGGAGGCGCCCACAGCTCCTGGCTGGGGGTCCCAGCTGTGCCACTTGGGACCCACTGGCTGGTCTTCCAGAGGGGCAGGAGTAGAGACGGTGTTGTCTGGGGGTGTCCCAAGCCACTGCGGGGGAGCCAGGGCTGACCCAGGGCCTACTTAGCCCAGGCCCAGCGCGCATGGGGACACGCTCTTCCAGGGGGAATCACAGAGCAAACAGCTCCCCATACACACACATAGGACCGGGTCTCAGCATTGGGGACACGTGGCCAGTGAACACTGGGTGCACAGCCACCCTGGACAGCCCCAGGACAGCCCCAGGGGTGGCCAGGAGGCACAGGGATGGAACCTCAAGAGGTCAGACAAACTGAAGGGCCCAGCTGCCCCTCATGCCAGCCCCTTGGAGCCCACACACTGCCCCTCATCTAGACCTGTGAACTGGCACTGTCGCCTATGCCCAAGGGGAGAAGGCAAGAGGAGAACATGCCCTCGAGGCTCGGGGCCCAGAGGCTGCTGTAGCCTGCCCTCACCCCACGCCTCCCAGGACTGTGCAAGGGACACCAGGCCTGGGCTTGGGTCCCAGGATGGAGCAGGACTAAGGGGACATCTTACCCTGGACCATGAGGACACACCCACGTCGCCTGGCCCCCTCATCTGCCTCACCAAGCTGGGCTGGGTTTGGGAGCTCCAGCCAGCCACACCTGGAAGGTCTAGGAGGCACCTGCAGGCCCCTCTGTCCGGGGCGCCCGGCCTGCCCTGACCCTGGGTGGCGAGGGAGCCTGGGCTGAGCTCCACCCACAGGGCCACTTCCCTATTCCTGGGAAGTGGCAGAGGGGCAGGTGGAGGGTGGGGGCCCCTGGAGAGGGATTTGTCAAGCTCACTCTGAACCCCACCCCCCAGATTCTGCCATCCAGGGGCAAGGGAGGTGCAGGGCATGTGACCGCAGGGACCCTGTGTGTCCTGCAGACAGCAGGGCCCAAGGCAGCAGGGTGTCCCAAATGCCCCAGAAGCTGGGCCCGGGCCAAGGAGCCGCACAGCTGTGTGCACGCCTGCTGAGTGCTCAGGTGCGTGCCCGGGCACACCCTTGCCCGGTGCTCCTCTGAGTGCTGTGGGCCCCTCTCCGGCCTGGACTAGCTGGAATGGCCAGGGACCAGGCAGCACACACAGGCCCTCACCAGCCCATGTATTGTCCACATGGTGGGGAACCAAGGCCCAGGGAGGGGCTGCCCTGTCCGACTCCCCACCCCCGCCAACACACAACACCCCATAGTAGGTAACTGAATCACAGACGCCTGGGGGCTGCCTCCTCCCCCTGCAGCTTCCGTCCCTAGCACGGCAGATGCCTGGATCCCAATGGACCCCTAGAATCCGGCCCACATCGCCTGAGAGGGAGCTGGAGGGGAAAGCCAGGTGGGCTAAGATGGGTGGGATTGCCCAGGACCCGGGTACAGAGGAGGCGCTGCAGCTGGCGGGTCCACACCTTTGCTCCTTGCCAAACTGTCAACTCCTGAGACACTGGCCATGCCTGCTGCCCACGCTGAGCCTGGGAGGGCTCTCATTCTTTGGGTTGCAGGTACCAGGCCTGAACCATGTTCCCCTCCGATGTCCACACTGCCCAGCCTAGGAAGTCTCCTCCCACTGGGCCCCTGTTTGCAGGGTGGGCTCCTGCCCACTTGAAGCCCGGCCTCCCACCCCTGTCCCAAGGCCTCTGGGGTAGGGGCTGCTTGAGTGGGCCCTGAGTGAAGAGAGGGAGAGGACCCACGTCCCCACCCTCACAGCCACTTCCCATCATGCAGCCTGTGTGGAACGGAGCTGTCTGGAGGCGGTGGGTGGTGGAGAGCCCTTGCCTGCCTCTGCCTGTCCCCAGGGGGACCTCCCCGCCACGCTGGCACTCGCTGGCCCTGGCCTCACACCTGCCGTCCTTCTGTGTGCACCCGGCGATGCCTCCTGGGCCAAGCCGTTGGCTGGCTGTTCCTGGGGAAGCAGCTGATATGCAGTTTCTGGGACGCTGAGGTGGGGTTTCGACCCTGCCCTGGAACTCTTCCCGAGTAGATGTGTCAGCTGCTGGGGTGCCTTGGGGACCCTGGCCCCCACCCTGGAGCCTGCTCAGAACCCCCTCCCTGGGGAGGAAGGGCAGTGTCCAGACCCTCTGTCAACTGCAAGATTCTGCCCCCTGCCCTGGAGAGAGACAAGGAGACCCTGGCACGCCCAGAAGCTCTGCCCACGCCTTCCACCTCCAGGCTGATGCACAT